GGTGGCAAAGTGCGCCATGGATCTGGAAGGCGTTTAATCCACCTCTATTGTTATTGTTGTTGTTGCTGCTGCTGCTGCTGTTGTTGTTGTTGTTGTTGTTGGCACGATCCTCAGGCGAAACAATATCGCAGCCCAACGAAGTAAAGGCAAAGGCAGCGTTGTACTGGCGAAGGTTGTCCTTAAAGTGACGGCCTTGAGTTTCCGTACGTTCGAGCAAGTTCTTCAAGTACTCAGGTGGATCAGGCAAGAGTTGCAACTGGGCTGACCCCTGCTTGCAGCATGACTCCCAGCTGGGATTTCTCATTGAAGATATCTCTTGCCTTTCATCTATCCAGTGTAGGGCGTGACAGTGTGACACTCCTTGTACATACGTCCAAGGTCCAAAGGACGAAGGCGGGATATCTGTGAGATGTATGCGGCTGGCATACTGTTGGTATGGTCAGATCTGGGTCTGCCTCTGGGTCTACTTTCAGCATCAACGGACTCGACTGTTCTTCTTGGTCTGCCTCTAGGTCTAGTAGCAACGCTAGCTTCTTCTTGTTGGTCTTCGGCAAGACGTCTGCGGCGAGATGCTGCTACTCGTTCTCTGCATGCTTGGCAGGTATGATGACGTGAATCAATGGGTAAAGGTGCATGGCAGGAAGAGCAGTTGGCTGTACTTTGGTTGTTGTTTTCCATTTTTTTAATAAGCGTCAAAATGGGAACACGATGTTAGTGAACAGGGACTATATATGAATTGGCCTTTTTATTCTCTTTTTCAAGGCATGTCCATACCTGATTCTTGTAAAAAGAGCTTTATTGTAATAATAATATTTTTTTTTCTAATTCCAGTACATAATAGTGTGTTATGTGTTATGTGTTATAAGTGTGTTATAAGTGTGTTATTCCATATAATACTACCTTCACACACACTCACACTCACACCCCTTCTCTCTTTCTCTCTTTCTTTTAATTATTATTGTTGTTGCTATTATTTTGTTATTCATCATCACTATCGTTGTTGCCTTCTGCGTCCTTCATTTCTTCAATCACCTTAATCATTTCTAATAATTCAACTTTTTCTATTTATTCTATAATGGTTAATGATTGTGTGTATATAAAAAATAATCGACTTACCAGGTGCTAATTCATGTGCCTTCTTGAATGAGCTCACAGCGCGCTCATACAAGACCATAACCTCATCCTCATCATCTACTAAACTAATTTGAGTCATAAGCAATCCAGCAAGCTATCACAAAAAAAAATGGGTTAGAGATGATAAATAGATACGACAAAAGAAATTACCAGTTCCCACATAAACGGATGATCCTTTCCCACCTTGTCAACATGCAGTTGATTTGCCTTCTCAGCCATTTCAATAGCTTTGGATATCACCTCAACTCTCTTTTGAGTTCCGTCAACCACTTTTTCCTGATGTGCAAGACAAGCAGCCCAAACTGTGACAAGTTCCCAATTATCCTGATGCTCAGGCACCTGCTGAATAAACTCAATGGTTGCATCCAGGACAACATTGGCATGGTCCTTTTGCACAGGCAAATCCAATGACAAGGCGTAATTTCTCAATTCAGAGATGACGCTCTGGATGTCAGACATAGGCGCATCTTTGATGACTTCACGAACAAGACCAATTGCCTCCTTGTAGAGTTTTTCTTCATCTGGTGTGACCTTTTGTTTCGATAAGAGTTCTTCATAAGCATCTTCATCCAACTCAGCATTTTCTTGATAGAGGTTAGCCTCCTGAGGAGCAAAAGCGGCGATCTGCTGCATTCGTAAGTAATTGGCTAGGGCCAGGGCAGCATAGGCCACCTTGAGCTTCAAGATGCTGTCTTTGTTCTTTTCTGCTCGTAATATATCCAGGCCCTCACGCAGACTCTCTTCGACGCCTATTGTCTTACCCAACTGAACTAAACATGTCGCATAGCCTGTTCGATTTTCTGGTTCGTCCTGTTGAAACTTTTCCAGTGACATATCAAACAGTCGGCGTGCCATATCATTATCACCTTCCTGAGCCTCATCAATCGCAAGGACCATCAGTTCATGCGCATTTGGTTGTACTTCCTCCACTTCGCCATCTTCTGTCTTGTTTGTAAATGCAATCTCTACTTCGCCAATGTCACAGCCTGTACACGTCTTGTCTGCACAATCAGGTGCATGAGATTCTGTTTTGGCTCGCTTGTTGACATCTTCTTTTACAACAGTTTCTTCATTACTTCGTTTAGACATTTTTTTTTTCTGATAAAAAAGAAAAAGAAAAACAGTTCAAAGAACGCGCTGTTGTTGCTGTTGCTACACGCACGAGCGTTGGTAGAATCATTTAAAATGTGGCTTAGCTGGAGCGGACATAGGGTTGTATATGCGATATTGATTCAATAAATATATACAGCTTTTTTATAACATGACAATCAGTGTTGTTCCATGGATCAATCAAGAAGAGTTTGACACAGTATATAATTGGATATTTGCAGACAGGAAGCAGCATCTAGACTTGATCCAGCGTGGACTAGACAGAGTATGGAATTATTATTTTTTTGTGTGTTCTATTGACACATGGCATAATTAGGTCCAAGCATGGTGTAATCGAGGCATGGCTCCCTATTCAGTTGAAATTACGGCCATTTTAATTGAAGCTATTCTTCGTGATGAGCGATTTGGACATACCATGTCTCACAGAGAACTACGTTTACTTTATACCATGGCCATCATTCGATTTGTCAATGGTCTAGTCGATCAACGTCAGACGGGGAAATATGCATTGTCAGTCTTGACAATCGCCAAAAAGATCGGTCTGCCATCATGGTTCGTCGATCTGCGTCACGAAGGTACTCACGAGCGACTACCTCACCTCATCGTTCTTCGTAGCGCGGCGATACAAGCGGTTGCCTGGTTGCACGATCATTACTGGATCCATAATTTGAAGAAACCTGAAGAAGAAAAAAAAGATCATGATATCAAGATGAAACTCAACATGTACAAGGAGCGTCGAAAGGCTTATATCAAGGGAATCAAGACTGGAGATACGAAGCTGGATCCAGCGATCTATGTTGATTGTATTAGTGCCTTGATTGAAGTGATTGATGAAGATATTATTCGTGAGGAGATCATTCCTTTATTACTTGGTATTGGTGGTTTAGTGCCCACAGCTAAAAAGTAAAGTTTTTTGTATAAAGAAAAGCATATATCTAACTGTATTATAGAAAGCGTGCTAGTTTAGAAAATATGAAGATTTCAAATGACTTGATCGAATTATGGACACCGTTGCTGAAAGGCCTTGATGTTGGGTATCCTGAATTTGCTCTTGACTTGGTATCATCTATAATTCAAAGACTTGTTTCATCAGATGAATACGTGTTGAATGAACAAGCCGTTAATCCTTATGTCATGTTTGTATGTGTGTTTGCTTATATGAATGAAATTGAATCTTACGTGATTATATAGTCACAGCAACAACAGCAAGAAAATGAAGATCCTACAAAGTCAAAGAGTTATATGCTCACGTTAGGTAAGAAGAAAAAAATCATACCCTAACTCTCTTTTTAATCTAAATCATTTAGCTTGTTGGCTAAAATATTTTGCACTGGAAATGCAAAACCCAATTGATGAGCGCACTTTGGGAAAGTTAGATATAGATGATTTACTCGAAGGTTGCTTAAGGAATCCCAATTACTAGTAAAGGTGTCTTTTTTTCTCTCCAAATGGTTTTACTAATGTTTTTTTTTTTAGCACACGATATGTACTACAGGCTCTGTGCCAGGTTGATACAGATTTAGCAGAAACGGTCAAGCCCTTTATGCGATACATGGATCAATTATTGATTAAATTGACACTTAAACAAAAAGAGACACCTTCATTAGAATCCGTAGATGATGCTGTATTGGAACAAGATCTTACGACCTTGGAAAGGCAGATAGCAGAGATAAAGGCAACACAGCGTCGACAGAGACCAGTCAAGCGACAACGAATTGAAAGCAAGAGTTGGAAATTACATGATCGCTGGCAGGCCTGTCCGTTAGGCATGTTACCTAATGGAAAGGTGCCGTGTCTTGATATGCGAGAATGGTTGAAAAAATAAACTTTATTATTTATAGAAAAAAAGTCTTAAATAGTATATAACAAATGATTAAACAGTAAATACATTGGGTGAAACGAGCCTTGGGAATTCTTTGTTGTTGATGTGTTTGTATACCAGCACATCTTTATTATATATAAAGTGAGTCAACAGTTGGTGACAATACTATTTTACTTACCTATTGGAGATCCACAATGAACAAAGTCTTCAGTATGCTCACTTTGTAGATCTGGCAGATCATCCGTCGCCGTGGACGAAGACGTGTCAGAATCATTTTTTTGGTCAAAGAGGGTAGGAGGAGGGAACTCGTCCATATATTTGTCCCGCATAATATACATCTCCTTTCTACGATTCAATCTGTCCAACATTTTGTTTGCAAAGATAACTGCCATTTCGACGGCATTGTCCGGTCTTGATGGACGATAGTTCGGACAGAGGAACCAATATTTGCTGATGAAGGTTGGTGGTACGAACCAGCAGTCAGGGTTTCCCAGCTCACCGCCCATGAAGAAGGCATGGTCAATCAGGTAATTGAACAGTTCATTGAGATCAAAAAAGTCTTGGAATAAGATCATGTAGTCACGCATCATTGGTCCTGGGATAAGGTCAATGCGTGGGTCATGAGGTACGTGTCGTTGGAGCTCAGCTAAAGAAAGGTAAATAAAGTGCATAATTAAATTTAAAAGAGGACACTTACTGGGTGATAATAAGTACTCTTCGCCGTTTTGATCCTTAATTGCTCTCATCTTGGCAACAGCATCCAGTGGTTGAAGAGGACCAGGAATGTAAATCTTATCGTCCATCGCGGATCCGTCAGTAGCTGCCCAAAAATCACTTTCAGTGGGTGGTTTAAGTGTGTCGATGAGGTTTCCTACAAGAGAAGATAGATCCAAGTCGTCATTGTTGTTATTATTTAATAAGGTTCGAATATCAGGAGGAATGAGATTCGTAATTTCAGATGGCAGTTGATTAAACCAATCTTCAGGTGGTGCATCTTTTATTTGGCTCATAAACCCGCTTACTATGTCAGGCTGCATGAGATATTGCATAAGGGTCGGATCCAGGGCCTCATCCAATCGGAAAGAGGACAATGTAGATGCTATTAGAGATGTAGTATTGATATTATCTGGGGATGCATTGGTTGTAGAAGATGATGTAGATGCAGTGGATGATAGTGAGCTATTGATTGGAGCGGTGTAACAAGAGAAATCTTCATTTTCAACATTGACAATGCAACCCTGATTGTTCAAGAAAAACTCGAGTGACTGGGGAATATGTTTTGACTGCGAAAAGGTAGTGATATCCGACCCCATCTTGTCCCTGAAGCCAGTATCCCAATACTTGGGAACGTCCACTCGATGAGCCATACAAGCGATCTTTAGAGTGAGCAATTGTCCCTTGAGGTAATTGTTTTCGTAGATAAGCTCATCCACCTTAGACTGCAGTCGTTTAACATCTTTAAGAGCTTGGTCGCGCATGTAGAGTGATTTTTTGATATTCATCTCTGCTTCTTTCATCTCTCGTCGTTTACGTTCTCTAAATGCTCTTTGTGCTGCTCTGTTTTGTGCCTTTCTTTGAGCAGGTGAAGGTGGATTAGGCTTTCGTCCAGGCTTTTTGCGTGGCTTGATCGGTTTTCCGTTACTATCCAAATTGCCCAATTCATATTCAGGGTCAAAGTGCTCAAAGGCTATTTCAGGCATTTGCATTAAAATATATATGAATGTGTGTGTGAAAGAAGGGAGAATAAATAAAAGAAGGAAGAAGAAAAAAAAGCACACACGCACACATTTTGACTATTTCGTTGTAACACACTGCAGTCTATATTTTGTTGCTAAATATGTACCCTGTTTTTAAGTTTATTGCCTGTATTTTTTCCCTTTAATAAAAAGGTAAACTCGTGTTTATCTATACTCTTTAAACTTTTTCTCATTGAACTTGTTTAACTTAATCCTTTTCTTGTCATTTATTCAATTTGTATGTTTAGCATAAAAGTTATGCATTGATTCATGTATTTTTCACGTGTGTGTGGGGATCGTGTCTTGTTGCTCTTAATGACTGTGGAAAAATATTATAGGATATAACCTTAGCATTTGATTGGCTGAATAAAATATTAATGAAAATATAGTTGGGGAGAGTTAAGCAGTTGAAAATCCGCTTAATCATTTACCGAGAGTTTTTATTTCTCTCTGAAAACATTCAATGATGGATAGTTTACCTCCCAATAAGGCTCTATTCAGGATTGCAAGTATTGATGACGAAATCATCCATCTTATTTTATTTCCTTGTACTCGAATAAGTTATTATTACTTTATAGTTGTATTTACAAAAATAATCAGAAAACAAGACAATCAGACTTTGTGTGACTCTACCAGCCAAAACCCTGTGCTTGTTGCTGCTGTGTTTGTTGATCTTCTTTAAATGCAACTAAACCAATCAAGATACCGGCAATAAAGAAGACCAAGCTGATCAAGAACCAAAATACACCCCATACTCTACTTGACATACATGATCCACACACCTGAGCAAACTTTGCAGCGTCAGACTCGTGCAATTTTCTAAACACCAAATCATCCAAAATATCCCACAGACAATAAAGACATGACATCACACCAACAAATAATACAAAATACTTTAGCCCTGCGCCGTGTGCCAGCCACCAGAGAAAGACCATCACACCGATAAACAAGAGACCAATACCTCGCGTCAGCCAATTCTTAGCCCACCATAAAGTAAATAATAAACAAACACCTAAAATGATGGAGGCTATCTTGGAAGCAAGTATATTAAATCCACACGCCACAAGAACAGCTCCAATGAGAGATGAGCCTAGATACCCTGCTGGTAATGTACACATGGGTATACCTCCTCTCTTTTTCATACAGGGAGATAGAGATGTTATTGATGGCTTAGCTTTCTCTCCTTTTATGTATAAACTTACCATACGAGTGACACCTCCTTCATCTGGATCTATTTCAATTGCCTCTATTTTAGCACAGGTCAAACAACCTATGAAAGCATGCGAAAATTCATGTAGACCAACAGTAAGCAACTAATAGATATAAATATTATTGTCAACGTCTTTTTTTTTCTAGTTACTTTAAATGGTGACAAGACAATCTTGGCTATGGGCATATTCCATAATACTAAAATAGCAGCTGTATAAACTCCAATGATGATTAGTGTTATTTTCTGATCTTGTGTTGGTGTAAGACTATTGACAGCTGAATCGGCAACTGCTTGTCTTGCTATCAGGTAACGTTCATAACTATTATAGGCTAATGGTGGCATAGTTGTCTATTGTGTGATGTATAATTATGTACAATAATAATTTTAAACAAAGAAAAAGAAAGAAAAGAATATAAAAACAAAAGTGTTTCTATATTTAAACAATAAATTGCGCACTAGATTTATTTTGGCGTACCTGAAGTTCTTGGCTTCTTTAATTTCTAAATAAGGAAAATGTAACGGACCATGAAATATGTTTACAAATTTCCTTTTTTGAAAAACGCTGGAGTTGACAAAGGAAAAGCAAAGTGATAAACTTGATACCTGTACAGGAAGATGGCTACGTTTATAGACTGACAAGACCATTGTTTGAAAGCATACTCTTTGATAATCTTTATTAGAATAAGATACTACCTGTCTATTGTTGGTGACATCATCTGCGACTTGGATTTCTGAGAATACGAACTGAAGCATCAGAGAGAGCGCGGCAACTTGAAAAACTGGAAAGCATGGTGCTCTTTTTTTCTTTTTCTTTTTTTTTTTTACTTGTTGTACACACTGATCTTGCATAAAAAATTATTCTAGCTGATAGCTGATAACATTCAACAACGACGACGACAGCGCAGCATATCGTCTACTGTTGATATAGGCGTATGATAGAATTGCTGAAAGAAGAATATGAAATAAAGAAGTTTAAGCACGCTTACACTATAGGAAAAGAGGAAAATACATTTCTTTCAAAGAATGTGAACATGACGGCCGATGAGGAATTCAAGATATTAGAAGGACTGGGTTATACTTCACCAGACAAAGTGTATAAAAAATAGACATTATGTGGGCTTATTCTTACAAGAAAAAGACAAGTTTATCAACAATAAATTGAACTTGGAAACGCTGAAGTCTATAGTTTTGACTATGATGTAACGAAGAATAAATTTCTTTATATAAGAACTAACTGACAACAATGTAGTACACACTAGCAAATTACACGGAAAACTCGTCTGCTGCTATTTACAAATTTCTCTGCAAGATACTAGATGACGTGTTCAAAATCCAAAGCAGATCAAAAGTAAAATATAAAACAATAAAAAGAAGTTACATTGCCTAAGAGCTATTAGATTTTAAGTTTGATCCAGACTTTGCCATTCGAGGACTGCATTATAATACAAGAAAAAAAGAGTTTAAAGGAATGATAGACTAAATATTGAGTGTAGAGATTTTAACAATGGTTGACAGATGAAGATTGATAATATGGCAAATATTCAATTGAATACCGCCCATAGTAAAACTCATCCGCATATACTGTTCATGGTTTCCTTAGATTATATATTTTATCCCTACAGTAAATATGATATAAAACATGGCACGAAGGCTTTACTCATTTATTTGCAATAAAAGGCTAGTAGAAGAAATCGTGGATAATGGGCAGATCAAGCGTATTTCTGAATAGAAGAACTATTAATTTATTCTTGTAAACCATTTTTAATCAATATGCGTATCTCTTTTGTGGGGCAAGTATTCTCGTAATGCTTGCCTTATAAACACACACCTGCTGTGACTGTTCAATCATTGTTGCTCCCCTTTGAATGCAGTACCACATTCCCTACGGTTAGAACAGCCATGTGATTATTCAATTACCCCACCTTTTTTTTTAAAGTTTACCCTTTTTTAAACACTTTACAGCAAGTCTGCAAAACACATTTGAATATCCCATACAAGAGTGTATTTATAACCTGTGGCTAAGAATTCTAATGTAACTTTGGCTTTGCTATGCGGGAAAACATATTTCATAAGCATAAACAAATCTACAATATGCACGAATGTTATTTGCTTTAGAACTTATTCGCACACTGATAGAAAAATGATAATTCCAGACAACAAATAATGATAAAAGAGGGCACACCAGAAGCAAAAAGAATGGTTATTGACCTATATTGTGTGCCAATCATTTCTGAAAAAGGTTTATTAAAGTCTCACGTGAAAGTTGATGGAATTTGAAAAAGGGACCTTTTCCGCTTTTTTCTTTCTTTCTTTTTACTGATTGTTTAAGCATACATGGATATTTATTTATCTGCTATTGATAAATACTTGAACGAGAAACAAGAAGAGTATGAAAGACAACGAGAACAAGAGATAGCCCTTGAGAACTTGTTGATCAATGCAGATCCTTGGTTAGAATCAAACTCAATGGCTGCACTTTTAGATTCACCATTACAGTTGACAGACGAAAATGTTTCAACAACTCAGTCAGATTATATCACCCCTCTAGCCTCTAGTGATCTACAACTTTTTCAAGAGCAACAGGTAACTGAACAGCCTGCCCGCAAGAGGCCTGGCAGAAAGTCAAAGCAAGTCTCTCCTGCCATACGCAAAGCTCAGAACCGTGAAGCTCAGCGTGCGTTCAGGGAACGTAGGGAACGATATGTCAATGACCTCGAAAGAACAGTACGCAAGTTGAAAGCTCAAAGACAACAAATGGCAAATGAAATGCGTCAACTCAAATCACAGCTTGAATCTAATCGAGTCGAGTTGTGGTATCTCAGGGGCGTTGTTCTCTCCCTTCATTTTATCTGTTTCATCAATCAATTGAGGATTCCAGAGCATACACCTTACCTCTCAGATTCTGAGCTATCTACGATGAAAAGAGCAACACCGAGGGCGGTTGAAAGTTACCTAAGCGCAAAGCAAAGGAATAACAAACTTTTAAAGCTTCCGACTGCCCCAAGCTTAGCCAAGAAAGACGAAGACGAAGATGACATAGAAAGAGACGAAATACCGTTGAATGATAGCAACAATATGAATGTGATATGGTTGCAACAACCTGAAAAGATGGTGATTAAACTACAAAAGGAAGAGGAGAGAGAAGAAGAGGAGGAGGTAGTCGAATCGTCGGCTCAGACAGTAAAGAACATGGAGGCTATCAACCAGATTCGTCAACACCTGACCCCTTATCAAAACGATGAGAATGAGGCTTCACTGCGTATGAAATCAACTGCTTTGCAAATGTCTGTTGACCATGATCCTCGTGTGGACATTATACCTTTCCCTATAATGCGTGACCGGATGATTCTGTTTAGAGACTTGATCGATTTCGATCACTGCTTCAGCGTTCTACTGAAATCGGCCGTCTTTCTTGGTGGTGATCCAACTCTTCATGTGAATTGGGAACTTCCAGCTGAGATCTTTAAGCATTACTGGTTCTTTTCGACAAATTATGATAGGCATAAAACAGACTACTGGCAGCTCCACAAAAATTGCTCTGTACATTCTTCATTCATACAGCCTCCGAGCATGACAAACCCATACATAAATGCTCTAACAAATGTAATTTATAAACCGTTTACAACATCACCGTCGTCAAGGCAACCCCAAGCTGGCACCATCGGTGAGTGAAAGAGTTTTTTTTTTTTTTTTTGTTTATTTGCTTATTCATCTTTTTTTTAATAGAAAATATTGCAAGAATACTAAGCAGCTCACACTAACGTTGCTGAACCCTTTACAGCCATGTATCCTGCATCATTCATTATCCAAAGTTCATACCGATTCGACACTTTTCTTCCACATAACTGCATTTCCCTATTAACATATAAAGGCGCTAAACATTTATATTCAAATGACTGTAGTTCTTTGGTTGTTTGTTGTCGAAGTAGATCTAGCAAAAGTGTGCCACTGAGAGGACCATGTACGAGGCATGCTTCAAATCAATATTAAATATTTTGTTTATGTTGTACTATTATTTGTTACCTGGATGCTTTTCTACGGATGTAGCATATTCATGATCAAAGTGGATTTTATGTGAGTTGAATGTCAATGCTGAGTATCGAAACAAGAGGATCGATGTAGGCATGATCGACATGGCAAAGTCAGGTTTCTTGTTGGCTATTTTTATACAATGTTAAACCATACACGCACACAGATACATAACTGCTATTGTTATTACTGGTGATGCCCGCTCGACTGGCATGAATCTGTTGTTCTGGATGATAGACAAGACATCGTTGTTCTCGCATGGAAAATCCAAGCTGATTGTCGATATCCTTATTGATCCAGACCATTGCCGACTGTCCTAGGCGACCCACTCTGACCTCAGCTCGATCAAGATAGGTTCTCATAGTAATCTCATCTCCGACCTTGAGCGGATTCTTAGTCTCCCATTGGAACGATGCGCCTGCCCACATCCGTTGAGAAAACGGTTTTGGAGGAAAGAATTCGCGTTCATATCCGTCCGCGGCAAGGTCCTTTTCCTGCGTTCGAGGTGGAAAGTATACATGATGCCAACCAGGTGGAAGCACTGTGCCGTGCTTGGGCCACTCAGAGCTGCTGTAGCCGACATGAGCTGTGGGCAGTGTATTGGCAAGTAGATTTAGACGTGAACCTGTGATAATGTCGTGGGTTGTAATGATCAGTTGTTTAGTCCTCGTTTGCCATTCCTCCACAAGTTGATCAAGTGTTGAATTATAGTAACGTATATGACGCAGGTTTTGAATCGCTTGTTTCCAACATGGTCTAATATTTAACATGGCAAAAAACAAAAAAAAAAGAAATACTTGTTTTTCTCTAGCTAACAAAAGGGAAAAGGTTACTATTTTTTATTTTTCATTTTTTTTTTAAAAAATAACATGTATAATGTGCGTGTTTGTGTGTATTAATCAAAAGTGGCAATTATTTACTGGCTTCCTTTGCTTCCTTCATCTCCTTGCATTTGGTTTTGTGAGAAAATCGGTAGTCGGCGACTTGACATTCACGTGAGCAGTACCAGATACTTCTGCAGGCACCACAGGCTAAAAGAGGAGTATCAGGTTTATTCTTGGCATGAGAAGCAGAACAGTAAGAGCATCGATTAGGACTAGGAGGGAATGATTCGAGAATACCAGATTCGAGAAGCTGTTGCATTTTCTGATCCACCTGCTGTTTAGGAGCATAAGAGGCAATCAATTTGGCAGCCTCAGCAGGGGTCTCGTGAGCTTCGATTGCTTCACGCTTAAGATCACTCAGACCGGTATGAGCTCCATAGAGTTCTTTGAAACGCTCTTCAGCGGCCTTAGCCTTCACATAGTAATTATGTGCCTCTGACTTCTTCTTCTTGTAGTTCAGTAGGACAGAAAGAGCATAAAGAGCATGAACGGTATCACTTGTCTCAGGATGACCCTTTTGAAGGTACAGCTTAAAGTTCTTGACGGCATTTTCACGTTCGTTCTCTAATGATAAATAGACCGAACCAAGGACAGAGTAAGCAATAGAGAAATTGGGATCTCTCTCCAAGGCTCTCTCTAAATCTTTAATACCAAGTCTAAATTTATAATTATATTAATATCATTATACGCTATCAAGTCAACCCCTAAAAGCCTTCTTTTTTTTCTTCTTCTTCTTACCTTGCCTTTCCTAAAGAAAGATGACATGAAGCACGAAGGAAAAAGACACGAGCAGGAAGGTCAGGATAGGTATCAATGGCTAATGTGAGAGTAGTGATACTAATCAATTAATATTAGTCATTTGACAACTTAGACAAAACAAAACAAAAAACTTACCAGTGCTTAAATTGTCTTCCTACTAATAAAATCCAGGCAGAGAACAAGAGACTGTCTTTGACAAAGAATCCTTCCTTTTCTTCTTCAGGAATATTCTTTAATAAAACCTTTTCATATTGTTGACCAAGAATAAGAATACGTTCAGACATGGGAGCAGCACGCTCGTCCAAAAGCCAGGCTTCGACCATAGTTTCAGATGCTGTCTTGATGTCTTCCTCATGCTTTTCCAAGATGTCGTCGTCAAGGGAGCGAGGAATAGTCATACAGAGTTCATAACCCTTACGGAATAATTCCTTTGCGTTCTTGTAATTCTTGGCATCAGGGTCTGTACACTGATCTAATTTACCACGGGCTTCCAACAGGTCATAAGGTACCAAACGTTGAGAACCTTCCAAGAAGCGGTCTTGGTATTCTTGTTCTTGAACTACCTTTTCTTCAGTATTATTGTTATTGATAGCAACCTCAGTCATTTTTTATTATATTTAAAAGAAGAAAGAAGAAAGAAAGAAAGGGGAAATATAAAGTTTAATAAAGATATGTAATCCCCGCGAGCGCGCAAACACGCCGCACACACGCACACACAAAAGCATTTATTGTAAAATATTGTCCAATAAAGATTTGACGTGGCATTAATTTACACATTTTATATGAACTGCCTTCTATTTAACAATTTACATTTACAAACGAGCTGTTTGTCCCTTTTATAAAAATCTACTCTATTTTCAGGATTATTTACATCAATAGAGTATTTTAGCCTGATTGGATGTGTTTGTCGTTCAGCGTAGAGTAGTAATTCATCTTGTGATATTTGTACTTTCCATTCGTTGGTATTCTATTAAAACATATAAATATAAGCTTATTCTATTCGTACTTGATTACCTGATGAGGCATAGGAATCACAATAACCAATTCATCATTCTTTTTTTGTATAAATTCTTTAGGTTTCCATTCTTCCTTTCTTTGCTCAAGTGCAGTACGTAGCTTGTTAAATGTAAGTTCTTTGGGTTGTTTTACCATCATGGATGGAATTGGTCCTCCCTTGTGAGACATATAAGCCGGTATCTTAAACTCTCTGCTTAAGCTGGCATTCAACTTTTGTTCGACATTCTCTATTGCAATTTCCAACACGTACAATCTATACTCCAAATCCTTTAATGTTCGCGAATATGCTCGTGTCTGGATGACTGTGTCCATAATGATGTGGCCTACATACTCAAAGCATAAGATATAATTTTGATATACATGCCAAACTTACCATCTTCATGTCTTGGCTCACTTACGTATAATGGTAGACGATAGGTTGAAGTTGGATCTCCATTCAAGGCTTTCTTTAATTCCTGTTCATCTCCAGTGTATTCAGGCCCAGGAAGGTTACAATTAAAGCAAATGTTGATATAAATTGACGTTCCAGGCTTTATATTACTCGTAGATTTTACTATCTTTGTCTTGCATACAAAGCCTACTTGAGGTTGTATTGCCATGTCTTCAAAGTCGCACTTGTTTAATTCTCGAGTCATTTGAGATGTCAGTTTCTCGTAGTCAGCAGAATTTCTAGCCACTTGCTCTGCAATAAAGCTTTTTATAAGAGCCATTTCTTCTTGATTGAGCTCATTTATATCTCTATTCAGCTTGAATACATTTGCTGTTTCTTCATTAATTTCTTCAAGTATCGCCATTTTAAAGAAAAAAAAGTAGTTTGTTTGTATATAAAAATACTTGTGTGACGTACGATCACTTAAAACTGTCCCATCGTGAGTTCGCTACCCTTCTTTTATTAATGACAGCCAAAACACGCGTTACTTTAACATTTGGATGTGCACATTATCTTTATATTAACTCAATTGATCCAAGTAATAAACTAAGGAACCTCAGGTTAGCTTAGAAAAGAGAGAGGAATAGATATGGGCGATAGGGTCTAAATACTTGTAGAACGTTAAACCCCCGAAAGAGGGAAGGTCAAAAGCAAGATTGTCCAAAAATGGGCATTACCAGTGCCGTGAGTGTACCTGATATTTCTTCCTTCTTCCTTTCTCTCTTTTTCTACTTCATCACACAATAGATTCCTAATGACCACTGACTCAGTAAGCTCAGTCAGCTCGAGACTCAATACACTTGTACAAGTAAGACCACAATTAAATGGGGGTAGATTAGCCTTTCATCATCGAAACAAGCTTCTTACTATTTGTTATTATTCTAGGAAAAGCAGTTTTACTGGTGGTTAGGACATATTTGCATTGTGTTAAATAGTGTATTCTATTTCAGTTCAGTATTATCTTTTCATGCTAATCCAGTCTATTATAAAAGAGCTTACATGGGCGCGCTATTATCCTATGCCATTGTTATTTATAATTCAATAAGAGTAAGTTTTTATACTATGTGTGTATGGTTTATTTAACTGTACATAAGCAGGCTAATAAGAAAACCTTTGATATTCATATTCTATGTGACGAGAACGTTCATTATTTTGTGATTGCATTTTACTGGTACTCAGCGCCTCCTATTGCAGGTAAGGGAGATAGATGAAGTGTTGTCCTATATTTATTCTATTCATATAGTCACCCTGATCCCATTTGTCATTTTCTCAATATTTCATATGTTAACTTATACAAGAACAAACATCATTCCATTATTTATACCCAAAAAGAAAGACATTCAAGGCTTATTTATTGAAAAGATAGATCATCAGATAAAACTTTTTACAGAAAGACAGCATATCACAGCCATCAAACTAGTTGCTTATATCGAAATTATTGTGATCTCGCTTAGGCTTATCCTTGGTATATTCATGTATACAATGACGTTTGGCTGTTTTACTTTCTTTTCTCATTACGATCTTTTAGATTCTCTACATCAATACTTTCAATCATTGTATTTATTCACTTCTTACGTTTACGGTACTATTTGTCAAACGAATCAAGAGAAGCAATGCATCAAATTTCCTATTACATGGATCAATGGTTACTTATGCCAAAAGAAAAAAGAAATACAACACAGGCTGCTGTAGCAAATATTTATTTTAATATCAAGAGATTCATGGTACGTTATGGAGGCGTCCACACTAATAAATGAGCTTATCAATAAATCCATTTCCCTTTTACCCTCCAACTCACTGCTTTTTCTCTCTCTTTCTCTCTCTTTGATACATCGTCGCTATCTTTATTAAGCTTGATTTAGTTTTTAGCTCTGGCTGATTACGTGTGTAAACATAAAAAATGGATGATGTTGCTTACATACAAATATATAAAAAGACGTTACTTACTTCTAATTGCCAGACATATATTTGTCAGAAACAAAGGATAGTTTGATATTCCATTGTGTATTTCCTTTTTTTTTTCTTTTTTCTTTATTTTAAAGAGTGCTCAACAGGAGCGAATTATCTGTCGAAGAATTGCACAGTATATTCAAACATGTTGAGCAGTAACAACTAGCTTAAAAGGCTAGAAAGAGGCTTTGTTGATGCTATTGCATATCAACCAATAGAGAGACAGAAAAAAGGCATACTTCCTAGCAACAAAAACTCATGCAACCAATTCCAACTCAGGACCGCCCTTTTTTGTCTTTTCAAGATCACAGATGTAAACAGACCAAAAAAGTATAAAAGAAGGCCATTTTTCATTCTCTCAAGCTTTTCCGGTTTGACCCAATTTTGATAGTGGCCTTTACGATGCTTGAAAAAGTAGGTAGCCTTTCTCTCAGAAGGGAGGAGGGATTAGCTTATCAAAATTTTTATAGAGTTACTTCGGTAACTCTCTTTTATTACTTCGGAAACGCTGCCCCTTGTGATTGTTGGCTACAATGCAACAGAGTGAGATATAAACTAACGTAAATGAAAAAAAAATCTTAGTGAATACTAGTAACTAAGTTATGAACTAGCTGCTATGACAACCATTGTCGTACACATTCTATAGTACAATAAGCCTTTGCTTGTAGAAAAGATAGAAAGAATTTAGGAACAAACAAACTGTTTATTATTGAGCTCTCATTTGGCATTAATCACTGACATTACCATCTTGAAATCATATGATTTTTCCAATGTGTGGTAATCTGTTTTGCTTTTCTCTTCTTCCTTCTTTGACAATAGCAGTAAAGCAAATACATAAACAGGCTAAGCTGGTATGAACTTTTTGCTAAGCTTCAACAGCAATATTTAACACGTTAATAAAGATGTTGAATATAAGAAAGGTTAGCTAATAAAATGTAAACAAACTGTAAGCAAATGCTTGAATAGTATTATTTAAATTACGAAGTTTATAGTTGGTCTGAATGACTCTTGAACCTTTGATTTCTTTAAGTTGAATAAGCTATATAAAAGATAAAATCGTATTTCAAAATCTATAATCGCTGTTTTTTACGTATGGTTATTCTTGTATGGAATAGCATATTCTTTTGTTGCACTCTATCATCACCTACACCAGATGAATGGACACACTTAAATCATCACCGAAGTGATGACCTAAGGATCCAAAAGACCAACCAAAGTGGCTTTAAAGTGGCATTATCACCATCAGAGGTTGATTCTCTTTTTAGAGATGGATATCTTGATAAAACACTATGGTCTGACTCTAAATAAGATACCAGGATAGAGCGAATATTCGAAGCAGCATTTATATCCCTTTGCCATACCTATTATTACTCATTAAAACTAATATTCTTATAATTTGCATTGCGCTTACGGTATCACAATCATTTGCAGCTGGGCACAACTTGCAATGTTTCAACTGATAAATGGCCAGAGGATAGACTTCAGATAAGGTTCATTAATAGACCTAGTATATGACTTCACGCACAATTTTACTTATTGCTGGGTTCTCTTTGTGAGCACTCCGATGTGCGATAAGCAATCCTCTTGTCATCGTTTAAACATCGTAGAATAGCATTACTCTGCCCTTGCAGACGAGCTTTTTTTTTCCTTTTGAACATAAAAAAAGTTAAAGTTATATAATGTTACAAAAGCTGTGATTTGCTTACTTACGACTGCAGACAAGCATTCGCCTTTCGTATTTGTTCTCGAGGCGCTGGTGGCATTTGGAGCAGGTTACACTCGCCCTGAACCCATCAGCAGAAATTACTAATGCCCTCTGAGCCAAAGTCTTTTGAACTTTCTGTATATAAAACGAACATTAGCCTATTCAACAAAGTGATAAAGTTGCTATACTACTCTATCTTCACAGGGATCTGAGTATACCCTGCTTTTGTTCCAGTCAAGCCTGCATCACGATAGGCGATTACCATTCGTTTGCCTCTTTTGTAACTATTCCGTTTGCTTTTTTGAATTTATTCTTTTTTTTTTCTACTCTTTGAATTTGTTTTGTGGACAAGGGTATAAGGAGCACCAACGACAGTTTGGCCCAGTACAAGATCACACATATGACTGCCTGTGATTTGCCTGCTTTGAGTAAGGCATGCCTTTGTCTCACGATGGAGATAGCCTATCATAAAATCAAAAACTCTATAAGAGACAAACGATAAGTATGACAAACAAGGTCACTCAATTACATTGTTCGGTTTCTATCGATGGTCCTCAAGTACTTCAATACTTTATTGCTATTTAGAGAATCTATGGCAGGGACCTCGTCGTATACCTGCTGTATACTATACGCCTCTCTGTTCTTTAACTCAATCTTTCTTACCCACTCGAAAGCCCGAGAGCATCCTAACGAAGCGTCAATAAAAGGTTTTTTTTTTTTTAATTAAACAGAAGATTATATAAACTAGCGTATACTTACTTATATTCAGCATTAGAAAACTTTGTTATGTTTTCCTTTGCTGTGTTCTTATCTGTGATTTGTTCAGCTGAGCGATCCGTTACAACAAATATATCCCTTAAGCCAATGTATATTGTAAGCATTACCTGATATTTTCAAAATAATGCTCATGCCTGGATCTAGACCGATTATTCTGTCGGCCATGGCTATCCCTGTAGGCTCTTTCTTCAACGGGTATAGCCCTTTGCTCCAATTGCTCAAGTTAACTCGTCTTTTCATAAAGCTCATTTCATTATCGTTTTGTGGAATTTGCTTTGTTTGAATAATTGATCAATATTTGAAGTGTTTGAAAATATTTTTTCATTACCTATTGACTTCTTTATGAACAAGATTGCCACCATATGTTTGTCTGTCTTTCATCCGTAGTCCAACCTGGGATATGGCTGACTTCCTTTAATAGATTTATAATTAAGAATGATGAATAAGTTACTACTAAAGCAACAATATAAACATATCTCGACTGGCACTGCTTCTCTTCTTCTGTATGTGGTCCAAATTAAAGGGTGTTTTCCACAGCTTTTTTTCCAAGCAACATCTCCGTAGTGATTCTCAAAGCTTGTAGGTCCTATCAATGCTTTAATACGTTGTATAACAGCGCTGTTAGTATAGCACACAGCTGGATATTACAGAATAGAAATACCCTTTTCTCTTCAAAACTATGCTACTCAATATATACTTGTTGGGGAATTTTTAGACCATTGTTGAAGCCTCTCTCGAGGACACCATGCATTGCATGAATACCGTTTAGCGGCACAAATACTATCAATGGTTGTTGTCGTTAATAATTTTTGATAATACTCATATATGACTTATGCATGTTATTGCTTGACCTAGGTATAACATGCCAAGCCTTGATATTTAATTCCGGCTTTGATGCTGCTTCTTTTAATAACTTTGCACTAATGCGTACAAGTTTTGCAGAGTTTTTTGGGCATATGTATAATCAGAAATTGATTCAGAGGCATCTTTGTTAAATACATCTTTATATATGCCAAGTATTTTGCTAGATGAGATAATTAATAGTTCGCATTTAGATACCTTTTTTACAACATACTTGTACTGCTAGTAAAGCCTTTCTAATACAGTATTGGCATCCTTGTATTCTTTATAGAGCTCGATGCTTTTAGCAGCTTTGGTTGCTAACAAATTACTGTAAGGTAACACAATATAAAAATAAGATATTAACTCACCAATGGCTCTAGCAATGAATTATTGGTTTGTACTTTCTTTAAAACCTCGAAGGAACCCTAAAAGGGCTCGAAATATGTACAAGTTCACGTTTTGCGTAAGATACAAAGAAATATCTTCAAAATAAATAAGATTACATAAATCAACTAGGTTATTTTAAATTACTTTGTATAATGAAAGAAGTACAGATGTTTGATATTGCTACATGTAAACGGTCCAAGACAGGTATTCTATATAAATATTCTATTGAAAATCGTTTGGTGTTAAAATAGTACATGTTATAATGCCTACCTTTTGTGTCAGGAGATCTTGTGGAATCAAATGCTCCAAAACAGTCATTGATATCCTTGAAGAATTTCTACGCACATTTCATTAATGATCAAGAATTAGATATAATTTTGACTTATAATTCTTCCATTATGCTTGTCTTTATCATCTGCTACTTTTCGATACAAATGAGTCCAAAACTTGGACGTCGTAATCAGCGAAAAGTCACTTCTAGAAAGCCCATTTTCAATTCATTTGCTCACTATAAAAAGACCAAAGTTCATTGCATCTACTCTCACAATTGAGAACTTCTGATACTTGTCGAAGTATTTGTTATGCATAAAAATATAGTTATTTTATATTATCCATAACAGCAAGGTGGTTGTGAATTTAGGCTTTATTCTTACACCATATTCTTTATAGCCAGTTTTAATAAAGAAAATAATTTGCATCTTCTCGAAATATGATTATCCGGAGGATTTAGAACAACATCTTTTATAGCTTTTTGTTTTTTAGGTGATGGAAGAGGGTTTGTAGAGAATGGAGCTGTTTTACTTACACAAGTTATTAGTAAATTATGTAAAATGTAGTACATATGAACACTTTACGAGGCATGTTGATAATAATAATGAAAGAGAAAAAAAAGATACGACAGCAATTTTGTTTTTTCGAATACTTTGGTCAGCTTCTTTTTTTTTTGTCAGAAAATCGATTAACTTTTATATACCTTCTTATCAAGCTGCAGTGATATATATTTAAAGCAGAATAAGCACGAGTTAGAGGTATATGGACAGAATTTGATATCCCAATGATGTTCTTACATTAGATAAAGAGAATTATATGTACAGGAACCTTAAAATGGTTTATTAAAAAAAGTGATTGTGGCAAATTATACATCAAGGATTGAAAGAAGCTAGAAGATGACCATGGGCAGGATATCTTTGGAAACCTTGTATGACTGCCATTCCACATGGAACAAGCGACTGTATTGGCTTTGCAGTAAAAGAGTGAAAGAATTGGATACCAGCTAGTCATCACCTAAGTAAAGGCGACGATGTAGGAAAGTAGCAGAGCTATATACTAGAAAGATCGACCAATTCATTCAAAAATTCAGTATATACCCAGCATTTATGTTTTATTTTTAAAACTATTACTTAGAGCACGAGCGCTTCTTTAAGTGTGCTAGAGTCTACCAAATACAAATTTTCACCAATATGGCAACGAACAACTATATTGAGAGTTGGCATAACCAATTGAAGACAACTTATTTACAAAGAAAGAGGGATAGAAGACTGGATCGATTAATATTTATCTTAGTTGATGATGCTCATACAGATTTTATGCACAACACCGCAAGGATGGCCGCCAATATTGGACGTATGAGCTCAGAAACTAGAAAGGCAAGAAAGAGAATGATTGCAGCAGGAGAGATCAATAAGCTGTCATTGGAAGATATGGCGCAGAAAGTGTATATTGATGAAGAGGCTTGTTACATTGTCAAGTCTTTCACGACGGAAGTTGTATACAATATATTAACTGAGCAAGGAATGATGACTGCGTGCAATTGCATAGCCTTTCAACTAAATAGGCGTCCTTGTAAGCATATGCATTTGGTTTATCACTTCGTTCGTAGCTGAGCGGTTTACAGCCAAGATAGCTTGTCACAGTAGTAACATAAGAAATGCTACATTGTACTAACGACATTACTTAGAAATTGACTCAAGTTTGGGAATTCATACCATGGTTGAAACAACCCTTGTCCAGAGTACTGTGGAGAATAATCATATCGAAGCAGTTACTGAAAGCTCTGATATACTTCAATCAGAAGATGGAAGTAGAACGGGTGAGTTGTTGACAAGCATCAGAAAGTCATATACATTTAACTTCTGAAAATAACAATAAACTGTTACAAATTTATAATGAGCCAAGACAGCTGTTGTCAACTAATGAAGAGATACAGCTTCCACCAAATATAAATGAATTGCCACGTCAGAGCGGGCATCTAAATAAATAGCCGAAATCAATTTGGTGAAGTGTTGTATATCTCTCTCTTTCTTTGTTTTAATTGTACCAAGATTGATATATCAACATGGCAAGCTCTTTTAAAGAAACCCACTTTTGTACTTGATGACTTATATATACATTTTTAGGCAACTCAAACTATTGAAACTAATCATGAGGACATGATTGTAAAGTATATAAAACGCGCATTTTTGCTATATAATAATATTAACATCATAACAGCATGATGCTCAACTTGATTATTACTCTCGACGCTTAGCTACTGCCTCATCTGATCACACCATCAAGATATTTAATGTCGATGGAGACAATCATACATTAACCCATACGATCACTGAGTAATTACGATAAAGAAAAAGAGAGAAAGGAGAGCTAACACTTTTAAAAAATAGCAATACAGCTCCTGTATGGCAAGTTGCTTGGGCTCATCCAAAGTTTGGCACAATCTTGGCATCTTGTGCTTACGATGGTCGTGTTCTTATATTTAAGGAACAAAATGGCACCTGGACAAAGATTCACGAAAATAACAAACACACAGCTTCAGGTATAAAATAGTTTATAAAAAAAAAAAAGAGAAATATTGATTAATAGTTATTTATCAGTAAACTCTGTTGCTTGGGCGCCTCATGAGCTTGGCGCCATTTTAGCATGCGCTTCTTCTGATGGAAAAGTATCTATTCATGAATACAAAGGTAAGTCAACAAAAGAGAAAGGGGGAAAAGTGAATGTTACAAAATGGTTAACATTTGAAAAAGATAATGGATCTTGGGAAACACAAATGATAGATGCTCACGGTATTGGATGTAATGCGGTTACTTGGGCACCAGCTGCTATCCCCGGTAGCTTAGTTCAAGCCAGTGGTGGAAATCCGAATGTAAATGTAGTTAAAAAGATTGTTTCAGCAGGTTGCGATAACTTGATTAAAATCTGGGGATACAAGTAATATAAAAGTAGCTTGACAGCAATATTTTAATATATTTTTATAGAGAAGAGACAAAATCTTGGTATGAGGAAGAAACTTTAGATGGACACTCTGACTGGGTTAGAGATGTTGCTTGGGCACCCAATGTAGGGCTTCCCAAGAGCTATTTGGCTAGCTGTTCACAGGATAAGTCGGTTTTGATATGGACTCAAGAGCATCCTAAAGCTGAATGGACTCATAAAACACTGGGTGAAAAGTTCCCTGACGTTGTCTGGCGTGTTAGCTGGTCATTATCTGGGAACGTTTTGGCTGTCTCATGCGGTGATAACAAGGTTACTTTATGGAAAGAATCTTCCAAGGGAGATTGGGAACTCCTTCAAACTGTGGAAGAAAATGCTTAAACTTTTATAAACATAACTATTGTCAATACCTTTTACTGTAACCTTTTTTCCCTGTCTTTTTTAATAAAAAGCCTTTTCCTCTCCAGTAAATCCAGAATATATCATGTATCTTGGTTGTAATTACCAGAACTTATCAAGTAATTTACTTGTAGAAACACATAGAAACAAGCATAGAAACAGACTGTGTTGATCTCTTACTTCTGTTACCATTGGCATTTCTTAATTAGGAAAATCGTAACACAAGTATTATTAGATGCTGAACAACTTTATAGAATCAATTTTGGTTTTCTAATCCACTATCCATGGCAGTTGACATACCTTATCAAAGAGTTCACAACGGCCAAAATGAGCTAAAAGGCAGTTTACTTTTCAAGTATAGACTGGCAAAGGCTTTGACAATGGGAAGTTTGATTGCTATAGTCTTGATGGCAGCTTATTCTCTATTCTATCCAAGTAAATACAGTACAATCCATATAATTGACATGCTCAAATTCTTATTGACTTTAGATGTTGTGTACGATAAGGATAATACAAATACTAGTGATCAAGATAACACCTTGCCAATCACTTTTACTCCTCAAGAAGGTCATTGTCATTTACCAAGAGAAATCCTCATAGAGCACCCTACAGACGGATCTTATGCACCACCACCTCCACACAACTCTTTATTGCGTGCTGTAAGCTATGCCTCTAATGAAGAATATCAGAATTACTGCAAAAAATATGATGAGAGTAAAGGAGGCTTTACAGACGAATGGAAATATAATGAGAATGGAGAATGTGGTAATTGGCAAGAGAAATATATCAAACTTCATCAAAGAAATATGGCATTGATGGAAAAGTACAAGAAAGGAGAATTTCCAAAGAATATCGATTTTGAAAATAGACCCAAGTTTATCTCTTATCTCTGTAAAGAAGTGCCTGTGAATAGTAACAGAGGGTGTGGTGGACTGGCAGATAGAATGGGTGGTAAGGAGTAGCATCGTTTACTAACACCGTATACAATGGCTCATTATATGCTTCTAGGTATGATCTCAACCTTTTTCTATGCTTTGCTAACTGATAGAGCATACCTACTACATTGGCATGAAATGAACCCTTTACCTTTGGAGGATGTTTGGGAGCAGCCACATATCAAATGGTCACATGATCCAAAGGAAATGGAGGATTTGTTTAGAGATGATGAAAACCCGTTACTAGGATATCAAAATGTAGATATTTTGAATAGAAAGTACGATGATCTTACGCATACCATGTTTCCTGATGGCGGAAATACCGATTTTAAAGAATTATGGAATGGGACTGTAAGGGCATATAACGCATTCTATTAGAAAACGAATTAACCTCTTTCTTTTTTATAAAGTATGTCGAAGTACGATCCAACCGTGGCTTTATCATTCGCACCTTTCAACTATCTTCAAAGTATAGAAAGCAACTAAATACTATGGGCTTAACAAAGGAAAACACGTTCAAGTGTATCACCAATTTTCTTTTTCGTCCAACCATTGGATCGCGTCGCTTCCTCAATGCTTATAAAAATTTATTTGAAATGAAAAGCATCCTTAGTATTGGTATCCAGGTCAGAACAGATGACAATGCTCTTGCCAATCCTCAGTACGATATGAATGGACTGAAGAAATGGGGACACTTTTTAAAGTGCGCAGGCGAACTGGCTGACTTCAAGAGAGAACCACACCACAAACATATTGTTTTCTTCCTAGTAACAGATTCTCATCATTTACGCGATGAATTTGTATCACTTAATGACAAGAAAGATCTGGCTAGAGAATACTTGAGCGAAAGTATTGTTCAATCCTCTAGTTTTGTCGTTACTGGATTGCCTATTGAACATATTGAACCTGAACAAGTAGCAAAGTACATTGATGTTGAGAATCCAAAGGAAGTCAACAAGGCTACAATGCAACCTGCTGTCAACAGTGCCTACATGGAAAATTGGCTTCTTGGTCTTACACAATATCGGGTTATCTCTGTACAGGGTTACGGTAAGATGGCTGCTTTTTACTCAGGAAATGACAAGACTTCGATTTCTATGCCAAAGATCGGTAGAACTCCTCCTGTTTGCTCTGTAGATTCATCATTTGTTACATTTAATTGGTTAAGCACTCAGTGGAGTTTGGGTTAAGTTTGCATACAACTGCAAGCCACGGTTGTTACTATTTCTTTTTTTTTTTTTTCATAATAAAGACATGTCTGTGGCAAATCAGATTGAACAAAGTACTTGACCTTCTTTCAATTTTTCAACAAAGTTCTCATATAGTCTTTATATGTAGTTCTTGCTGAAAAGGAGCATTTAGCAGAGGAAATATTGATTAACAAACAAGCTGTATGAAATGTCGGTTGATCATTCCAATACTGATGAACTACACCATTAGGTTATTGATTTTGACAGAAAGCGTAATTCTAATAGAGAAGCATTAACTCACATAAAAAAGACAGACGAAAAGAAACTATGGACATTCTTTGGTGACATGTTTATCAAGCTTTCAACAGATAAAACTAAAGAGTTAATACAGAAAGGTTATTGTTCTCATAAATAAGGCAGCATATTATCTAATGCATGGATAGATCAATCACTATTGGATGAAAAGATAGAAGAAGCAAGAAACAAGATGAAAGTAAACGCAGCAAAGATACAGGAAATTGAAGGCAAAAAGGACATGCATGGATTTAATTTAAGTGGAATAACAGCAACAGATTTATATAACAGCGTCAAGTAAAAATGACAAGTGGGGCTACAGTATTCGTGATCGAACCAGCTAATAAATTCTCATCCTTTAAATAATCTTTTGGAAACAGTACAATATGCCCTTGGATCTTTTCTAGCTCTTGGCATATGTCCTCCTCTGTTAGTGTAGGATCTGCTACATGTCCAGGATCATCTGGCATGAAGGCTCGATGCTGCTCATATGTGTGAATGGTATCATCAGGCACGCATCGAAACAGTTTTCGATATACTTTGGTATTTGTTGTTGCGCGCTTCATCCAAATACTTGTGTAGAATCGATCTGATAACGGATCAAGCACGGCAGCATCATGGCGCTTTAAATGACGATGTGACTTGAAGGTATCATAAAGACTATAGGTTCGACTAGCCCTATCCAACATCTTGACAGGCTCATCCGCTTCGATTTGTCTTATATCTTCTGCGTTATTGTGTGATCGAGCTAAGCTTGGATATATGGTCAAGTGGCGCGAGATGCCCAATTCATTGACCTCTCGTTCTACCGTGCCCTTTAGTAAATCTGACCACCTTTCAAAGTTTAGTAGGCCCAAATGTTCCTTCCAGAGCTGCATGCGTAGAGTGTGAGCAAATTTAGCCGCTTGATACTCTTTACCATTCATATATGATTGAACCATTTCAGTGTCTTCGACAAGCATCGCTACTTCCGAGTCTCTGTTGCCTAGCTGAGATCTATCATTGATATTGGCTTCAAATAAATGAGTCAAAGGTCATGCTTTAAAGGCGTTATATACCTGATCCCATCAATACAATCCTGTCATCTACGATCATCAGCTTGCTGTGAATATACAATATTTCGGTAACATAACTGTATCTATCATCTATGGTTGGATAACTCTTTCGTCTAGGTGGGCTAGATGACGTTTGATTTGTTGGTACTCTATTAAGGTCATCAAATGGATTTTCTGTTCTTGGTGGCACCTTTAGCTTTGCATAATTTCTTAAACTAAACCAATTGATATACTGATCTGGATCGATTCCATACTGTCTCAGCTTTTCCATGATAGAATGGCCACCTCTGGATATAGTTGTATACTGGAAATGCATCACGTTTCTATTCATATTGTTAGACATATATGTATAGTATGGCTGCATTTATTTACCTAGCAGAGTAAGCCTCACTAGATGCCAAATCACCTTCAAAAGCAGGAATTAATGGCATAATGATAAAGACGCGGAACTTTTCTCCTTTATCATGAGCTCGCTTTATACGTGAAACTAGTGCTTCAGCGATTTTGTTTCTTAGCAATTTATCTTCAGTCGTTGTGCTAACTATTTATATTATCAGCAAGAAACCAAAAGGAGATAACGAGCATGACTTACTAAAGAATTGATTTTCGATATAAATAAAGTGCTTAGCATGAGTAATGCATTCCATATACGCATTATAAATTGAATGCTATGATTACACAAGGTTACCATGACTTATTATCTGCAAGGCATCTTTACTCTTACCTCACGTTCAATATCGCTACTCCATCTTGAAGAGCTTCTCAGTAACTGCACTTTACACGTTCCCGAAAATTTGCTTTCGTCTCTTGCTGCGACGTACTCCCCCTTGGGCATCAAAAAAGGAACAGCTCGTCGATGCATACTTTTGGTAGTCTTCAAAAAGTTCCATCGTTGAATGAAATGTCTTGATATATCACGAGCAATAGGGCCAACCTATAGGATTGCAAAATAAGCCCTCTCTTATTTTAAAATAAATCCTATACTTACTACACCAAGTGTAACGTCATGCCATGGCATTCGAGGGGTGGTAGTTCTGTTGACAAGGGTTCTGTCATACTGAGCTACGTTAATAAAATCCTTGACTCTTGGATTTGAATAGTCTTGCCCAGGAAATACTTCACGGTCATGCCCTTCTGCAGGGAAATCAGAAAGAGAGTGAGCATGTGTGTCATAACGTCTAATAAATCAAGGTGTTATAACATGATTGACCTATACTATAATCCCTTTATCTAACCCAAAACATAAATCAAGTCCTCCAATAAATGCCAATCTATTATCAACCACTACAATTTTCTACAACATAATCAATGGACAATTTTCAGATAAATACCTTCTAGACGTTTACCTCATGATGTGACCAGAATAGGACAGTGTCGTTTTTACCCAAGCTATGATCCGGGTGTCTTTGTACTTGTAGAGTATGAATTATTTAAAATGATGTTTCAGTCATATTCACTTACCAATTATATTTGGATGTAAGTTTTGAAGTGTTTGCTTTGTATGTACAGAATCAATGGTTAAAGCAAGTGACATTTCTTTATAGACAACAATATAGATCTTGACGCCTTCGACTGCTTTACGCTTCAATAATCTGTCGAGCCTAAAATCTTCATTTTCTTCTGGAGGTCTTCTCAGATACTACTTTTATGATTTAATTCGTACAATTTACGTATAGTAATCATTTTGTATTTATGTTACCAGTTCGGGTGACAGCCACCAGTCAGCGATATATATTTCGACTTTGGCAGACAAAATAGCTTCAGCCACAGCATTGAAGTGATCTAAAGTAGAGAGCAAAAAAAAAGAGAATGAAAATGAGCAAAAAAGAGAAACAGAATGAATATCAAGAAAAAAGGCTGTTTATTACTTTCAGCGTCAACAAACCATTTCACTTTTGCATTATGACGAATTGGAGCAAACGATGCAAAACGATGATGATATACCCAAGGACTTTCACTCTTTACCTTTTCAATACTTTCAATCCATTGATCTATTTCTCTTTTTGTTCCTTTAATCTCTATTTCTCTTGACTGGTTACGTATCTTGATGTGATAATTTCCTAAATAAACTCGAGGTTCCAATACCTCAAAACGAAGTGAGCTGTCGAACAAGAGAACGTCTGTTGGTTCTGAGGAGGCTGCGTCTTTACTAAAGGCCATGTATGAGTCACGCAAGATGATCCATTCTGTTGTCCATCTTTTTGTGATTCTTGAGATGCAAAAGCATTTGGGTGCTACATATCGAATACGGTTCTTCAGATAGCCTTCCTTACCTTTCCATCCCATATCATGCGCAATACTGATAGCTGATAACTCAAGAAACTCACAAATGTCATAGCTTGCTGTGACGTGTGCACGTAAGAGAAGAGCTCTGAGGTAATCTGTCAAAGTAGCGCGTCGATTATAGTTGATCTGTTTGCTTTCAAAAAGGCCAATGGTCGATTTGGCTGTATCCAGCAGATTGGATAGCTGGTTTGGAAAATTGGGCGGATCAGGAACGTAGTCGTACAAGTTTGACTTGACTTTGAGTTTAAAGTGGAGTGCCATAAAATCAGCAATGTTTCGACGAATAACCCATTTGACATCGCCATATTGTAACTCTACTCGAAACACCCACTGATTGATACCATCAACATATTCAGAGTCGGTCACTGTGGCCTATGAGTTTGTTAGTATCATAAAAGAATATGTTTGTATTATTTACATAAATACACTGCAGTAATATAGGTGGCTGTATATAACAGGAGTTTAGCACAATGTGATATATATTTGCTTTTGCAAAGGCTTACTAATTTTCTTCCGTATTCATCTCTTGCAAATGCGGTAAACACAGGATCAAATGCGGGAGGATAATAAGTGGCTAAAGTGTGGGATGGGCCTAGAATAGGCTGTACTACAACTGGCTGATGACTTGTTAGGTTAGCAATAAACTTCAATTTATCGATTGTTCTGTCCCATTTGTCTTTTATTCGACCTTCTTCGGGAGGAGCGACTGCTCTATAATAATCACTGATATCTCGTCTATTTTCTTGTTGATGTTGATGTTGTTGTTCAGGAAAAGGATGGGTGAAATAATCACTAGCTTCTTTTTCAGGAGTCATTGCTTTCGAAAGGTCAGCAGCCGATGGTAACCTTTCTTCTTCTTCCCCAGGCTTGATATCAATGATACTTTTTGCAGCAGAGCTACTGTAGGCTTCATCTAGAGTCGTGTCTTCACTAGAAGCTTTACTTTTCATGAGTTCAAATGTGTCTCGATCATTGTAAACAGAGTCATCATCTCCATGGAAGTAAGCAGGTGGAATCAGAAAGGATATACGATCAAGTACACGAGTCCAAGGTCGTTCTGGTATATGACGTGGTAGTTCTTCAAACTGCTGCTGATACTGCTGTTGCTTATTATAGCGAGTAAAGTAGTCTGCTGTATCAGCTATTGGATTCGACATGGAGTAAACTAAAAAAGGAACGATGGGGGAAACAGGCAGAGAGAATATATAAAAATTACTTGGGTGATACAAGCAAATATTGCCCTCTCTTTTTTAGTCTTTTTTAACAATATTAGCATTTACCACGCTTTAATTAATAGCTTTTATCTGTACACATTATTAGAACAATGAACTGACCTAAGCCATATTTATGAGTAAAACATGAATTTATTGTAAAGAACAACTTCATACTAATTCCTTCTTTCTGGCATCAAGAGGATTTACAGTAAGAAAGCCCCCTTTTTAACGATTCAAATGCAGTAGACTTTTTGTATTTGTTGTCAAGCTATCCGTGACACTTGAAGCAAGTTACACTCATCTTGTATTTATCAACAGATGTTGCTCTAGCTCTTTGTGTGTTCAACTGCTGTGTCAAAAGCAGATTTTCGCATGTAGCTGTCAGAAGGTATTTGCCGTGAAAGGTTATTCGACATTATTTGTACGTAATGAAGGACGGGAGCTATTGATGGCTGGCATTTTGTCGTATGCAGGTTGAATATTGGCGTATTTTTTTTTTTTTTTCCAACTCTGCTTTTCTAAACGCTTATTTATATTCAGCATTGAAAAATTGATAGTGCCTCTTTTGATTGCTATCAGGTCATTTTGAGGGCTAGAGTAGAATCTTGTAGCCTGTAAAGACAAGTTTACTTGACAGGAAGAAATGTTGCTAAAGGTATATATGTACATCTTTTTACAAAATAGATAAACTCAGAAGGAAAAACATCATGTTACTACTTGCTGTAGTAGATGTGCTAGTTTAGTACCCAGCAACACCGTATCACTGCCACTTTATTGTACATGTCATTTTCGGTATCCTTTAGTCCTATGTGTGCTTTTGATAGCAATGATGCACTCTGTACCAGGATCAATTATTCTATCAACGTTAGTGATACCTGTTGGTTCTTTGTATAATGAGTACAGTCCTCCTTTAGAGGTTGGCCTTTCTTTTTAAACGTTCATGAAGTACAACTAGACAATATTCATTTAGAGAGATATAGCGAAGAGAAGCGAGTGAGGCTTGATCTTGGATAAACGCTAATGTTACACAAATCACTACACAATGCCCATTGACTTGCATACAAGATCAGCCGTCTGCATTACTGGCATTGAAAAAAAAAAAAAAAAAAGATCAGATAATTGCTACACAGTAATTTCACTTATAATTTTCATTATTATGTATTGTAATTAAGAAACGAAAAAAAGAGAGTCGTCATCCTTTTTTAAAACTCGGCAAGATAGGAAAACAATGATTTATGATGATGACATGATAACCACTCATCGAGAAACATTTGAAGGTTAAATGCGAGTTGCATGTGAGTGGGGTTGTTCATTATCAAAATTCCTTTATAAATATTTCACTATTTTCATTCTATTTTCTTTTCTTTTCATTTAAACCTTTTCTTTCTAATGATTTCAAGCTGGGAGTTGTCGTCATTAACAATAGGTATAATCATTATTTCTACTATTGCCGGAATAGCCATCATTTCTTTACTGTTTATATTTTTAAAAATACGAAAAAAGAGAGGGAACTGTGATGTCGAACAACAAAAGAAAATTAAACCCATTATAACCAACACAACTGTCTCAATGACCAATAGTAGTAGTAATCATCATCAACGTCATCCTTCATCTTCAGCACCCATCACTTCTTCACTTGATTCACATGATATATTTTCTTCTTTACTAGAATATCCTCCCAGTGTGATACCTCCGACAAGCAATAACAATAGCATTCATAATCTAGAAAATGATCCAATTTTACTTTCATTAGCGAGACAAAGCATGGAAGAAAGAGCTGGTTACTATAGAAATCCTTCTAGAAATCCTGTTCCATATTATAATCATTCAACCCACTCTTCTTCCAGTTCCGATAATCGTTTAGTCATACGCGAAGAAGAAGACGAAGATTTAAAAGTCATCCAAAGGTGGTCTCAATCATCCTATCATGTCTGGTAGTGTAAATAAACCCTTATACCCCCATTTTCTCTCTCTTCTCCTTTTATACATAATTTATCCTTTTCCGTATAAAAACTCGTTTACATAAACATAAAAATAGTACAGAAATAACTTTATTAAAAAAAAAGGTATAAGGGATTTCTCGAATGCAAACACAATTTACAAAATAAAAGTTGAAAAGTATCTAACATATGTACAATTTATACATTATTTTCTCTAAGTTTGATTAATGGACCTAAATTCACATAAGTAAATCATATCATTTTACTTTTGTCTATGACTTTACCTAGAAACACTTTCAAATAATCGTTCAATATCTGTAGCGCATCGTGTAAATGAGTGATTCCAGAAACTGTATCTTGGATTCTTGATCAACTCTATGAATGTAATCAAGAGTCCCCAAGGATGAGGTCGATTTACAATGAGACGCTCTAATAGTACTCGTGTAATTTGCTCTTTGACAACCTCCTTTGTGCTTTCTGCAAACAAGTAAAGTATGACACAGCTAAAGTAGTGTGTGTGGCTGTTCGGGTATCGGAGCTGGTTTGCAGTAGCACTTAGGAACAAATAGCGACCTTCCGAATCGAGCTCGTTCAGTAGGTATTGGAAGATTTGAATAGGCGCTCCTTGATTCACGGGGATACCCTCAGTGACTCCAGTTACACCTACATAGAATACAAGTGCATTCATCATTGATACATTATATTTGCTGTCCTCTTGTTCATCCTTAGCAAGAATTAGCTTAGAAGGTAAAGAAGCCAAGAATTTGGCTTTATCGATTTGTGATTTCATATAATCGTCAACCTCTTGCTTCAGGTTGTTCTTCTTCAAGATACTAGTGTAATCAGATAGGATATTGGGTGATTGATTGATGTCTGGAAGTAAATCCACTTTAAGATTGGGCGTGAATGGATCCGGTAAACGCATATGACGAGGGAAAGCGCTAAGAATCAAATTACGTAGTTGAATGCAAGATGATGGAATAACATCACAGAGGCTATAATGATAATCGCATAGGAATTCAGGGAAATCATGCAAGAGTACAAGCAATACCCTGAGTGTTCCTCTGTATAGCATTCTTGTGGTATCTTTCAACTTAGCTTTGTGTAAGAAAGGGTTCAAAAACTTGAACAAGGATATGAGCAACTGTTGAAAGATTGGCCATCCCTACATAAAATAAAGGAAATTAGTTCTATATACTAAAGTCATTACTGCTCGCTCCTTTTACCTTTTGATTTTCAGCCAGCAGTAACTTGGGCATAAACATTCTATGAGAAGTCAACTGAAGCCAAGCGAATGTAAAACCAGGGAAGTTTAAAGGCTGGAGTGTGTTGAATGTATTGCTCAATGCACTGAGAATAGACATGTAAACTGTCTGCAGTTGTTGTTCGGATGAATGAAGTTCGCAGAGTAAGCTGGTAAAGAATCTCAAGAAAGGACGTTGATCAAATTGCTGCTGACGTTGATCATGCATTTGAGAAATCACAAGGATAACAATAGAGAGAATCTTGGTAAATAAAGCTATTCTAGCACTATCTGGTGAGTCCATAGCAGCTTTACCGATGGCTGAATTATCAACAGGTGGTTGGGGAAGTTCCATTAAGCAAACAATTAACTTGGAAAGGGCATCAATTGGCAAATAAGTAAGACCGACAGGCTGATTAAGCAGTTGCTTATGTTTGACAGCATGTTCGACGGAGGCTTCAATACAAGTACGATAAAAGAGCGAAGACATGTCTTCCATCTTGAAAATGTTTTGCTGTGAAAGTTGAGTGACAAACACTTTCAATATTTTGTCGGTGCTAGTAGGGTGTTGATAGAGTCTAATCCACTCACTGAATAAAACATGCATCTGTTCGCGAATGGCAATTTCTTCATCAGATAGACCTTGAGGCAACATAGGATGCTGTTGCAGTGTGACAGGAGCGGCCGTACTACCAGGAACAGAGCGTCTACGCATTTCTTCCATTAAAAACAATACGCTTTCGGGCACATTTCCTCGTAATCTGCTTAGTGCTTCTAAAGATGCCATAAAGTCTTGGCGAGTTGCTAAACCGCCTTCTTCATATAAACAAGCACGAATCAATCGAGCAGTAAAATCAATAGCGCTTATACGACCACTATCAATTAGTGTGGCCAGTTCTTGGTCTTGTTCAGGTAAGTTAATAAGGCTGGCTTTGATCAAAGCTACAGTCACAGGTACATTGTATTTACGCTCGTCATCTGCATGCGTTAACCAAGAAGTAACAAGAACTCCAACATTGGGTGATACTTCGCATAATCTTTCAAGAAGGACAACATAAACTTCACGGCCTAGTTGCGTTTCGCTTTTATAAAGCAATTGAACAACCTTTTGAGCGAAAGTGCGTGCTGCTTCTGCTTTATCAAAGCTTGACAAGGCGAGCAAAGGTATCTGATGAATAATAGTAATAATATCATGCTGTAAGGGCAGGTGGCCGAAGCTAGGGACATTTGTCACACTGATCAATTTCTCCAAATCACTAATGTACTGTGCAAACCTTTCCAAGATTTGGTGTGCACTGACTTGTTGCTGCTCTAGCAAAGAAATAAGACCATTGTTATATCCAGAGTGTAGCTCGGGGTGTATCATGCTTCCACCAGGAGCAATGTTATTACGCAGTAAACGTTGCTGTTGCTGCTGTTGCTGCTGCTGTTGTTGTTGTTGTTGTTGTTGTTGCTGTTGCTGCTGTTGCTGCTGCTGCTGCTGCTGTTGTTGTTGTTGTTGTTGTTCCAGTGTTGGTTGCTCTACCATCTGTCCAGCAGGTGCTTGAGGAGCCAGTCTTGGCACACGTAAAAAGTCTTCATATATACGAAGCTGGTTGGTGTGAATTCCATTGGGTTTAGGACGTAAAGGTTCAGGGAGTGTAGCAGGAAACCTTGAAACAGAAAATATGTCCATATCAAAGTATGGTTGAGGATTACCACGTTGTTGTTGCTGTTCTCGGTGCTTCTTGCGGCTGGCATAAGCATTAAGCAATATTTCATCCACTTCCACAATTACTTTTTCCATGGCTGTCTTTTCAATGACTGTGCATACCAAGTCCAAATTATCTGAAGCAGTCAATGCTGCAGCTTGTTCAGCAGCAACTTCACTTAAGCCATTGGATACAAAGGTATTTCTGAGATGATTTATCATACTTGCACGAAGCGGTTCTTTACAAGTCACCATAGCTAAGCTACCAGCAAGACTTCTTGCCATTAGATGAGCTGCCTTTCTCATCTTGTTTTCATCAGATTCCATTGCAAAATCCTTCAAGATTAATTCACGTGTGGATACCGAAGCAATGGCCACCGATCTTTCCACAACAGGTCCAATGATGTCAAAAATGGACTGCTTAATAGCCTGTAACGTCCAGCGTTTGGAATTGGGTTGAGCCGCGTATAGAACTATTTGAGAATTAAAAATCAAGTAGGGGCCTAAGTTGGGAAGTTGAATGAATTCATCCTCCATTTTATCCAATCCTGCAGAAGTAGCGACTGGTGATTGTGCGATAAGATTGGTAATAGGTGGCCTTGAAATAGCATATGGTGAGCTTTCCGGTTTTGCAACAACTGCTGTCGCTTGTGATTGTGGCTTCTTTGGCTTCCTGTTCTTTAATATCATTGTTGGCTGAATTGTGTTCAATTCTATGGATAAAATCTTGCACAAGACTTCAATCTCAAATTTAAGATTCAGTTTGAGGTCTGCATTTTGATAAAGTTCCACCAACAGTTTAAGAATAGCCATGACCCAGGGATTAGGAGGCACAAACACTTTACCCTTCTTGCCTTGTTCAAGCACTTTACAAACAAATGGAATAACCACGATTAAACGACTGCTGTCATAGCCTTCAAGAAGGAGATCTTTAAAGGAGATATGCTTCTGCTTGATAGGCTTATTTTGAGCCAAAGTCATACCGCCTAGCCAAGAACCAAGGTTTTTCAATAATGTTCGTTCAGTCGATGAAGATACTGTGTTATCTGAATTTAACAAAATCTTGATATTGGAATACGTCTCTCGTAGTACATGGTGGTATAATAAAGGACTATCCACAGACTTCAAAAGTAGTAGATAGAGATCATGATAGTTGGGTTCTATGCTAGCTCGTTTCACTACCAAATAGTTGCTGAACCACTGATACGCAGACTGTTGAAGAACATCTTTGAGGTCAATAGATTTGGTTTGCAAGTTATTGTGTGCAACATTGTTGATGATAAACAGTATCTTATCTTGCGTTGCTTCATTTGGAGTCTCATACATAACACTCTCATCCTTGTCCTTTGAAATATCTGGTACGCATATAGCTGTAAACACAGATGTTTGCGGTACTATGCTTTTCAACTTCTCTGGAGGAATACTAGCTGATGATGAAGGTAAGCTGGGAATGGGCTGACCATCCATAATATTTGGTTGTGGAGGTTGCTGCTGCATATGTTGCTGTTGTAACCTTCCTACTTGCATAGCTTGCTTTATCATGTTGACAATTTCTGGATTAGTTAACTGAAGAGCAGGTGCTTGAGTTAAATGAAAACAGTATTGTGGCCATTCAGGTAATCGTGATTGGAATTGTGTAAGGGCTGTTAAACCAAATCTGTATATTTTGGTACCTGGTACATGTCCCAAGGCATCAAGTACATAACGTAGTGCTAATCCAAGAGTAGCGTATGTAAACAGTCTGTGCTGTATTAGTTGACCAAATAAAATACTTGTGATTGTAAGTTCTTTCTCTGGGTATTTTGGGAAGAAGTTGTATTCATCCAATAAGTTATGAATCATGCATGCATATATGTCGTTTTCTCGAGGATCTCTGGATTGACTAAATTTCCGAAGTTTTTCAATCATTCCTTCTATTGATATCTCTCCACTATAGATTTTTTCATAATATGAATTTGCTTCATCTTCAATCTCCTGTTTAAAGGTTACAACGTTGGCTGTAGGAGCAGGGGTTTTTGAAGGGGTCTTTCTGAGTGCAGGTTCTGGTACTAATGGAACTACTCCGGCAGTAGCAACAGGAGTGGTGGCAACAGTGGGGCCCTTTTGATTAATCTTTATATATCCTGCTTGAATATCACGTAGTATTTCTTTTTCACTTGTATCAATATTGCTATATAATAAATCAATAAAAACATTGTCTTTTATGCACTGTCATTCCATACCTTTCAGCAAGCACTTTTATAAAGACATTGACGACGTCCATAGATAATGGTACAGTAATTGGAGCTGATTGTGTCTCTTGTCTAGTCAATTCAGCTCTAATTTTGCTACCAAGGAATGCTAAGCATGCTTTACAAAATACGTCACCATTTTCCTTAATTTTATCTTGAAGCCATTTTTCAAGGTTTAGGTATTCTCGACGAGCTGCTAGAGCAGCCAAGTCGATGGTGAATAAGAATGGTTGAAGATCAAGAATAGCTGGCAAAATCTATATTTTATCTAAGTATCTCTCTTGACCTTAATAGTATATATGCTTTTACCTTTAATTCATGAACAAACGCTAGGATTCTTGTTAAAGCAGTTGGATCGTTATTATAAAGTTCAAGAATGTTCTTTTTAAACAATTCAGGTTTTGCCTTCCAAAATTTGGTAAAGACAAAGACACTGCTTGCATTTCCCGTGAAATAGTAAACGATAAGTCTCGCGAATAAGTCTTCGTGGACCTTATTTGCAAGTGGCTAAAAAAAAGGACATGTATATTTAGTAAGAGTTCAAGATGAATAAAGTTAACTTACATCAATTTGTAGTAAACCCATAAAAACAAGTTCAGGACTCTTATTTACCATCATTTCAAGAAAAACCTTAACATCATCAACTACAGCAGTATCAGCCATCTTGATAACACATTCAATCAAGTCCAGTGAATTCAGTTGTTCTTTTACGAGTTGAGTAGCCAAGGTACGGTTACTGGCATTAGCTGTAGAAAAGTCATCTACTTCCATCACTTTTCTTTTTGAGCATGCGGGTAGATTAACGTAATCAGTAGGGGCATTAGTCATTTGATATAGAGCACTGAGCTGTCCCTTTAAATTTTTCCACTGTCCGAAAAACACGTTTGCTGGAAATGGATCGTTTCCCTATTGACATACAATAAGCATAAAACCAAGGGCTTTTGATTAATAATTACCTGTTTAGAAAACTTCCAGGCAGCTATTAGCATATCTAAGCCTTTCGAATCATATAGAAAGAAATGTTCATAATCTAAGCATTCAAAGACTTTTATCCAATCCAAGCTAGGGACCTATATTCAAAAAAAAAAAAAAACAAGATAAGCGATACAACAGAGACTCCTTTTTTCTATTCCTTAAACCTTTTCGTCGATTAATATGACAAAGTTATCTACTCTCCAAGTTGTATCCTTGTTGGTTGTGCCATTGCCTACGCCTGTCATATTTGTATGTGTCCTTGCCATACAACCAATAGTTTCAGCTACTTCCTTTTCAGTGATTTCAGTAACTGTAGAAAGTAGTTCTCGAACATTTGTAATAGAACTACAACATTCGTAACCTCCTTCTAGAATCATTTTACAAATACGGCCCTCGGTCTGTTCAGCATCTTTATTGCTAAATTTCATTTTAAGCAACGGTACTTTTTCTAATTTAAATTACTTACTCTGTCATTGCTTTTTCAAACTAAAAAAGAAGAAAAAGTGTTACAAATTCAATTAAAGAAAAAAGCATCTTTTTACCTTTTATAATACAAGTCTTTTTTATTTTATTTTTCTCCTAAATTAAAAAAACACGAAAGAAAAAAAAACATCCGCATTTTCTTATTCAACGTGCAAAATATAAAAAAACTAATCCTCTCTAAATTGTTCGGAGATGGAATATTATGAATTCAGTCAATCAGATGTGTCCAAGATGGTGCTATTGAACTCCGCATGCACTGTTGTTAAAGAAGAGAGAAAGGGAGAAAGGGAGAAAGAGAGCATAGTTGTTAATAGAACTTGTTTAAATTCTTTATGATTTGAATGACCCAACAGGGAATGTCATTCAACCAAAAATAGTGCTTATGTCTTTAATAGATTTGATGAAACAAGCCTAAATTTTAAAGTTAACTCGGTATACAGTAAAAGTGTTACCTGTGAGAAAGATGACATAAAAGAGCTGAAACAGAACTTTACCGAGCCTATCAATGCATTTTTTATTGGAACAGCAGTCCTTTGTTATATTACAACAAGTACTTGGTCGATGCATTGGCCACCTGTGACTAGAACAAACTTGAACTGGATTCATCAGAATCAGGATAGGTTTGTGGTGACGTGTACAGTGGTATAATCAAGTACGTAAATAAATACAAAGTTTCCGATCATACGACCTTGTAGATTGAAGATATCCAAGACGAGATCAAGAAGTGTCCCCATTCAAGGCCCATTTGGCCCTCTAAGGCTGTAGGAGCCTCTTTGAGTTCAAGATATAAAATTGGCATGATGCTTATTAAGGGTTCATTAGACGCTGATTGCGGGTTCCCTTCTTTGTTTGCATAAACACAAACAAGTTTTTTCAGGAGTACATCTATTGAAGCAAGTGATGATGACTTTCAAGAAACACCATTGCTAGAAAAGGTAAAGATAGCATCTATTAATTCTTTTTTTTTATAAGTGAGCGTTGTAATAGTCAAGAATACCCGTACTACTTTGAAAGTTTCTACAAAAGATATATCTACTCCTGGTCCTTCGAACGCTGTTACCAGCGACAAGGCTCCAAAAAACTAATTATACCGTGGATTTAATGCGCTATCTATAACGGCAGTGCATTCCTTAACGCCTCGGTAAGCAAAATGAATAGTACATTATTTTTTATTCACTAGTCTTCTAGTTATAACACAACAGAGTCTTTCAAATCAGCTATTTATATTCACCCCTGCTCTTGCATAAAACATGGATAGCCTTAGTTGAAAGCATTCTTCAAATAAACTGTCAATTGATTTTGCCGCTCGTAAACCCAAACAGATATGTCTTATAAATGCATAGAAATTGCATACAGCAACCAATCTATTCCGACAAGCTAAATCAATATATTGCCATTCTGTATCCATTTCCTTTAGTTTGAACCGATATAACTCGCTTTCTTTATCAATTTTTGATCCACATCCATAACACTGTGAAGCTGATCCAGGACGAAATATGGATGCAAATGATGAGCGCCCTGCTAGTTGCTGATGTTGCTTTTGAAATGAAGTCGTGGTTTCTATAAGACATGGTTGATAAATAGCCGAATCAAGTAATCTTTTTATAATGTATTTAGGCAGCCTCGAACAAGAACGCAGACAGGGCTGTGTGTCCATCGCCGTGCATGATTTCAAAAATGGAAGTCGATGTAAAAGGTCGATTGGAGTTCGAGGTGTTGCCTCTATAAACTCCATGAATAACCTTTGCCATTTCCGATCGAGAAATTCGATGCGTTTATTATGCTGAAAGCTATCTGTTTGTTTTGTTCCTTGAGTTACTTTTATCTTTTCTTTCAGTTCCTTTAATTGTCCTCTCTGATTTTCCAATTCTTCTTGAGCCGATTCTAATAATTTTTGTGTTTGAAGCAGCTTCTGTTCTGTAGCGTGGTGTGCTTTTCTTTCTTTGGCTACCATTGCGTTTGCCTGCTCAAAGAGATGTTGTGAAAGGTCTTCGAGTTCATGTTCTATTTCTGCTGTTTGCTGCTCTGCACTCTGCAGCTTTTCTATTTGCCAAATATATTTTTCATTCAACACAGTAAGATCTTTTTGAAGTTCCTCGATTTGAAGAGCTTGTTTCTGCACTAGAGTCGCATCAAAAAAATCAGTTTGAGCAGACTGACAACTGCTCAAGGTAGATACAGATGATGAAAATGAAGGCGTTGAAAGTAAAGGACTATCATAAGTGGCTGGTGGTATAGCAAGTATAGGTGAAGACAATGGCTTTGTTCCTACATCCTTTGTTCCATCAAATATAGGATCTATAATAATGATAGGATTATGCTGTAAATGATCGACACTTCTCCAAGACATACTCCTATCCCTCTTTCTTTCTTTTTCTCTCTTTTTGCGAAGTAAAAACTAGGGCAAAAAGCCAAAATAAAAAGAAAAAAGAAAAGTTAGAATATGACCTGTACTCGATCGTTTTTATCCCCTCGGAAATTTTAAAAATATACAGCATGTTTTATTATTCGAATAAATGAACATCTGTGGGCATTTCGAACGTAGGTTCTTCCAATTCTTGCCAGTTGTTTGAACGCAAGTTTGAAAAATGAATAGCGTTCTTAACATAATCTTGATATAAAGTGGATATAAATGCTTGCTGTTTATGAATATAAATCATTTCAGACCACATGCAATATCGAATATATATGAGCCTATGCTGTTGCATAACTAATTCATTCTCATCCTAAGCTCAAAATGATGAGAATATAAAGATTTGACTGAAATAGAACTTACTGCCTCTATCGATTCCTTTAATCTCTCTACTTCTGCTTCTAGGCCAGGAACACCACTATTTTGATGTAATTTAGCACGGTTTGCTGAGAGACGCTTCGTGATGGCGTCTGTCTGGTTTACAGAGAGTCTACTTCTTCTTTCCTCCAAATCCTATACATTTTAGTTAGTAAATATAAGTAACATCTTACTTGCATTTACTCTATATGACACCAATAAATCTCTGAACCTTTTCAAATTTTCTAATACTCCGTCTGTAGCATTCCCAGTCTAATAATAATAATAAGATCAACTGCTTTTATCTGCATATTTTTCTTACTTGACTCTCTAGTATACTACTTTCGCTCTGCATATGCTTTGCAACCATTTCATACCCTCTCACTACCTGTTGACAGTTTCTGCATTCACCCGCATGATATCTTAGCTCTGCTTCGGCTAGTGAACTTTAAGAGAGTTAGTGTCAACCATTGATTGTTTATGTCTATTACTTTAAAGCAATTGAGTATCTTGAATAATCAGCGGCTTGACCATGCATTCGACGGATCATTCGCTCCATGATGAGGCAAAGATTGATATAGTGATGGATGGCTGCAGATACGCGTTTTTTAGTTTTTTGTAATTGTTCATCCAAGTTGTCAGGTATCAGTGCATTTATTTGATCAATAGATGGAGGCTTCCTTTTGAACTCTTCATCTACATTTGGAGGATTTTGTTTACGCCAGGCGGCTAATTCAGACGGCTCTGTTAGAAATTTAGATAGAATATCGTCCTGACGTAACACAGGATGACGAATCACAGCATTAATAAATCTTGACAGACCCTTTCGTCGTTTCTCTAGAAATGCTGCATCTCCTATATATATAAAATGACGTTATGATTAGAATAAAACACCACTACTAGACTTACTTCCACCTAGCTTCTTTGGAGGTAGATTGGGTAAGGCTCTAAAAGGATACCGCTTTAACAATACTTCCCATAACCACCAAAAATCGCTATATCTTCTAAGAACAATAGATGATCTTTTTTCGTTTGTGACAATGTAGTTTACATGTTTGAATATGAACCCTTCCCTTTCTGGTGCCACTGTCACAGTGATTTCTTCAATATTTTCAAACCAATGCTTCGTGTCTAATAATGGTTTATCATGCTTTTGTTGAACAATTTCCTTTTTCATGCCAGGATAAGTATTATTCACAGGCTTTGATGGTTCTTGTTGCAGAATGATACTCAATTCAGGTAAATCTATACGTTGGTCAATAGCATTCAATCTATACAACGTATCTTTTTGCTTACAGTTTTTATTTTTATGCAAACTATCCAAGCTAATGTCTATATGGAATGAATAAGAGAGTAATTTTCATAAACACATTCCCTTTACCAAGTTTATGCTGAGCACAAGCCAGTAAAGCAAGAGCTGTATTGAACTCGGGCTGAGTTACATGAGACGCGCCATTCGGTGCAACAATTTGCATAATCTAAGTTTTTTTTAAAAAAAATACATTTAAAAAGAGGATAAAGAAGAGGAAAGGAAGATTGACTTACTTTTTCGATTTGATTAGCAGATATTCTTCCTTTGGTCAAGATACTGCTTAGTGTTGTATAAGATACTCTACCAGAGCGTTGATGTTGTGAAAATAAAGAATCATATATTTCAGGTAAGCGAGCCCCACCTAATAAAAAAGTTTGTAAAGGCCATTCTTTTCTTTGTTTGTTTTTATTTACTTAAAACGTTGGTAGCGTTGTATTCAATTCTTTTTCGAGATAAAGGTGAAGAGTCTGCAGCATCAGCAGTTGTATGAACAGGTGGCGAAGTTGCGAAATTTGGAGTAGTAAAAGATCTGCTCATGTCTGGTGTATTTGTATAGCTACTTCCCCAAGGATCCTCTTCATACTGAGAAACAAACATGGAAGTGTTCATTGAGTTTCCTAGAAATGTACTAGCAGCAGTAGAAGTAGTATCAAATAAAGAAGTTGATAGAGGATCGTCATCCTCATGAAGCATTATGAAAATAGTAAAAGGGAAAAGGACAGCAACCAAATTGCTTACAGCCTGAGATTTTTGATTGGATTGTAAAAAGAAAAAATGATTGGCTGCTATCCTTTATGTCTCTTTGTCTGCTAAACAGGATTGGTATTTTTTTCTTGATTGCATAAAGCAGTTATCCTTCATATCCTTTATTTATATGTGATTGATATGAATATAAACAATTTGGAATGTCTTTTGTATAAAAGAAAAAAGGGGGAAGTGATTAAAAATGTTTACGGATTGCTCTAATGCTTTGTTGTAAGCTTTCGTCTATTGGATAAGGGCCATTGATGACTTGTTCTACTGAGAGTTAGTAAGGATATTGATAGTAAAAAGTCGACCTACCAAAGAAATCATTCAGAGATTTTTGAATGTCCTTAATCAACGCCAAGTTTTCGCCAAGAAGGCCAATAATGTTTATTAAATGCTCAGTAAATGCTATGCTGTAAGGCCCTTGAGTCAATTTTAACAACTAGAATGTATTAGATGACGCACATAAACTTATAATTTACTTACTTTCTTTACGAAATGAATAATAATACTGTTATCCAATTCTTTCCCCTCTTTTTCAAAGTATTTCAATACAGGAGTTGTATAATTTAACTGTACAAGATAAAGCATTCTGTCTACCCAAGTCCTTTGCAGAGCCATTTGAATTTCAGGAGCAAAATGATTATACTTGTGCTTTATACATTTCTTAATAACATCAAATACCATAGGTTGCTGTAATTTGTGTCTATTGGCTATCTCGTCCAGAACAATATGGAGAATAGGTGTTTCCGTAGTACGAAAATAATTTTCAAAGTAACTAGTTTCCAGCGTCATGTATTCAATCCAAAGTAAGAGTCCCATGGAGCTTATTGGATATTTTAAGGCATTCACGATATACTTTGTTACTCCTGTGATGCTACCTACACTTGTCTTGGGCGCTAATGCTGTATAGAGCTCTCTAAGTACAAATTGAACCTCTGTGATCTCTTGTTGCTGTGCCTATGGATATGATGTTAAAACTATACGACGAGCATCTCCTTTTTTTTTGGTTACCTGTAACAACTGTTCATCATTCATAGTTGATGCACAAGCAAGTAAAAAGGTTACATCATCTACCATATCTGCTCTAATGACTGATCCATGCTGTGGAACATATAACGCATTGAGTAGTTTAACTATCAAATGACAGTAAGTTTCACATTGAATAGAAATATACTCTCTTTTTACTCATTAGATCGTAATTGCACAAGTAATGAACAGATGGTGGATTTGATGAAAGATAAGGTCTTTTTAACTAACAAAGATTAAAACCATATACCATGATCCTTGTTTGAATACCTACTGTTATTAGATCAGCTGGTGTCATATGAGAACTATTCAAGATCGTAGCGATTGTCCTTGATATTTCCAAAGGTGCATTCGAGAGTTGTGCACTCAACAGTTCAACAAAGGTTCTATTACCATTCCTTATGGATACTAACTCCAAATCTCTCTTTAACCGTGTAAATGAAAATTTACCGAATTCATCTTGTAATCTCTTTATTAGTAGTTGGGTGTAGATGTAGGTTTCTTGTCTTCCACAGCATACTTTCTACTTGATCAATTAGTACATATATACCCTTTCTGTTTTCTCTCTTTTTTACCTTTAAATCATGGTCAATACCCTCAATGTCTACATCATCCTTTGTCATCATTTCCTTTAAAATATCTTCAAAGATCAAATCATACACTTTAACAAAAGTCGACGCTGTTCTTAATCTAGCAACTTCCTGTTTATATCCAGTCTCTGACATTCTCTAAAGATTATGTGTGTCAATTGTCTATAGGGTACATATGCATCACAACTTACTAGAATAGCAAAATTCAAGAAAGCGCAGCTTGGGTACTTTTCCAAGAGCTCATACATTGTCTGTCTCCAGTGTGAGTCTTGAATGAGCACGTCTAACCAGGCAAACGTGATATGACTCTCATCGCGCATAAAAAAGTCATCACAGCGTTTAGGATCAAAGCGTTCTTTCAACTGTTGTCGGATAGCTCTTCTAAGAATACTGCCACTATCCAAACCAACGCTGTCTACTGAAGCAGCTGTTACATTACACATGGAAGGAATACCAAGGTAAGATTCTGATAATAAATTAACAGCTTCTAAAGGAGATCCACCATGATTTATATATTCAAGGATGCCATCGTTGTATATATTTTGTTCGAGTATGGCATCTAATAAAAGTGATTTTAGATTAACAAAGAATTAACACGTATAAAAGAAAAAATATACCAGTCTGTGATAAAGCCTTTTGATGTTCTTCAGGAGTAGAGATTCTCAATGGCTGTTGCATTGTTCAATAATCAGACGCGTGCTAAAAAAAAAAGTTTTGAAAGAAAGAAAGAAAGAGAGAGAGAATTGATTACCCGACTCTTCCCCCCTTTTCAAATGAGATTATACCAAACACCACCATTACCAAGGTAAAATATCAAAATATATACATATACACGATTATTAATATACTTGAAAAGTTATTCTGAAGAGAAATGTATAACTGAACTTGGTCTCATTTTAAAACATTCAAAGAAAGTAGCAACTTTACTTGTAGGCATTCAACACTTAAATAAAGATGCTCTAAGGCGAGGAATCACTTGTAGACCTTGTGCAGGAACAATACAAGAAGTATAAAACAATAGAATAGGTTGACAATAATACTGATAATAATAATAGCAACATATGGGATATTATGATTCAACCTATAAAAGGTACCACATTCTATGATATATATTGTACTCACTTCTTTAAAAGGGTTGTTATTTGTTGTGATCATATTCGTACTAGAAAGGATTTAGAGGACACAGTGGTTCATGAGTTGACACATGCTTTTGACTCTTTAAGGAAAGGGACATTTAAGAGTATTTGTCATCTTATTGCATGTGGTGAAATAAGGGCAAGTGCTATAGGTAATTCGTATGATAAAGACAGTATGCATATATAATAAACAAGAACATAGGCCAATGTTCAAATATAACATCTGAGAAACAAAGAGATCAATGCATCAAAGATGACGCTGTGAGATCGACAGAGTTGCATTGTGGTACGGAAATAGCAGAAAGAGTAGTAAGGGAAGTGTTTAAAACTTGTATCAATGATAAAGCTCCCTTTTAAAATAAATTTTCCTATATTCCTTGTGCAACTCCCTCCTTTCCCTTTTTCCATCAAATGACTGAAAGACAATCAAAAACAACACAGGAAAGACATGAGCGTATACTGAACGAACTTGTCAAGATGCCAGGCAATGATCTTTGTGCAGATTGTGGAACAAAGAGTAAAAAAAGTTTATAAACATCAAGTGACATTTGCCTAAAGATTCTCCTGTAGATCCTCGTTGGGCATCTTACTCACTTGGTGTCTTTCTTTGTATTCGTTGTGCTGGTATACATCGTAAAATGGGTACTCATATATCCAAGATAAAGTCTATTACCATGGATCAATGGACTGTCGAACAAATAGACGTAAGAGACACAAAAGGAAACTATGCTCTTATTAACTGTGCTATTTAGATGATGCGTAATTCAGGAGGAAATAGTGTAGTTAACAGCAAAATAAACCCAAATAACCACCCATTACCCATTGGAGCAGACGATGATCAGTAAAGTAAAGCAAAGGATAATAATATGGTTCTAATAAAGATAAATAGTGCAATCGAAAAATATATCCGAGCAAAATGGGAAAAGCGCCTATTTATGATACCAAAGAAGACAGCTCTACCAATTATCCAAACACCACCCAAGAGATCTTCTTCTGTTCCTGTTCATATGCAACCAAAAGATGATATACAAATACAAAAGCCATTACTACAGCAACAACAGCAGCAGCAACAACAGCCAGTTTTACCCAACCAGTTTATGTTGACAGATGATCAAAAGGTTGACCAACTTGTTAAACTAGGGTTTACTGATCGAGTCATGAATGCGGATGCACTTCGTAGAGCAGGCGGAAACGTTGATATTGCGGCAACCATCTTGACAGAAACAAGAGCAAATAATGTAATGTCTGCGAGCAATTTGTTCTCTACAAATAACATGTCACCCGCTTCTTTACCAACAAGCAATCCTCTGTATGCGAGTCATGTTCAACCTTTAGGTAACACCTTGCCTATGCAAAGTGCAGTATTAACGAACAATACTCAAGCCAATCCGTTTACATCAAATATATCATCAGTATTCATGCCACAGCAGCAGCAGCAACCATCCATGTTTATCTCACAACAACAACAAGCAAATAGTGTAGGCTTTCCTCCTCAACCTAACACAGGTAATATGTTTGCTACTCAACAGACATCTTTTTCTTTGCAACAAAATAATAGAGCACTTTTTCCTGTACAACAACAGCAACAAACAGCATCGCCTTTTATGCAACAACCAAATCCTACTACACAAGTATCTGTTAATGCAAATGATCCTTTCAATCTAGCACCAAATAACTTTGCCAATCCCCTTCCTAATAATGTCATTGGAAACTTGAATGCAGGTAAGTCAACTGGACCAAGCTATGAGGGTGTAGTATTCACACTATTCAAAGGATACAATTCAACACCACTATTTAATACTACCAACAATCATGGACAACCCCAACAGTTTTCATCTGCTCCTAATACACCATTTCAGGCACCTACTACCAGTAATCCATTTTCTCAAATGAATACAACCCATACTACTCCTATCGCTACTGCTACATCCAATCAACCAGGAAACAGCCTTTTACCTTTTATGAATCAGCCATTCAACAATAACAACATGGTTACAAACCCTTGGTCAACAAACCCCTCCTTTTAGATGAAATAAATATGAAGGATATCAAATGCTTATATAAAGCACTTGTTTTAATCATCTGTGTGTCAATTAGTCTCTAAGGAAACAGCCAATCTTCAACATGTCTTTTTATCTTGACAACAGTAATGAATAGACGGCCTAGATGCTGTTGCTGTGTTTGCTTACTTTCAATCCAATCACTCAATGACCAAACATGATTTATAAAAATTCGATATGTTCATGAGAGATATTCTGTCTAAATAACCTCAACAACTAAAAAATAAAAGCTTCTAGGAGACACAATGGTAAGTTGATAGAGTGTATGATCTTTGAATAAGAAGTTAGCATGAATAAATCACTATCTGGTGTGTTTTACTATCTAATGAGTCAGAATGCGTTCCATTAGCCATAGATACACTCGTAAGGCGCACTGCTGTTTATGGAGATAGTATAAAAATGCGTACCTTTCCTTTTGGTGCTACCCATTGGACATCTCTATAAGTAAAACGGTCAATAAAAATAGCTTGGTACTGTTCTCAGCTGATAAGATTAAATCATTGTTCTGGAATTTTCATCTCTTTCTTTTTAAGGAAGCATGCTGAAAATAAGAATGGATCACCCAGTCTTCTAAAGACAATAAACACTTTATATTTCCCGAAACTTTTAGATTTTCGCTGGACAATTAACTCTGCTTGTGTAAGTACATATACGTCATCCGTCAAGGGAAGATTTTTTTTTTATCAAATCGATATGTATCCATTTTTGGTAATCAATTGGACAAATCAAACTCATAATGATTTCTATCCGATTCGATTTGATTGTAGTAAAGACGAGAATTTGCGAGAAAAGACATAAAGAGTATCATAGGGAGAACGCTACTCCCGAATATTCTAGAGTGACATGTTGTCGGATAATGAATTTTATCCAATGAAAAATGAACGAATCTCCTAGAAGAAAAATAAGTTCACCTAAAAATAATGGTTTTGCATAAGCATTGTTTCACGCATTTCGTATATAAAAAGATTTGTTTTTCACATCTCTTTCTTTTCTCTCATTTATTTACAAGTTTAAAAAATAAGTGAAAATGACTACTAAAGCTGTTGGTATTGACTTGGGTACTACTTACTCTTGCGTTGGTGTATGGCAAAATGATCGTGTAGAAATCATTGCAAACGACCAAGGAAACCGTACGACTCCTTCTTATGTCGCTTTCACTGATACTGAACGTTTAATTGGTGACGCGGCAAAGAACCAAGTTGCTGTAAGTATACTTTATATGTGTATACAACTACCTGTACTTACTCTTCTCTAGATGAATCCACACAACACCGTTTTCGATGCTAAGCGTATGATCGGTCGCCGCTTTAATGACCCCGAAATTCAAGCTGATATGAAGCATTGGCCATTCAAGATTGTTGACAAAGATGGCAAGCCTAACATTCAAGTTGAACACAAAGGAGAAACCAAGACATTCACTCCCGAAGAAATCTCATCCATGGTTCTTACTAAAATGAAAGAAACTTCAGAATCTTATCTTGGCACTACTGTTTCATCTGCAGTAATCACTGTCCCTGCTTACTTTAACGATTCACAACGTCAAGCTACAAAGGATGCTGGTACCATCGCTGGCTTAAACGTTCTTCGTATCATTAACGAGCCTACTGCCGCTGCTATTGCCTACGGTTTGGACAAGAAGACCAAAGGCGAGGCCAACGTCTTGATCTTTGACTTGGGTGGTGGTACTTTTGATGTCTCTCTCTTGACCATTGAGGAAGGTATCTTTGAAGTCAAGGCTACGGCTGGTGACACACACTTGGGTGGTGAAGATTTTGACAACCGTCTTGTTGATCACTTTATTCAAGAATTCAAGCGCAAGTTCAAGAAGGACATCTCTGGTAACGCTCGTGCTGTTCGTCGTCTTCGTACTGCTTGTGAACGTGCCAAGCGTACTTTGTCCTCTGCCGCGCAAACTTCCATTGAAATCGACTCTCTCTTTGAGGGTATTGACTTTTACACTTCCTTGACTCGTGCTCGTTTCGAAGAATTGAACCAAGACCTGTTCCGTAGCACTATGGAGCCTGTCGAGAAGGTCCTTCGTGATGCCAAAATTGACAAATCACAAGTTCACGATATCGTCCTTGTTGGTGGATCTACTCGTATCCCCAAGATTCAAAAGATGGTCTCTGACTTCTTCAATGGCAAGGAACCTAACAAATCTATTAACCCTGATGAAGCTGTCGCTTATGGTGCTGCTGTCCAGGCTGCCATCTTGACCGGTGATACGTCTGAAAAGACTGACTCTCTCTTGCTTTTGGATGTCGCTCCTCTTTCACTTGGCATCGAAACCGCTGGTGGTGTGATGACACCCTTGATCAAGCGTAACACAACTGTGCCTACAAAGAAATCTGAGATCTTCTCTACCTATGCTGATAACCAGCCTGGTGTGCTCATTCAGGTGTATGAAGGTGAACGTGCTCGTACAAAGGATAATAACCTTCTTGGCAAATTTGAGCTCACGGGTATTCCACCTGCTCCTCGTGGTGTACCTCAGATTGAAGTTACCTTTGATGTTGATGCAAATGGTATTTTAAATGTTTCTGCTCTTGACAAGACTACTGGTAAATCTAACAAGATCACAATTACCAACGATAAGGGTCGTCTTTCCAAGGAAGAAATTGAACGTATGGTTAATGAAGCTGAGAAGTACAAGGCTGAAGATGAAGCCGCAGCTGCTCGTATCCAAGCTCGAAACGGTCTCGAATCTTATGCATACAACCTTCGTAACACACTTCAGGAAGAGAAGGTTGCTTCCAAACTTGATGCTGCTGATAAAGAAAAGCTTGAAAAAGCGGTGAATGAGACAATTGAATGGTTGGAGAACTCACAAGAAGCCTCAAAGGAAGAATATGAATCTCACCAGAAGGAATTAGAAGACGTTGCTAACCCCATCATGATGAAGATGTATCAAGGCGCTGGTGGTGCAGGTATGCCTGGGGGCGCTCCTGGTGGATTCCCTGGTGCTGGTGCAGCTGGTGCAGGCGGTGACAGTGGACCTACTGTTGAAGAAGTTGACTAAATTGGCTAAAACACACACACATATATACACTCATTTAATTCTTTGCATCTCCCATCCTTTAGTATATAGTTTATACATACATCATTAAAAAATAACCATTTGTATACAACAAAAAAAGAGCTAATAAATTCACTTTATTGTGCTACATAATGTCTTTTCCATAAAAGGATTCCATCATGCAGTGTTGATATGAAAACTACTTGAGCTGAATTTTTTCTTGGCATAATTTACGTGGATGCAAAAGAGGCGGAAACATGGGGGGTGATGAATGAATTAATGGTAATTAGCGCACCTACTACACTCTTCTTCTGGTGCCAAAGCTCTATGACAAGTTGAACAGCTACTTCTGCAGTGACTACAGTTCCAGCCAGCTGATAACTTTTTTCCACATGCACAAATAGCTTGATTATACTCTTCTTCACTGTCGTTATCTTCTTCAGAAGAATACACGATATCGTCTTTAATGTTTTGGCCTGGATGTTTTATGTTTGGAAACCAAGATGAATTTGATTGTAATGTGTTAGATATAATGCAATGCTGTTGATCTATTGGCTGCATCAAGTCGCTAACCGTCATACTGAATAAATAATAAATAAATAGAGAAAGGAAGGAAAAATACACTTTGTTTCTTCGAAAAAAAAAAAAAGCCTTGCTTTATGCTTGCACAAATAAAGCCTCACTTTAGTCTTAACACGTGTGTAAATGTATAACGAAATGCTCATTGGCCTGTTGTTTCCTAAAAAGAACTGTGGCGACAGTTTTGAAGATTTTCACAGACAAAAGGATACAATTACTAGTTCTGCTTACTAAATGATTCCGAGTGCATCCTTCTGATTCGAATAACATATGAGCGTGTATGAAATTATACTCGTTCTTTTATATTGATTCTTTTTTTAACAGCAACTCAGTCTTGTTATGGGTTTTAAGTAAGAAAAAGTATCATGTCATCATTAATAGAATATCACATTAGAGTTTATAAAATTTCAAAGATTACATTTTTGCTTTTTGAGTTATTCAAAAATAAGTAGGCACTTCTGTTGTCATGTAAAAGCGTCAATTGAATCTTGTAAAAATATCAAACTTACGCAAGACATTATGATGAAAGACATTCAATACTAAACCCTTTCTTTTGTGTTTTTTTTCACTCTCTTTTTGCACACCAGCATAAAACACCAAGTCATCCAATATTTTTCATGCATTTGTTTTCTATGTAACCAGAGGATCAAAAAGATCCATGTCCATGTGTAATGCATCCCCCTATGTTAAGAGCAACACAACAGTTGATGCAACCTCTATCTTAATAAACATTAATAAAACTAACTATGCTGTTTATGGGTACAGACCTCTTTATAGTGCCTACATTATAGAATTTATACAAGATAACTCATAATAATCATCCACTTTGTCTTCTCTTTTCATTTGTATTCTTAATACCAATCACTCAAACATTTAACAGTGAATAGTTTAGGAAGTTTTGTATATGCTGTATGTTATCCATAAAAGGTATAGGAGTAACGTCGCTTTGGGTAGTACAATTAAGATATGTATGCAATGCATATATAATTTGTATTAATCAAAATCATGTTTTAAACGGACCAATTTCTGAAAAACGAGTAAGGGCTCAGCTTTAATTTATAATAAGGCGTAAAAGACGAGGGATAACAAGATGATACAGAGGAAGGTACCTCACCTCTTACCTTAAATGTGCTTGGCAGCTACTGCCATCAAACTTCTTAATTGGAATATATATAATATGCTTAATTGTTTATATGAAAAGCCAAATCAAAGCCGTGTAGATGTGCAGTTTGTTTAATAACATGTATCAAGGTTTGCTTAGAATGGCGGCAAACTGGTTGCAAAAAAAAAAAAGAACAAATTTTTGCTTGGGCAGTATAGCAATTTTACATAATGGCATGTTTCAAGTATATTTGCGAATATAAAACTCTGTTAACCTGCTACATCCGATATTTAGTTTATATAAAGATGAAACGGCACGCTTCATGATGTTACCTTAATCAAATGTGGCGTTTGGGTACATAAACAAAAGCATTTCTCAATTAAAGATATATTCGCATGCCTGGTGTGGGAAAAGCCCTTGATGTTTCTGTTTATAAACAGTAATTCGTATATAAGTACGCGCATATACATACATGTATACGTTAGAAATTACAAGGAAACTTTTCTTTTTCTTTTTTTTCTCTATTTTATTGAAATGGTATAGCCCTAAAATTAAGCTTGCATATCCTTTTGGTCTCCATAGAGACGTCCTTTTATTTGCTTTGCTACGATCCCGGAACTCTCGGAACGATGTATTCTAACCGTGTAACGCTGTGCAATAAAGAGATTTCCTTTTTTAAAAAGAGAACATCAATCAATTTAATTATACTATTTTCGTTTGGTTAACATACTTTGACATCCAAGATTGGCGTGATTCCGATCAACTTTCTTTCCGTAAACTGTAGAACCCAGCTTTATAACCATAGGTATTCCAACAATAAATCCAAAGGGCTAGTCTTTTTCGGCTGTATGACGTTGAATGCGTATCACCTTGATTTGACAGCTTTCAATTTTAATCTCTTTAAAGTTACATATCATAGTATGCATATGTGGTCCTGCATACGTATATAATATCTTGATCGGTTTAATGCACATTGATTCTCAAGTAATCATTCGTTAGATGTTTGTATAAGACGTAAAAAATCTTGTTATTATTAACAACAACACAAAACAACAACAAAAACAAATATAGTCTAATTAAATAAAAATCTAAAATGATAAACAAATCCATCCCTTGACACGTCAGAAAAAAAAGGGGGTATTTACTCATTTAGGCTATTAAAGTTATCCTCTTATATGCTTAGTTTTGCCGATCCTTTTGACAAGTATTAACGGAAAGAATAAGTGAAAAAAAAGGTTTGATGTTTTGTGATACACGTTATCGTCAAGGAAACTAATGCTCCCCTTTCAAGTTTGTGCTACTGTAAACCTTTTTTTGTTTTTCCTATAAAAGAAGCATTTTCCACCCTTTTCTCCTTCTCTTCACTTTTATAAAGTTAAACAAAATGCCACCAGACAGACCAGTTAAACCTGCTCTTCCTCGACCTTATCCTCCTCCAGTCAAACGTTGACATTAACCCTTCACTCTTTATAATATTCAAAAAAAAAATTCAACTATATAATCAACCTATACATACACACGCATATATATATATATATATATATGTATATACATACATGTCATTGTTGCTTTTTTGTTCTCCCGAGTCCTTTCCTTTACAACCACTCGTTCAATTCCTTTCTATGGAGCATGGTGCTGATATTATTCATACATACACAACAACAAGAAAAAATTTGCTATATACATTATACATAGTCGTTCGTTTTGCCTATTTTACCTTTTAATTCATGTTTATATACCCTTTTCATAATTCATTCAATAAAATTATAGCTTATATGATTCAATATAAAGTCATTGTACAACCATGTATTCGTCATGTAAGTAATCGATTTACTGATGCTGTCAAATAAGCGCCCATAACAAGTAAGTTCCACACTCAATTATAAAGGACCCATGTGTGTATGACAACGTCAAAAAGTAAAAAAGGAGAGGGTATCACAACCCTTCAGAAATTGACCTCCTATAAACAATGTTTCTAGAATAGACGATACTGCATGGTTACCGCATTGTTAGATTTACTGCTATCATAGAGATTTTTTTATTTTACTTCATTATTGCTTAGATACGCCAAATTGTGTAACACACATGGCCAACGCGATATACATGTCAAATTACATCGCTATCGGACCTTCGGGTGTTGTTCCATAGTACATTTTTAACAACCGTTTCTATGGAGAGAGTGGCGCTCACCTGTCGATACTGAGTTTAAAAAACAATTTAAATTCTGTGGCTTTAGTTTTCTTTTCTTTGAGCATTTCTTTTTCTAATGAAGTTGAAGGAATTAGAAAGCATTCTTCAAGATTGTGAAGTATTTGGTATGTGAAATAAGACTTAATTTTATTTCTTTACGTATATACTCATAGCTTACAAGACGAGCCTAAAATTCAATATGAGCAGTATCCAACCACACCTCACTTGGCAGCACGTATGCTTTATACGGCAGATACTGTCTACAGTGATATAGAGGATAAAGCGGTAGGCGATTTTGGAAGTGGTTGCGGTATACTGAGTATCGCTGCCAATATATTGGGCGCAGGATATAGCGTTGGGTTTGACATTGATTCCGATGCAATCAGGATAGCTCGGGAAAACTGTGAACAGTTTGACGTTGCAGTTGATTTTGTCAATACAGATTTGATACAAGCAAATTTAGAAAGATTTCAAGGCAAATTAGATACTATCATCATGAATCCTCCTTTTGGCACAAAAAATAATAAAGGCATAGACATGCTCATGTTGAAAAAAGCAATTGATGTAAGTGCATAAGTGGATGACGTGAATATGAAGAAAGGGTAAGCATCCTTGATGGCTTAATCTATTTTCAAGACGGCTACCACATCAGTTTATTCCTTACACAAGACATCTACAAGAGAACATATAATGAAAAAGGCTCAAGAGTGGGGTGTGAGTTTTGAAGTAGTAGCAGAAATGAAGGTATTTGCAATACAAAAAGGCACGATCTTTTGTTCACTCTATATAGTTTGATGTACCAATGATGTATAAATTTCACAAAAAGAAGAATGTGGAAATTGCAGTGGATTTTCTTCGTTTTGAAAAGATATAAATTTAATTTTTAAATACCCTCAATTAAACTGCAGACTATTACATGTCATATTATTAGCAAAAGTGGATGTGTTTCATTTAAGTATGTGTTTTACCAGCTTTAACAGATTTCTCCCTATTGACATCGAATATGTTTGTGAAAAGAAAACTCTTCAATTGATAGCATTGTAGATCAGGTACAACGTCAAAGTGTTTCTGTATTCTCTGGATAAAAGATCAAATCGTGTAGGAGGAGAGTTTGGTGCATATTTCTGTTTTTTTCATTGGACTTGAGTACACCCAATCTAATGCTAATAGTAATTGTCAACATTTAGATACATAAAGAAAAGAAAATATAAGTCTTTTAAGAGAAATTAAAGGTGCAAGCGTGTGAACTTGTCATTATGGAAACTGAACTGATTAAAGAAATATTCACATAAATATGAGCAGTCACTTAGACCATGGATTACCAAATGGTATTACAGCTCATTATAAATATTTTGAGAACACTCTTTAGTTACAAGTATTTACTTTTCTAACTAAGCCAACAATGATTGGTATCATATCTTATAACTATTCTATCTAACAAATATACAGTTGGTTTTTTATTTTATAGTTTAACTTAAATTCTTACATTTTACCCCCAACACATGTGAAGGGGTAGGTCTAGAGGGTTGTGTTTAAAAAGCCCCCCTACTATTCACTATAACCTATACAGCTCTTCACCCAAAAGAAATTAAAAAAGCACCATGTACTCTGTAGAAGGCTAGCGACCTTTAGTGACACCAGGCCAGCCTATTAAATTGTAGTAATAAAGGAACATAGCGGGAATTGAAATGTATTCATTGACGTAATGACAAGATGCAGCTGAATTTTTTCTTTCTTTTTTTCTCTTTTCTGAAAGAACCAGCTACTTTTATTGTAAGTAGATACTTTTAAGTGAACAGGATATCTTAATTGAACACGATACATTTTAGCAATATGTCTAATAACAACGAAGCCGAAAATGATCACTCTGTTAAAGAACTCGCTCGTCTTGACAGCTTTGTAAACGCTTCTCCAGGTAGTGAATACACAATCGATCAAAAGGAGCAAGAGCTTTGTCGACAAAACGTGAATGGTCAAAGTGAGTGTATTAAATTGAATCTAGAATGTAAGTCTGCTTATCGACTTGATAAGTTTGTTTCGATCTAATCGCGTCATAGATACCCAAATGTTTTCAGAAATGCAAAATCTTGGATTCTTCTGTGCTCTGCCTATGGATCCAAAAAAGATCCACATGGAGTGCCGAAGAGTGTGAAGAATGAATAGACCACAATGTATTATCCAACAATAAAAATGTACAGCTAACTCGCCTTCATTCATGTATTCGTTACTTCCATATGCATGATGGGCACATTGTCTTTTTTATCATATAACAGTATGGTAGATTTTTAAAGTGATAATCTTGAGGGTTTAAAGCTTAGTGATGTTTTTGAAAAGAAAAGAAAACATATAGTGCCATAAATAAAAAAGAACAAGTATGCAAAAAAAAGGAAGAGCTTCATGAACTTGTCATTGATCAATGCAACTTCCTTGAATCGAAACAGAAACCAGTTTATAAATACCCTCGGTTATTTGGAGGCATAAACACGAATGCTAAATCAGGGTCCACCATATGCAAGTAGCACCGAGCGAATACAATCAATAGAAAAGTTTTAAGCTCCAAAAATAGGGCACAAAGACAGAGAGTGCTTCATAGATTCGCTGGTATACTGATAAATCAAACAAGGCACTGGCTGAGCAAAAGGGATTACTACTCGTAGGACTGCGAGAGAAGCCTTCAAGGAGAATCATCAAAGCTGGTAGGCGAAATAATGAGAAACTATGCCATCTTGTGCAATCGGAGGACATGGCCGATCAAAAGATAAGGAAACACACCCAATCGCGCATCTGGAAATAGCCAGACTAACGTTGATAATGTCATTATTATTGTGCTCTTTTATTATGTAAATTTTAAGATGGTCACAAGAATCATCGTTTAAAGAAACACATACATAGGCATTGGAAATTGTTCTTAAGGAGACTCATACAATTCTGATCGCTATATTGATTCTTATCCTGGAAGTATCAAACAAACGTGCGTCTTTTATTCTAGATGCTCAAAAAACTTGAGATTTATGAGTGTAGTAGGCTGAAGAATAGTCACAGTGAAGGGGCTCGGTGTAATTCTGCATCAATAACATTCTAATTGTAGCCATTACTACTTGAATGAAAGTGTTGTATTTGGTTTTTCGATTGAGTGATTAGAATCGAGGCTACGCTACTGAAGAAGACGGGTGGAAATGGGTTTGTTAAATTAGTTTTAAAGATATTGCGAGAGCAATACCTGACGTAAGGAAATTATTTTGAAAAGCATTTACAATAATCAGTAATTTTCTGATGTTATGATATTAAAGAAGAAAGGATGTCATCATAAAGTCTTCCTTAATTTGGCGTAAGAAAGTCGCCTGTATGTTGTATTTTATAGGCGTCTATAATTACCAAGGAGTCATTAGAGACAGGGTTTTTTAAGTAGTGTCATCTTGCTAATAAAAGGTGATAAATGTAAAAAGAAGCAAGGCAGACGTTCTTTTTTTTTTTTGAACTTGTGCGTATCTTTGTGCTTTATATTCTACAGCCTTGAATTACGAATTTGAAGTAGCATTGTACGTCAAATTCGGGTTTCCATATTGGCATAAAGCTGATTCCTTGCATAATAATTGCTTACTACAGCTGTTTATAAATAAACGATGCTTAATAGACAGTGCTCTCTAAAAAAGATATATTTATAACTTGAGATATACTCATCAAATTATGATCAATTGACAGAAAGTATATTCTCAGACGTATTCATGGCATCAGTTTCTATATGCAATGTGATGACCATATAAATATATATATGTATTTATATATGTATTTATATATTTATTTATATGCAATAAACATGTAGGGAAAATTAGTTTATGTAACGCGTAGCGTTGTTTTTGACAATTGATGAAATATAAAAGAAAACATATAGACACTTTGTTGTTGTGATGGAATTCATTTAGTATATAAAAAAAGCCCTTATCATTAACCCTTTTATATGTATAAAAAATACTTACACGTTCTTCCAGTGTCTCCTTTAGTTGTGTTGCATCTAGTAGATGATAAACCAATTTTTAGCCCCGCCAGAAGAAACACAATTTTAGTCATAAAAAGTCTCCTCTTCAGTTTCTAGGCCTCTCTTTCTTTTTTTTTCTTTTTAAGCATAGGGAGAAAAAAAGGAAAAGGGAAGCAACAAACAGATGATGAGGTTATCTGACCAATCTGATATTAATCAAACAGAAGCCTTACAAGCACAAGCCTGTGTTGAATGGGTAAATAAAGGATATAAAAGAGAAAACGTTTTTTAATGGTATATAGATAAATTCTCTTGACAACATCTCACACAGTATATCTCACATTACTGAACTTTCAGATGGTATTATTCTATTTGAAATTCTTTCAACCATGTAGGTTTGACAATTAAACATAAGGACTTGTTTAACAAAGCATTTTAGTGACTACAAATGGTTCAAACTTATTCGTTCTGCTGATGTTGGAGAGAATTGGGTTTTCAAGATAAATAACCTCAAAAAGTTATATAAACTCATTTCTCGATATTACGAAGATGTTCTTGGGTACAATTTTAGCAATTTTCCTCTGGTGAATCTGAACGCTATAGCAAAAGAAGCAAATTTTCATGAAATATTGAAGCTATGTAATTTTGTTATATATACAGCTGTTGTGTGTGCGGATAATGAGAAATATATCCAAAAGATTCAACAATTGTCTCCTCAGAGTCAGCAACAACTTATGCTCTTAATTGATAATGTAGGTTTGCTTAATCAAAAAGGCGCGTATATTGATTATGTTTGACATAGTTTATGCAATATACACAAGATAATCGACAAGACGAATTACAACAATCTTCTGCCAATTATACCCCACGCAGCTCGTATGCAGATGACGGATCATATCAAAGTGAACTATTGAGAATGTCAAAAGAGAAAGAAGAGCTAGAAGTACAGAATAGACAATTGATCGATAAACATTCAGAGCTCTTGATTAAATATGTAATTGATATTGTTAGAAACAGAGAATGACAACTAGCTTACTCCCTTTTTGTTCAGGATAAACTCGAGGCAGACAGGACAGAACTACAGAATAGACTGAGAGATATGGATGCAGCTGTTGCACAGGCAAACGAAACAGGAAGAGCTGACTATATCATGAGAACAGAAATTGAGCATTTGAAACAGGATTTGTAAAGATCGATATGCATTATTCATTCTCAATTTATAACCTCGTTCATTTTTTCTTGATATAGACAACGAAGTGAGGATATAAGACAGGAGCAGGAAAGACGATTAGAGGAACAAAGCGGTCAAATTAAGGAGTTACTGCGAAGGGTAAAAAGTGAAAGCGTGGGAAAGTGTTCAATAATAATACTCTCTTTAGAGTGAAGACGCTACAAAGTATGAAGAACAAGCAATAAAGCTAAAAGATCAGTTAGACGAATACAGACATACAGCAGAAAAGCTTCAAAAGGCAGAGAATGTGATTGAAAAGTATAAGAAGAAATTAGAAGAAACTGCTGATCTAAGAAGGCAGGTTAAGGTAAACAAGCAATATAAATTATAAGACGATATAATAAAATCATGAATAGCTACTTGAAGAGCGAAATCATGCCTTACTGGAGCACTCACAGAAGCTAGAGGAGGAATATGGCAGCCTTATAGCATTCAAGTCCTTGATGGAATCATATAAAGACCAAGTAGCAGAGTTGCAGACTCAAAATAATGAACTGATACGAGAGAAGAACCGACTGGACTATGAGCTTGTTCAGGCGACAAAGAAGCTTGAACTGATGGAAGATGAAAAATTACGAGATTCAGATCGTATACAACTGCTTGAGGATCATCTTCAGGAAGCACAGCTTGGAAGTATGCATCTTTCTATTCACCTTTTATTTGATTCTAACTTTTTTTTTTCTTTGTGACAGTTGGTGCTGTTATCGCAGACAAGACTGCTACTCAGCGCTCTAAGGAAGTCGATGCTGACGATATGGACATAGATGATTTCAATCTAAATGATTCTTTGGAAGACACATTGAAGGAAACCAATGTTACTGAACTGTAAGACTACCTTTAGCCATAAGCATATTTAAATGCTCACATTCAAATAGTAAACTGGCCAATCGACGACTCGAGCGCCAGGTCAAGAAGCTCCAAGAGGAACAAGCAGCTGGCCGTAGCCAGAAAGCAGTTGTGCTTCAACATTTGCTTGATGATGCAAACCGTTTAAAGACACAGTTTGAAAAGAGTTATATCGAAGTGTCTCAGGAACGTGATATCTTGCAAAGTGACATGGCACGCATTCGGGAAGGTATACCTGATGCACTTGTTGACCAGTCAGCACATACACTTTCTCTTCGCTTGCACACCATTGAACTTGAGAAAGAAATCAAGTCTTTGCGCGACACTGTAGCTAAGCTCGAGAAAAAAATCGAAGAAGGTAGATTTAATGATGCTGAGGGTGCAGAGGACATTCGCACCAAGTATTATGAAATGGAGCAAAAGTCTAAGCACTTGGAGGAACAAACCAAAAAGCAGCTTGAGGATATCAATAAGCTCTTGCTCGAAAAGGATGCTTTGCAAGGACGAAGCCTCGAGCAGAATGATGAGTTACGAGAGCAGCAAAGACTTAATAGTGAAATGAAAGCATCATTAGCTGCTTATGCTGCTCAAAACGATGAACCTCTCAAGCAGCAGAATGCTCATTTGCAGCAGCAAGCGATACAATTGCAGGAGCAATTAAGAGAAGCTCAACTCAAACTTAAGAAAGCTAAAGAGGTAGGAAAAAAGAATTAATTAAAATAATGCAAAGAATTTACCTTTGTCAATAATAGTTTATCAAGCAACAAGATAAATTATTAAAAGAGCAAAAGTATGATGGAAACTCTGGCAATTTTGATGAAGCTGTTTCATCATTAAAAGCTGAAGTTGCACTTCGTGAAGAAGAAACAGAGAAGCTCAAGAAGCAAATTCATGAACTTCGTCTTCAGTCTCGTCGTGAGCAACATCTTATTATCTCTGCATGGTACGATATGTCGAGAAGAGCAACCAAAGATATCATTATGGCCAAAGCTTTCCCCAATTCATGGCTTGGACAACAACGATACACCCTTGATAACCAACTCAAGAGACGTTAAATTACTAGTAAATAAATGAAAAGAGCATATTGTAGTTTCTGTCTTTTTATTATTATTTCCTTAAACCGAAAATAATCTCAGTTCCTGTTCTATGTTCATCTTCTCTTACGCAGTAAATGGTTGTTTCAGTAGTACTGTTGGGCTGTAAACATCGTATATTGATTCCTGGTATAACTTGCACTAGCTTTCCCTGATATAGATTATAAGTTGTTTGTTATATAAGCATACGATGACACTTACAGTATCTACATGTCTAATCTCTATAAAGCTGCTATCAAACGCTAGAATGAAAGGATGGTAAAAAGAAAAGCTGTGAGGATGCCCTTCCCACTCGATCATCCAGTCTGATTTTATTCTTCGACCTTTTCTATCAATGCAAAAGGCGATTTCTGAAAATCTCTTTTAGTTTTGACATTTGCGAAAAAGTACGGTTTACTAACCATTATAACAAAGTAAAATACTTCCATTAGGATGCTTAAACATTGAGATTGGCCGAAGTGTCTCCCTTTGCTTGATAAACTGATGACTTTGATCATTTGGATCTAATACGCCTATGTGAAGAGGCATGATGAGACAATGCGAGAATGACTTCTATCAGTAGTTTTTACTTTGAACTCCTGCTGACGCTATATCGACCATTTGGAAACCTTTGGCGCTTCCAACGCAGACAACGCTTTTAAAGAATTGAATGGAAGTAGCTTCTCCCGGTATGTACAAATCTTTAAATAAGCAAAGCGAGTCTGCTGCATTTGTCTTCATAAAGACACCTGTGCCCTTGCTAACTTTCTTCTTTTTCATATCCTGTGCATTTGATCGAGGCTCAAGTACGCGAATAGTTGATGTCATCGCATTGTATTTTACATAGCAAATGAGGGTTCTTTCTACTGGTTTATCTGCAGACGTCGTCTTGTCAAACACTTTTCCCACTTTAAAAAATGAGACACTGCTGCTTATCTTTCGCAAATGCTGACTATTGCCTAAACATTCCATGTCATTTGAAGTAGCGTTGATCTCCTTCTGATGTTCGACGCGCATTGTAGTCAATAGATTCTCTCCATCTATTAATGTGTCCAAGCAGCAAAAGTACAGTGTTTTGTCAGCCAATATCAACATGATTTTTAAATCGCTCAGTATATCAATCTGTGAAACTTTGTTGAGGTGCAAAATACGCCTGATTCCTTCATGTTCGTCATCTTCGTTCTTATCCAAGTGTTTAACATATATTCCATGATCACAGCCAATAAATAGAAAGAGATTATAGGCAGCCGCACAGTTTACTTTGAAGAAAGTGTTGAAGAATTGATGACTAATATTTTCAATATTAAACGCTCTTGTTTGCTCCATTATCATCCTCTTGTGGTTCTCGATTGTGTCTAACCACTTCCTCTGACTTGCTAACGTAGAGGCATACAATGTCAGAGTGCCTGAACCATGTCGACCCAAGTGAGTAAAGTTTAGGGGAAATCTTGTTTTATGACTATTGCTTCCGGTGGACGAGGTAGAGTAAGATGGTAGAAGGAATATGGTATCTGTTGATGATCCTATTGTATAAGGTATAATTGAACTTGACCTTTTGTTAGGCTCAGGCAATGAGATAGTCAATAAAGCAAGAGGGATAGGCTAAAATAAAAGCAAAGAAGAGTTAATAATCCAAACACGACCAAGTAGACTGCCTTACCTTTTTATATAATTTGTATTTTTCGGTGTGATCAAAATATTTTGATTTCATGATAAGCAAGCAATGATCCAGTATGTAAATATGAATATCTGCTGCTTCAGATGCGTGATTTAAAACTTTTCTTTTTAAGCTTCCTTTCAATATAATACGACGTTCCTCAGCTAGTAGGTTTAGTTCATCCTTAAAGAAGTAATTAGTGACAAGGAGACAGCTTAACTACTCATCAGCTTACCTTATACGGATAATTCTTTGTAGCATCCGATAGTTTTTCATGTAAGAGCTGTAAACAAAATCTGTTTTCCGTCTTTCCTACTTCTTCATTGACTCTGGACAGAAAATTGCTGATTATTTCCATTACCTTTGGAAGTGCTGCTATATCCGGACTATCTTCTGGTGTTCTTTTCAATATCTCTTTTAATAGAAGGTTGTATCGACCTAAACGCGTCGTTGGCTTTGTCAGATAACCATTTAGCTCCAGTTTGCGTGATTCAGGAAGTTTTTCAACATTCTACAAATGTAAGCTACTTTTTTTTTTGTTTATTATACTTTATTCTACCTCGACAAACTTTGCAAAAGCAGGGTTTGATGATTTTTCAGTTTCGAAAATATGCCTGCTAATGAGCTGATGCGCACCATAAATAACAAAAGGTTCAAAAGATTTGACATGCTTTAATAGTATATGTCCTATCTGATCAACCACTTGATGTGTAGACTGATATAACGAGAGTTCCTGTACGAGCAACTGATTTGTTTTTCTAACTTGAGATATATTCCAAAACAGATCTTTAATAAATTGATCACGTCTATCTTTCTGTATGCAGTCACTATTTTTCAAGGCAAGGATCCAACTCTTTTCAAAGCTATGAGCAAATACTCTTGTCTTCTTTTTTGCTTTACCTCTTCTACATAAGCAAGGTCGTTCACAAAGTCTTGTTCTGTATAAATCAATTCAAATATATTTTCTTGTCGATTCCTTTCCTTTAGTGATAAACTGTTCAAGACGCTTTTTGGAACTGTATACTGCCATAGTCTATCTTCCTGCAAAGAAGTAATGTTAAAAGAGGTTTAAAGATATAGTGTAGATGTACCCTTTTCTCAACATTCAGTGAGTTCTGGCTGATTGATCTTTCTACCTTGAGTTTGCTATCCCTAATTGGACTAGAGCCCTGAATGTCTTGCATAAGAACTCTTCTCGTAACACTTGTAACATCAGATGCAAGGCTTTACCTTTCTATTGTTTGTAGGACACGATATACTGTAGCATGTATTGTCAGTAGAGCAAGTTGGCGAATAACAGCGTGTCCACAAAGTGAACACTCCGTTAGGTAGTCCCGCATTCCTCCGTTCATCTTTTGTTGCCTTTCTATTAGTTATTTTTCTTTTTGTTGGCGTTGGTATCCCATTTAATTCTTTGAATTGATATAGTTCTTTATCTGAATCCCTTAGTTTATGCTCATAATTTACGTCATGAAAGTATTTTTGGTGATTCAATGCTCGTCCGATTAGTATTGCCAAGTCTCGATCTGGTGTTCTGAGAATAGAGCAAAGCTTGTCCTGTAATGATGTGAGTTATATAGTTTTTTGGCACGAAAAAATGGATATATATATATATCTACCACAGCATCTTTTCCGTCAAATACATCATGGTACATGATGTTATCCTTTACCCTTGTGCCAACAATGATACTTTCTTTAAATGCTTCGGCTACATTGGAGAGAAGCGCAGGATAAGCACATGATATGGTATTGGGCACTTTCTGTTCAAATGAGAATGATTGCGATCGTTCATTTTTAGAATAGCTTCTATTTCTTCTATATAACGATAGGTGATGTACACTTTCTGCTGATTTTCTTATTGGGCGTGTTAATGTGCTTGATGAGCTTGCCCATAGTTGATCCAACTGAGCTAATTTGCATGAATAAGTATCACCCTTACTCCGATTCTTCTCCTTCCTCCTTTTTCTCCCCTAATCTTACATTTACTTGGAGATAACGTAGAGAGCTTCGCCCTCATAGGTGCAGTTGACTTTGATAACTTTAAAAGAAACTTGCTACTATTCCTTCTGATGATATGATCTGAACTCTTTTGAAATTCAGATGCACTGCTATTATTATTATTATTATTATGTTCCAATACAATTTTAGGCTCCTGGTCGGACTGTGGTTCATATAGTGTCATTTGAGGTTCTTGTCGCGGCAGCCGTGTTTTATCAGGAACATTTTGATTTGATGATGATTGACCTTGCTGAGAAAGGTAGTATTGATTTCGAATTGTTTCTGCTGGAGTCATGTTTATTTGTTCGCACTCTATCATATATATATGCTGTACATGTGTATGTACCATAGGGAACGTCTTGATAAATAATGAATGTAAGTTATATTAAACAAGTTACCCTGAATATTAGAAAAAGAGAAAAGAGAAAATATAAATAAATGTATAATGTATATTTATATATACAAAGGATCTACTATTTTTTAAGGAGATTATACACACACATCATCATCTATTCCAAGTGACAACATTTTTTTTATTATATTTATTCTATTTTTTTTCTTTCTTTCTTTTTATTTGTTTTACATGAAAAATGAATTGGACTGGTAGTAAAAGGTACACAAAGTATAAAAATCATCTCATGGCTGCCATAGCAAAAATATAGAAATAAAATACCAGGCAACAGTGTAAAACCACTAAAGCACCGTACCTTATTTTCAAGCCTCAAACAGACTTCTTTAGATAGACAAAGTTCGATCTATTGCTTCTCTATCACCAGTAATCTTGCCTTTTTTCAACAGTTACAGCAACTATCTGAATCTAGTCATTCTCATGTGTACAAAAAGAGTGGCGTTGAACCTAAAAAGTTGTACATTTTTTGAAAAAGTCCTACTTTTTCCTCCTCTCTCTTTTTTCTTTACGAAATAAAATGGCACAGTCCAAGCCCTTTCATATAAATGATTACCCGGTTGTCATTGGCATTGACTTTGGTATATAAAAAAAGAAATATGGCGTAGTAACAAGTAAACTAAGTCTCGTTTCTCGGTAATTTCTAGGTACAACCTTTTCTGGTTGTTCTTACGCATTTATACAAAATGATGAAGTAGTAGACATTGTTCGCTGGTAAGACTAAACTCATTGTCATCACTAGAATAACTAAATGGCTTCTTTTTTGTCCTTAAATAGGCCAAAACAAAACAATAATGTTTATCCCAAGGTAAATAAAAAGCAATGAACAATGGAAGACATTTGTATAAATTCCTTTATAGGCGCCCACTCTTAATTTTTACCAAGGCAACACTAAAGAAATGACACAGTGGGCAAATGCTGCTCGCTTAGAAATGCAGCGTCCAAATTCCCGTAACTCAGTTTTATTAAAGCAATATAAACTTTATTTGGACGAAAATATTGCAAAGGAGCTGCCTCCTCTTCCTAACGGCTTAACCATTGTTGAAGCAATATCTGACTATCTCCGTGCTTTCCATGAACATGTTGTATCTGAATTGAAAAAGGGCTTTGCAAAGAACTATAGCCAACATCAATATAGATATGTAAGTCACATTTGTCATATCTTGGCTTATACTCATTCTGTTCCTGAAAGTGTTTGACCGTTCCTGCCATGTGGTCTGATAAAGCGAAAGCAACTATGCGTGAAGCCGCTATTATGGCTGGGCTGATAAAGGAAGATGATCACCGTGATAGACTGATGCTTATTTCTGAACCTGAAGCTGCTGCCCTTTACTGTGAAAAGAAGTGTGAACAATTTAATTTAAAGCATAATGATAGATTTATGATTTGTGATGCAGGAGGTAAACAATAACAATGAAGCGATTGTTATAATACTTATCAACTCTTAGGTGGTACTGTCGATTTAATCGTTTTTGAAATTGATGAGCGTAGCGGAAGAAAGTTACGTGAATGTACTAAAGGTCATGGTCAATCCTGTGGTTCAGTGTTCTTAGATCGCAGAATGCGTAAATTATTGAAAAAGAAGTTCAAAGAGTACTTGTCTTCCATTCCAGCTTCTGCTTTTGAATCAATGATGGATAACTTTGTTGAATTGATTAAACCACAATTTGATGGCATAGAAGATCAATTTATCACTTTGCCTGCTTCAATGAATTTGGCATCACTAAACAACCCAGCTATAGGACTTGAAGATGGTGTACTTTGTTTAACAGCGGCGGAGTTAAAAAAGGAAGTATTCGAGCCTGTTATCAAGGAAGTTCTCAACTTGTGTGAGGAGCAATTGCAAAAGGCTGGAAGATTAGAAGCTATCTTTTTAGTAGGCGGTTTTGGTTCATCAAATTATTTATTTGAACGCGTTCAACAAGAATTTGGTTCCCGTGTTGGCCTTGTCGCTGTTCCTCCTCGTTGTGAACTTGCGGTTGTTCGTGGTGCTGTTTACTTTGGCTTAAACCCTCGCATAGTAACAACACGTATCCCTCGTTACTGGTACGGTATTGACACCACTACTACATTTGAAGAAGGTGTTGATCCACCAAGCTATAAGATTGTTCGTGCTGATGGTAGCGTGCGCTGTGATAATCGTTTCTCAGTTTATGTTAAAAGAGGACAACCATTGGATATCGATAACTGTGTCTCAAAAGATTTCTTTGCTTATTACCCCCATCATACTACCTGTACTTTATATGCAGCTGATACTGAAGAACAGCCTAGGTACACAACAAGTCCAGGTGTACATAAAGTTGCCAACTTTACTATTCCCATGCCTGCTTTAACTGGTGTAATGGAAGGTGAAAAGGTTGATTTAACAATTAAAATGTATTTTGGTGAAGTAGAATTAAGAGTTGAAGGTAAAGAAACATGTTTAATGATTAGGCTTGCTAACATCACCTTATAATAGCTGTCATTCGTGGAAAGACATATGGAACCACTTGCACCTTTGATTCCGACTAAGTTTATACAAAAAATAAAAATCAAGGACAAACTCACCTTTATAAAGATTGGAAATAGAAATATATACATCCTTCTTTATCTTTTCTTCTTTTATGTGTGAGAGGTTTATCATATAGTGCATGTAGTCTGATAGCTCAGCAATATGACCTCCCATAGCTAGCAACTACTATTTTATAAGCAAAAAAAAAAAAAAAAAAAAAAAAAAAAAAAAAAAAAAAAAGAAAATGTAGGTCATTAAATGAATGGGTTGGTATAAAATGAGAGCAAGTTGAAGCAACTTTAGTCGACTGAAATGTCAACTTTTGCTCTTAATAAATGAATATTATTGTCAGGGTTATCGCATACATCCAATAGCATTATCTATTAGTATGTATATCTTATCTTCTTAAGAGTCTCAAAGAATGTTCATCAGGAATGACATTAGTCGCCTGTAAAGAAATTAAACAAAATTGAGTCCAATGTCTAATTAAAGGGAATAAATAACGGAGTTTAAATAAGGTCGACGCGTCACCTGCTGACGGAGATGTACGCGTGTATTGCTTTGTAGCTGCCCCTCTGTCTCTTTCTTTTTTTTTTTACATAAATAAATAAATAATGTCTGGATACGATCGTGCTTTAACAGTTTTCTCACCTGATGGTCACTTGTTTCAAGTCGAATATGCTTCTGAAGCTGTCAGAAAAGGAACTTGTGCTGTATGTAATATAAATTTGCAAAGCAAAAGGACACATGTTTATATAATTCTTTAGGTTGGTGTTCGTGGCAAAAATGTCGTTGTTCTTGGTGTTGAAAAGAAGTCTGTTTTAAAATTGCAAGATCCCAGAACTGTTCGTAAGATCTGTATGCTTGATGATCACATTTGTATGGCCTTTGCAGGTAAAATAGAAAAGAAACAAAATTTATTCATACATTCTCAATTGAAATATAATAGGATTAACTGCTGATGCCCGTGTCTTGATTAATAAGGCTAGAATTGAATGCCAAAGTCACCGTTTAACTGTAGAAGATCCTGTAACTGTCGAATACATCACACGCCATATCGCTCAAATCCAACAAGTAAGAATATAATTATGAAAAGATAACCGAGATGACTAATATATTAAATAGAAATATACCCAAAGTGGTGGTGTACGTCCTTTTGGTATTTCTACCCTTCTTGTAGGATTTGATCACAAGGAGCCCAAGTTATATATGACGGAACCTTCTGGTATTTATACTGCTTGGAAGGTAAAGAGCCTGCTGTTTTTGTTGGAAATAATGACTAATGATTTATGCATAGGCAAATGCAATTGGTAGAAGCTCAAAGACAGTTCGTGAGTTTTTGGAGAAGAACTACAATGAAGATATGGAAGAAAATGAGACAGTCAAATTAACCATCAAATCCTTGCTGGAGGTTGTTCAGACAGGTGCAAAAAATATTGAAATCGTTGTCATGACTTCAGAAGGAGAAGTTAAGGTACACAAGAGCGAATGATATATGATTGTATATTAACAGTGATAATAGCGATTAGAACAAGAACAAGTTGAAAGTGTGGTTGCTGAAATCGAAAAGGAAAAAGAGGAGGAGGCTGAAAAGAAGAAGAAGCCTAGTGTATCAATGGGCAGTGCTTAGTTACGATGTATTCATTCTATTGTGTGTATGAAAGATAAATGACTTGATATTTCATCTAGTATGTTTGTGTGTATGTTGTGTATAATCACAGAACCGTGTGCGTTTTATTCTATAATCATGTTGTAACATTGTTTTGACAAGATTTCGTTATTATATGTTATGAAGTGAAAGAACAGCCTTAATACGTTATCTTTTACACAAACAAGATGTAGTCCCAATTTTTTTTTAAAACAAGATAACTTTATGTCTTGAATAGATTATTGATGCTTTGTTCCATTGAATATTTTATACAAGTGTAAAGGTGCTTGCCAGAATACACATATATTTAAGCCAAACTTAAAGAGGGAGCTCAATCTCTTTTTTTGTTAGAAAAGGATTATTTACATCAATCTGCTCAATTCTTATAGATACAAGTATTTAAAAGAGGGATTAGCCCTCTTGTTTTTGATGTGTATATACTTTATTATAAATTCTTCGGTTTGCCGGATAAAATATTAAAGTGTTAAATGCAAATTATAGTACACAAATGTCGGGTTCTGCTATGTATACTTCGTAAGTATGACATTTCTATGTTATGTTGGTGTAACAATATGGTTGTACGATCTACGTTTTCCATTTTGTGTTGCTCTGGACAACAAACAAAACCGTTTATTTGATTATTCATTGGATATAATTGTTTCTACTCTTGCCCAATTTCCGGTTTTTATCACAGATCTTGCAAATGGCGCCACGGCGTCATAGGACTTTAAGAGAGGATCGTGTTCATTCCAGAATTGTGTAATAAAGTTAGAGATACAGTCCGCACGAGCAGGCATATGGTTGTTATTTATACTGATGCCTTTCTTACGGCCAAAGTCTTCTATTGGTTTTTCATTACATACAAATGTTGATGGTGTACGACTAAGGCCAGATGCCATCATGGCAAAGCCAAGATCTTCACAGTTGAGTGCCTGATCGACATATTCATGTAATTTAGGCTCCAATAGACTATAAAATAATGATAAGTAAAAGCCAAAAGTAAGAAAAAGCAGCCATAGTTACCATGTATAAGCAAACAGATATTCAGATCGTATAAACATACTCTTTGTTAAAACAAGAGTATAAGGTGCTCTGTTAGTCACTTTGTAACTTGCTTGGTGTGTTTCCGGATCATATCTGTGTAAGCGAGGGAAATGACCTACCACACTATCTTTACGTGATCTCCATACCTATATCGATCTGTGTTACAAGAAGAAAATAGAAAGTGAAGACGTAATACTTGCATTAAAAGCGTATTCGAGGTCTTGTAAATCAATAAAGATGTCGTCATCCATAATATAGACTGCTTCTGTTTTCAAATCATCGACAGGATTGAATCTATTGTTGAGTGAATCATAAGATTGTTTGAGTACTTTAAGTCGAGAATGATCTTGAATAGAATCATAGATGGAAGCGGGAACATCTAAATTTGGATTGTGCCAAGTGATGTAGATGGTATGGACCATATCAGACTTGAGTAAATGTCGAATGAGTAGAGAGATACGTTCTATTCTTTCTGGATTATAGGTGCTAATCATTACAGAGAATTTATCTTGAACAGTAAAGTGGTGTATATTGTTTATGGATTGCAAATAACCATCGCATACATCATCTTGCCTTTGTTGGTTCTGCCATTCTGAGACTAGTGCTTAAAATAAGATAATGTCTATAAATATACATTATATTTTTATACCTGGGTTCAAAAAATGCTTTAGACCATTACTTGCTTTACGCCAATAATAGAAAGGTATAGGATCATAATGTTTTGACCAATCTGTATCATTATACATATGAAAGTTCCATGGTTTCATTGGACCATTGTAGACATAAAGATGCTATAAGGATTGATATGATTAGTAAACTAGTTATTTTAATTTCTTTTATGTTTTACTTGTAATAACTTGTTCGTAGTATTGTGTAGCTGAAATTGAATAGATTTTGACGTCTTGTAGTCTCGAACCATCGATTCAAAATGATCGGGGCTGGGTTCAAGTAGGAGAAGAGAAGGGCTGAGTTGGTTCGACAGAATAGCAGAATTTGGTAATTGATAAAATAATTGATCTACGTCCTAAAATAATAAAGTTAGATACCAGGTGATAACATAATGATTGCATTACTTTATCAAATAAAACGTCATGAGTAAAATAGACAATCTTCTTATAATCAAACAAGGCCCATAGGTTAAGTAAAGCATGTTGACTGTTCATGCAAGAGGATTGAGCAAAAGAAGTCTATATATGTACATGTTGATTAGTAAATAGATTAGAAAAAGTAATATCAGCATTACTCTAATGATTTTAGTATCAAGCCTTTCTAATTGTTGAATAGAGTCATTTTCTATATAGATTGAATCAGGTATTAACACAATGACATCTGTCTTTGATGACGGCTTTTTTGAAAAGGCGAGTTGAAGGGAATAAATAGAGACAAGAGTGGGTTCAATCTATATATAATGTGAATGGGTACAAGTTTATATGCAAATACTAATATTTTACTATTGAATTATCACAGATAATAGTTGCATATGCATGTCCCTTGTCAAACATTTGAAATATATCTTTCTTTCTATGATTTGGTGAATATGTAGTTATCCTTAATGACGGATAGAGAGTAAATAGTAATAATAGGCAGCACAGAAATGTGGATACTGCAAACATGTAATATCTGTTATTCATTTTGTTTTGAAGAAAGAAAAAAAAAGAAAGAGGGGAAAGAAGACAAAACTATTGAATCCAGTTGCAGAAAATCAAGATAAATAGAGTTCTGACTTTAAATTAATAAAGGTAGTACTAAAAATAATTTTGGGTTGTACTTTGCTTCCTTGTTATCTTGTTCTGTACAAGAACAAAAAGGCACTAATATTGCCTAATTAATATATTTATAATAAATATGTTTCATATTGATTTGAAGAAGCATTATTATCGGTTAATAGGTATTTGATCATCGGTTACACTACTGACAATCAAGGCAATATTCTACAAGTATGGGCATAATGGTATAGATAACACTAGGTTCAATCACAGATAATATAAATGGTGTCAATAAAGACTATGCTAACTATCTTTAAAATTGATAAAGGCATTCATATGGATGATCGACCATTTGCCTTTTTATTAAATGATCGACGCATTAAGTTAAAATGCCAAGAGACTAGTCTGACGTTAAAATATAGAATGTAACAATGACTGTCCCTCTCCCTTTCCAATAACTGAAACGCCATCCCTATAGATCAAAAGTCTGATGCTATGACCATGTCTTATCTCAAACTGATGACTTCAGTTACTTTAGCTCATAATATGTGAAACGATGGTAATTCTTGTAAATTACTTCTTTTCTTTGCTTAACAATCATATAATTCATATTGTTCTTGAAGCAGTAAAATTTGATGCGTATAAAGGCTAGTCGCTCTGGACTTGAGTAAGCTTACATTAAACATTTATCCGTCTGACTTAACAAGAGGAAGGGGAAAAAGAGTAGTGTAATATTCTAAAGCTTAATTGTTCTTTTTTGTTTATAAAGATTAAACATAAACTGTCTTGAAAGTAAAAAAGCGCTTCGATACTAGTGGACCTTTCATTGGTCATTTCCTAGTTTATAGTGTCTTTACACTTTATTCACAAGCTATTCGCACACTGATAAAAAAAAATGATAGTTTCAGGCAACAAATAATAATAAAAGAAAGCCCATCAGAAGCAAAAGAATGTGATATAAAAAAAAAAAAGATTAGAAAATGAGTTATTAAATTGATATTAAATACTTACATTATAAAGAAGGTGATTTATAAGAGAAAAAAAGAGAACCAAGAAAAGTGAGTAAACTTGTAAAGAGATTATTAGTATCTTACCCAAAGCGCATTAAATAGGACTGGTTACAGCTATCCCGGAAAGAGCAAATGGAGCGCAAGAGAGAGAGTGGATGAGACAAAATTTGGTAAGAACCAAGCTACCCTCAGCCAACACCGGGTTATTTTCGATGGGCAATCTATAATACTACATACCTAACAAGAGTAAAGAATATAACATACCTTAGGGCTAGCTGGAGAATAGCTGATCTTACTTTTTGGTATAAAGAAAAGAAAAGTCAAGATCAGGTTATTTATATTAAATATCTACCAATTTATCAGTTACATGTTATTTATCAGTGCTGACCACAGTTATCTTTTCTTCTCTCAAAAAGACAGAATTCATTGCCTTTTTAATAATAAAGAAGATATAGAAAATCAACTAAAGTGTAATTGTTATTGATCTTGTAACGTATGCGAATAACTTCTGAGAAGTCTATTGTAAGTTGAACAATAACCTACTTGTTAGTCTCAACGTCTTTGTTGTAAATGATTGGATTTCGCCTATTCAAATAGTGTCGTAGTTATAATATTTATCCAATCATATTATCTTATAAATTAAGCTTCCGATATGATTTTGCAAAGGGGGTCTTTCCTGTCGCGCATTTTCATTTTTTTTCTATTCTATTGATCGTTTATTGATCATAATGACAACACTTCAGGTTTATGCACACAGGCTCAATGATAGCACTCTATGTAAATAAAACAACATTATATTATGCTTATACTTACAACATTGCTATAGCGCCTATTTTAAGAGTGACAATCGCGAATGAATTAAGAGATCAAGTCGAGATGTTTCAAACACTTGAATATCCAAAGTTTTTATCAACTTTACTTCCTGTATTTATGGATATTTTACAAAATGGAAGCCCAGTATTTCAAAGTAATGCACCTGAACAAGTAAAATCGATTGCATTTACTGTATTTAATAGCTATTAAACATGATATGTTATAGAAGCTACGTAATATTATTTTGGAGATTATATACCGATTACCACAAACAGAGCCATTAAAAGAATATGCATATGACTTATGCACCATGTTGATGAACCTCATTCGTGTCGAGAATGAAGACAATGCCGTCGTTTGTGCAAAGATTATTATCGATTTGCATAGAGCTTTTAGAAATGTATTAGAAGATCAAGTGCAGCCCTTCTTGGACATCGTCCTGGATATATTTAAAAATATGGAACAAACAGTAAAAGATCTTTTTGATGCTCCAAGTACTCCTATTGGATCAGCTACAGTAAGCCTTGATATCTTCAATTATTATTCATTAACCTTGGTATTTGTAGCCTGGCATAAACCCTTTACTCGTAGCTTCTCCTAGGCCCAATTCACCTGCTGATGTGCCTGAATCACCTTCAAAACCATTACAAAAGAGTATGTGTAGCTTTAAAGTCTTGACGGAATGTCCAATCATTGTTGTTCTACTCTTTCAAACATATCGACAAATCGCATCAGAAAATATTCAAAAATTCATACCTTTAATCATTCAAGTAAGTTCATTTCTTTTGACTAAACCATCTTAACCTATTCTGTAGATCCTGAGTCTGCAACCAAAACCACAAGCCGAGGCTGCAAACGCTGCGCAGGCTCGTGGCGAAATATTTGTAGGTGTCTGTCCTGAAATCAGAAATCGAGCTTTATACAATGACTTTATGGTAGCTCAAGTGAAAACAATGTCATTTTTGGCGTATATTTTGAAGAGCTATAGCCAATTATTACGACCTTATCAACAACAAATACCAGACTTTGCACTTCGATTACTGAGAGAATGCCCACCAGAATCAACAGCAACAAGAAAAGAGTTGCTAGTTGCTATTAGACATATCCTTTCAAATGAATTCAGGGCTTCATTTGTACCAAAGATTGACTTGTTATTAAATGAAAAAGTTCTTATCGGTACTGGAGTAACTTCTTATGACACTCTGCGGTAATGTCGCTTTTAAAAAAGCAAAGCGTTGTATTGACATTGTTATTATGAGTAGCCCTCTTGCATACAGCATGCTTGCCGATTTTGTTCATCATATTCGCTCAGAACTTTCACCTGCTCAACTCTATCGAACTGTATATATTTATTCTCGTAACCTTCATGATGCTACATTAGCGCCTAGTATTCAAACCATGTGTGGCAAGCTACTACTCAATTTGATTGACTGTATCATTAAAATTCCTGATAAATCAGAAGGAAGAGAACTGCTGATGCGTATTTTGGATGCATTTGCAAGTAAATTCGCTTCGTTAAATATCCTCTTCAAGACGTGCTTAAAGCAGCATTTAAAAAAGAACAACGCCTTGCAATCTTCACAGATATACCCAACCAATAGCAATAGTAATAATAGTACTGTAGAAATACAAGATAGTTTTGATTACGACAGAGCCAAGCCTATAAACGCTACATCGTCCGTACTCGATCCACAGCATGATGGAATCAAAGATGCTCGGTTTTTATTTAAAAACTTTACTGTCGGTTTGAAATCTTTATTCATTGGACTAAGACATTGCAATCCTACGCCTCCACCAGAGACCAATACACAACTATACTCTCAGTTTGTCCAAGGTTTTACACAACAGGACATTCATGTTCTCATAAGGCTTTTTAGAGAAGGACTTGTCTGCTTTGAATACTACAATGTAGATCAGTACGGCCCTAATGGCAGTCTTCCTTTTGAAAACATAAACTATGAAGAACTAAAGAAGACCTCTGTTGGCTGTAATGACCTATCTCTTGTAATTGGCACTCAGGCAACTACAGAAAAGGAGACCTTGGAAACATTCGCAGCTGTTTTTACCCTTCTGGATCCTGCCATTTTCCAAGAAATATTTGTATCTCAAATGGGATTTTTCTTTGACAGGATGCTCATCAATACCTCACTTGTTCACATTGCCCAATACTTTCTAGTCAATGACGTGTCTAGCCAAGGATTTGTTAGCATACTGCTTCAATTTCTAGTGGATCGACTGGAACAGTTGGGTGGAGAAGATATGCACTACTCAGCAGTACAATTGCATTTATTCCGATTATCCTTTCTGGCTATTAATCTATTTCCCAATTTTATTGAACCTGTTCTCCAGCCCTATCTTAGTAGCTTGGTAGTCTCCTGCTTCAAACTATCAGCTAAAGCAAAAGAGCCTGCAAATTACTTTCTATTGCTTCGTGCCATGTTTAAGAGCATCGGTGGTGGTCGTTTTGAACTCTTATACAAGGAAATTGGCCATTTAATTCAAATGATACTCGAAGGCTTGAATTCACTACTGACACTTACCCATAAACCGGAAATGCGAAACTTGCTTGTCGAACTAGCTTTGGCCCTCCCGGTTCGATTAAGCACGCTTTGCCCATATCTACCATTATTAATGAAGCCGCTGGTGATAGCTTTACAAGCTGAAAATGAATTAGTCATTCAGGGCCTCCGTACTATCGAACTTTGTAACGACAACTTAAACCCAGAGTTCCTGGACCCGGTTATGGAGCCTGTAATGCATGAACTGATTACGTCCTTATACAAGTTACTTAGACCACTACCTCATAACCAACAATATAGTCAAGTTGCAATGAGGATCCTTGGTAAACTTGGAGGAAGAAATAGGCGTATCTTAAACACTCCTCCTGTTCTTGACTATAAAGAGCCAATCGAAGATGGTCTTTCTCTTGAAATAATATTTGATCCCAACACCGTCTCCCATAACTTGCCTTTGGACAAATGCCTGAAGTTAGCGTGTCAAACACTAGAAGATCAAGAAGTTGATTTATTTTACAAGAAGCACGCGCATGAATTCTTAAAAACTAATCTTATTATGATGCTTGAACTTGACGAAGGTCCAGATAATCTGACTCAAATTGTTCATTATCGTGTACAGCAATTCTTACAATACAAGTCATCCAACGACAACAGCAACGCCAAGAGCAAGTTGACTAATACGGAAATGATGGATATTGATGAAGTATCTTCTGGATTAGCATCAGAAGAAATGCAGCAGAACGATGCAATTTTGAAGCCAAAAAGATTGAGCAATAGAGGATATACAAGATATTTTTCAAAACGACTTGCGCAAGAAGAAGCATTCCGTACTATACTTGTTGCAATATTGAAAGCATCTGCTATTCCAGCTCTAAGTGAAGATGCATGGCCTTTCTTTAGAGGCATCTGCCGTCATTTCATGCTACTCCACATTAATGAAGCTATTGAAGTGAAGAAAAATGGCTCAAAGTCACTTTTGGACGTAATGGATGAAAAATTATCTGCTCAAAACTTGAGCACAACAATTCTTGTGGATGCCATAGTAAAAATGATATCGTCTGAAGACCCAAATTTCAGACAAAAAGCAGAAGAATCGCTTCAGTTGTGCTTTAATATAGCAGTGAATGTCATGGGCGCAAAAGAGCATGTCTGGAGATTACCTATCTTTAGAGTCTTTGCTTCTCAATTTTGTTCCTATTGCTACAAACAAGATTGGTATCATAAAAGAGGTGGCTGTATTGGTATTTCTATCATTAGCTCTCAGCTAGATATGGGTATTCAATGGATGCGTGAACATGAAATAGAATTCATTCGTGCTTTGCTCTTTGTCTTGAAAGATGCTTCACCTGAAATGGCCAATGCTAACACTACAGAAGCTACACAAACTTTAGCTCATGTTCTCAAGGTGTGTAATAGACCTGACGATGACGAATCTGAAGAAAGTCAGCAAAAGTTTCAAAACTTGATAGCTTTGCTTTTAAGTGAACTTTCTAACTCAAATAGCGCTGTGCGTGAGGCTATACAGTCATCATTTCAACTTTTGGCAGATCTAACAGGAAACGAAGTAACAGAACTTTTGGCTCCAGTCAGAGAACGTCTTGTTGCGCCTATTTTTGCCAAACCATTACGTGCTTTACCTTTTGCTATGCAAATTGGCCATATAGACGCTATTACTTATTGTCTCACCCTTCGACCGCCCTTTCTAGAATTCAACGATGAACTGATTCGATTGCTACATGAAGCACTTGCACTTGCTGATGCAGAAGATGAAGCGCTAGTAAGCAAAAGCTCACAACAGAAAAATGCAACTTCTTTGATGAATTTACGTATCGTGTGTGTACAACTTTTGTCAGCAGCCATGGCGTGTTCTGACTTTTCTAACCAGCGTCAGACACGTATGGGCACGCGTATTATTCAAGTATTTTTTAAATCATTATATTCCTCAACTCCAGAGGTGGTAGAAGCAGCCCATCGTGGCCTTAAGCAAGTACTATCTCAACAAAGTAAGCTCCCAAGGGAGCTCTTACAACAAGGTCTTCGTCCCATCTTGTCCAACCTATCAAATCATCAAAAGTTGACAGTCTCGGGCTTGGAAGGGCTTGCAAGATTGTTGGAGCTTTTAACTGTCTACTTTAAAGTTGAGATCGGCAAGAAGCTGTTGGATCATCTCACACAATTGGCCGACCCAAGTGCTCTGCAAGAGGCTGCTGGAACTGCACTATGTAATAATCATTCTGTGAAAATTATTGTGGCAATTTTGAATGTTTTCCACTTGTTGCCTGCTGCTGCACACATTTTCTTGGACAGTCTTGTTTCAGCTGTGTTAAAGATGGAATCACATTTGCGCTGTTCAGTCTCAAGCCCGTTTAGGCCTAATCTTATCAAGTATTTAAACAGATATCCTGCTGAAGCAGTGGCATATTTTTACGATCGACTTGACCGCCCTCAGTACAGTCGTCTCTTCATTGATATCCTTGGTGTTGAAAATGCTGTTCAGCTCCGTGATGAGGTCTCGAAATCTACTAGTCAACTTTTGGAAAAGACCCTCAAAGTGCCTGACGACTCATCTCTTCATTATCAAGGCGTATTGATAGTCCGTGAGGTAGTACGATATGACACAAACTGGTTAAGCGGACAGCCTGACGTATTGGCGACGTTGATAGAGCTCTGGCGCTCACCCACTCGGTTTGTATCAATGAAAAATGATGACCAAGAAGCTATACGCGTCACTCGGGAATCCTTGTACCTATCTCAAATCTTTATATCTCATATTCGTGCAAATCCAGACAATGTTGATCTTATCTTTGAAATTGCACGCTTGTTTGCACAAGAATCAGTCATGGATCTTTCTTATCTTCGAGAATTCTTCTTCAAGGACGTTGCTTTGAAGTACACTGCTAAAAACAAGCGACTCATTTTAGAAAGATTCCTTCAGCAATTTCATGAACCTTCTCTCTCTACTCTTTACCGTATGATGTTTCTTCGACATGTCATAAACCCCTCCTTGTTAACAGCAATGGTTCAAAAGAATGGCGAATATACAAATATCCTAGATTCAGCCATAATGGAACAACTTGTGCGAAGAGTCTGGGGCTACTCTATCTCAGATTCAGTTGATGACGACCAATATGCTGAAGACTCTCTCAGAATTGAACTTCTTCAACTGACGGCCATGATAATTCAATATGCGCCAGACTTGCTAGCTGATTTGCGTAAAGAAGTGATAAAATTTGGCTGGAACTACATACGTCTTGACGATGCTACTTGTAAACAAGCTGCTTATGTTTTGATTGCTCGTTTTATTACAGCATTCGAAACACCTAGCAAAATAGTTATACAAATTTATGCTGCTTTACTACGTTCCCATCTTTCTGAAGCACGACCCTTGGTCAGGCAAGGATTGGACATCATTTCACCAGTTCTTCCTTCTCGTGTATCTCAAACAGCGAATGAGCGCATTCCTACTTGGATTCGTTTGACTCGCAAAGTGATTGTTGAAGATACTCATAGTATTTCACAAATGGTTAACGTATATCAACTGCTTGTTCGTCACCCAGAGTTGTTTTATGATTACCGTGAGCATTTTTTGCCTCAAATAGTAAATGCACTACCCAAGCTTGGACTATTTCAAAATGTTACACCTGAAAATAAGCTTTTAACAGTCGAACTCGCAGAGCTGATTTATAATTGGGAACAAAAACGCCTACAACACCAAGCTAGAAAAGATGAGGGGAGTCATGGACCAGTTGCTACTCCCGAAAAGAGGTCACTTGAACAATCTTCTACAGACACCTCATCAAAGAAACTAAAGAAAGAGAATGGTAGCGGTGAAGTTAAATCAGTACCTACTGCAACTGAATCGGTAACATTGGCTACCAACGGATCTAAAAGATATGTACCTCCTTTGACCTTACGAGAGAATATCATTGGTTTCTTGGTTCGATTGGCATGTACAATATATAATCCTACGGACGCTATGCAAAAGAAACTGGTACAACGCGTATTGGAGCTCATAAAGAACTTTCTCCAGCCTTCTTTTTGGCCGGATGTTCATGTCAAGTTCATTCACTTGGAGCGAACATTGGCTATGAAAGATATGAATGACATATATCTACCAAGTATATGCAATGCTTTAGAAATCTTAAATGTTGACATTAGTCGTAAACCAGCTGACTGGTTTCTTGTTAATATGGGTCCATTATATCGTCTATTAGAAAACTGTATCAAATCTGACACTGTTCGCATCCATACAACGCTTCAACCAGTATTAGCATGTATATTCAAGTCTATAAACCAAACAATCAACCCAGAAGGCAAGGAACATCAGCAATCAGATGCTTCAGCTTTTATATCTCTAGTAGAATCGACCATTGTGGATGGTATTGCTAATACGAGTAATACATATGGAATTTTGAAGCTGCTTCAAGCATACTGTACTGGTCGAAGTGAAAAATTAGATCAGTTTATTCCTGGTATTGTCAAATTACTTCAAAAACTTACCAGGGAACATGCGCTTTCTACTCAATCTACTGGCTCTTCTAATCCAGACTCTCAGGTCAATCTATTGATTCTTAGCCTTGGTCTTTTGAAAATGAGAGTATCTTATTTGGGTGATCAACGTCGTTGGTTTCTTGCTTGCTTGACTCAGTTAATTGAAAAATCACCAGACATTCAACTTCTACACGCCATTTTAGATATGGTTACCGAATGGACCCTTGATAAAACAGAACCATTTCCAACGATTAAAGAAAAAGCTAGTCTATTGGTCACAATGATGAGCTTGCAAAATCGCAATGACAGTCGACTTACTGAGGATTATCTTGAATTGGTCTTGAAGATTTATAGTAATCCTGTCTTTGCAAGGTCTGAACTTACCGTTCGCTTGGAAGAAGCGTTTCTATCGGGAGCCAAAAGCAAAAACGCACAAATCCGTTCACAATTTATGCGTGTACTTGATCGTAGCCTGAACCGCACACTTCATACACGGTTGAACTATATTCTAGGTGTGCAGAACTGGGAATCATTAGCAGATAGCTTTTGGATTCATCAAGCATTGGATCTGTTGCTTGGTGCTATTCATGCCAGCTCTCAACTATCATTTTCTCATGTTTTGACAGCCATGTCGATAAATGCCGCTGGAAGTGAAGATGAACCTCAAGCATCAGAGACATCTGTGGAGATCAAGAATACGATAGAAGAGCATCAGCAATTCTTACAAAGCTTACAGAAATATACTGTACATAACATTATCGTAAATATTCGTCAGTTACAATACCTTGACAGTAAGGTGTGCTTTCAACTTTGGGTTAGTATGTTTTCAATGGCATGGTCTGAGCTAAATGATCTTGAATGTCAAGAAATGGGTAAGATGATCATTCAACTACTTGCAAGGGATTATCATGAAAAGCAATCTAGTTTGCGTCCAAACGTTGTTCAAGCCTTGATGTCTGGTATTGCACATGTAAATCCAAATATCAAGTTACCTCCTCACTTGATCAAGTACCTGGGTAAAACCTACGATGCTTGGTATACTTCTATTGAAATTCTTCAAAGATCAACTGATGCTGCTCGATTGGCTTCTCTTCCTAATGATGGCATAAATAGTCAAGAATGTATCTGGGACGCTTTAGCTGATATGTTTTCCAGCTTAAGTGAGCATGATATGTTTTATGGTTTATGGAAACACTGCTGTACCTATGCAGAAACAAACATCGCTTTATCTTTTGAACAAAGTAATATGTGGTCACAAGCTCAAACAATGTATGAAAATGCCCAAATTAGAGCTCGTAATGGTGTATTACCTTTCACAGAATCTGAATACATGCTCTGGGAGGACCACTGGGTCTTATGTACCGAAAGACTTCAGCAATGGGATGTTTTAGCTGACTTATCCAAACATGATAACAATCCGAAGCTGCTTCTTGACAGTGCTTGGCGCTTATCCAATTGGGCTGTTGATAGAGAGTTGCTGGAACAAACAGTCTCTCAAGTGAAAGGCTCGAGTACACCGCTTATGAAAGTATACGAAGCATTTTTAGCCCTCATTAAACCACAAACAACTGACGATAGGCTTGAAGAATTCACTCGTGTATATGAAGAAGGCATCCAGATTAGCTTAAAACAGTGGTATACATTGCCAAGGGTGGTATCACAGAGCCACATATCGTTATTACAAATATTTCAACAGTATTTAGAGCTTCGTGAGGCAAGTCAAATATTTAATAATTTAGCAAATACAAATGCACAGAACCTCGAACAAAGGTCCAATGAACTTCGCATTATCCTCGGATCTTGGCGCGATCGATTACCAAATATATGGGAGGACATCAACTTTTGGAGTCATACAGTTGCTTGGCGCCAGCAAATATTCAATGCGATTAATCGTGCATATGTGCCTTTAATCCCATTGCTTCCTATTCAAGGAGCAAATCAGAACATGAATTCTGTTGCTTATCGTGGCTATCACGAAACGGCGTGGATTATTAATCGCTTTGCGCATGTAGCAAGAAAGCATGATTTAGACAATGTATGCACCACTTCCTTGGCCAAAATTCATACATTACCTAGCGTCGAGGTCCAGGAAGCATTCTTAAGGCTACGTGAACAAGTTAAATGCTATTACAAGAATCCATCTCAACATAATGCTGGCTTAGATGTGCTAAATAACGCCAATATATCATATTTCAACCACGAACAACAAGCAGAATTATTTGTCTTGAAAGGCAAACTGTTGGCAAAACTGAACTATTATAACGAAGCTAATGAATCATTTGTTAATGCTGTACAAGTCATTCGATCTAATCAGCCTATCAACAATACTCAAGGTTCTCAACCTACTCAGAATCCGCAAACACAAGCATCGTTTGGAAAAGCTTGGGCCGCATGGGGCGAATATAACCACCAAAGATTTAAAGAGAATCCTCAAGCTTTAAGTTGGGCTAACCATGCTGTAAGCTGTTATTTACAAGCAGCGGAAGTGTATAAAAATGCTAGATCAAGAAAATACCTCCTACGTGTTTTATGGTTACTTGGCTTGGATGATCAAAATGGAAGTATTTCAAATGCGTTCGAGGCTTATACAGGAGATATACCAGTGTGGTACTACATTACATTTATTCCTCAACTTTTAATGGGAATACAACAAAAAGAAAGCAAATATGCACGCACTATTCTTATGCGAATTGCTAAACATTATCCTCAGGTTTGATTCATTTGCAAAGAATAAGAGCTGTTTTACTCAACTTAACCTTGTAGGCATTACACTTTCAATTAAGAACTGCTAAAGAAGAAGTTCTGAAACGCATGAATATGACAAATACCTTATCAACTGCAAAAAATAGTACAGAAAGTGTAAATAACAATGATATAGAAACCAAGGATGCAGCCACTTCAGCAAAGGGTTCTGATAAAGCTGAGACTGGAAATACTGAAATCAGTGAAGGAAAGCATGAAGATAGGATGGATACGGATAATGATTCTTTGGAGAAACCAACACATGAACAAGACATAAAGAAGGAAGATGAAGGCTATGATAGAAGTAAAGTGAAAGCTGAGGAAAAGGAAATGCAGACAACATGTGATAACGATGATAAATCTTCAAATACTGAAGGAGATCAGCCCAACAAGTCTTTAGATCAAGCAACAACCAAGGCTCCAACCCCAACTCACCCTTATGATGAGATTATGTCCATGTTAAAGACCGGCTATCCATTATTAGCTCTATCTATGGAAACGATGGTAGACCAAATTCAGCTGAAATTTAAGCCTCAGCCTGATGAGGAGATGTATCGACTCGTTGTGGCTTTATACAATGAAGGTGTACAGGTACTTTTTTTTACAGCATTAGTATATAATGTAGAGCATCACTGATGATAGGCTATAGCAACTTCTTGCTCGCTTAATGAACCCAAATGACAACCTTGAGCTAACCAATGCAACTATGAGCAACATTGCTCGATTTGCTAGCAGTCTTTATCCAGGCAATATAAAAACAGCATTTGTACATGACTTTGCAAAATCCAAGTTGAACCTAGAAGAGTATGTGGCTAAACTAAGACTGTGGAGAGACAAATTTGAGGCCATGCTGGATTCTAGGCCACATAAACAAAAACTAGAGGCATCGAGCCACTATCTGGTAGAATTTCAACATCAAAAGTTTGATGACGTTGAGATTCCTGGTCAATATTTAATGCTAACCGACAATGCAAACAACTTCTTACGTATTGATCGCTTTTTACCAGAAGTAGAAATTATTCGTAACTATGGAAACTGCTTCCGACGCATTACTATTAGAGGGCATGATGGCAGTCTTCATCCATTTGTTATTCAGAATCCATCAGCTCGACAGTTTAGACGAGAGGAAAGACTCATGCAACTGTTCCGTTTACTCAATGGTGTTCTGGAGCGCAAGAGAGATAGTCGCATGCGTAACTTGGATTTCCATCTACCCCAAATTGTTCCTCTGGCACCCAACGTTCGTATGGTTAGCGATGATCCCTCTTATTGCACACTTTACGAAATCTATGAGGATCATTGTGACAACACGAATATGCACAAAGATGAGCCACTTTCCCTGTTTGTCGAAAAACTCAAAAATAGCATTAACAAAGCCAATGAGGTGAGTCTCTTTTATACCAACGAAAGAAGTAAAGCTCATTTTTATATACTATAGGCTACTAATATCAAAATGGAGATGCTTAACTTGAGAATAGAAATTAACGAAGAGATTGCCAAAACGATGGTTCCACAGGATATCTTGAGCAAGGTATTACGCATAATGTCTTAAAGATAGTGAAACATATTAACAAATAACTAGTACATGCTTCGATCACTTGCATCTTATGATGACTATTGGTTCCACCGTAAGCGATTCATTGCTCAGTACGCAACAGCAACCTTTATGACCTACTTATTTAATGTGGGTCATCGTACACCTCATAAAATTACTATATCTCGTCAAACGGGTAACATTTGGATGACGGAGTTCTTGCCTGGTAAGAGAAGAAAGCTATGAAACGATACAACTGAAACTAAACTACATGTTTAGGTTGGGATCAAAATAACCTTGTACTTGGCAGTGGTGAATCTGTTCCTTTTAGATTTACGCCCAATATTCAAAATTATATGACAAAGATTGGCATAGATGGTCTCTTCTCTAGTTGTCTTATGGCTACAGCAAGTAGTCTAACAGAATTTGGATTGGGACTAGATGATTATCTATGTCTTTTTGTTAGAGACGAGATAATATCTTGGTTTTTAGCTAATCAGCAAAGTATACCAGAGGGACAAGTACGTGAGCTTGTACAGACTAATGTGGGTCATATGATTGCAAAAGCTCGCCTACTAGCATGTAAATCAGACATTGAAAAGGTATAAAGTATGCTTTTATAAATGACTGTTTCTAATCTTCTATTTTGTAACAGACAATACAGTCAGAAAGGCCTGTGTGTCAAAACATAATTGAATTAATTTCACAAGCAAGTAATCCACAAAGATTGGCTCAAATGGAATGTACTTGGATGCCATGGCTATAATATATACTCTTAATAAACTTACAAATAAAAACTTATATCGTTATCATGCGTCATTTTTATTTGATAACCAAATATTATCACATACGACGTATTACTCATTTTATCAAGATGGATTAAACCCAGGAGCACTACTAGACTTTTGGTGGCCTTTTGAAGGAAAAGAAGCTCTCCAATGTTATGTTTTGATTTGTAAATAAAGATACTACATGTGCATTCCCTGTCAATAAATAAGCGCGGAACCCCGATTTTTATTACCTTTTCTTAAAGTTTTAATAAATAATCCAATATGTCTTCCAGAAGTTCTCAAAGCATCGTCCCCAGAAACGTAAGGGACTCTCATCTTTTACAAGGGCCGCATTATAGGTCAACATGATAACAACAGAAATGCCCAGGAGATTGATGACTTTCTTGACACCCCACAGTCGACAATTAAAAGTGTCATTAATAAGTACGAAGAGGAAGGCGTTGAAGCTCTTTCTCCTTGACCTGGGCGCCCCAACAAGCTGAGCAAGGCTGACGCGACTGCTCTTGTTCTCGGTGTAAAGCGTAACCCACAGAAGCCATTTGGTTATCATCAAATCACGCTCGCTCAGGCTAACATCGAAGTCTGTCTTAACACAGTTAAGAAATATCTGAAAGAGATGGGTTATGGTTCTTACTCCATGGCTCATAAGCCTTTACTCACCAACGTCCACAAGCGCAACAGACGCCACTGAGCTATGGAGCATAAAGATTGGACAGTGGACCAGTAGAACAACGTAATCTAGTCGGATGAATCTCGGCTCACTGTCATGGGGAATGATAGCTTTGGGAAAGTCATCAGGAAGGAAGGAGAGCGCTACCAAGAGTGCTATATTATGCCAGTCCTGAAATTTGGCAAAGGCTCAATGATGGTCTGGGGCTGCTTCTGGTCTGGCGGTTATGGTCCTTTGGCGATATTGAAAGGTTCCGTTGACCAAGCGGCATATACCAAATGCCTAGAAGACCACTTCTTTCCTTGGTCTGAAAAATTGAAAGAGGAAGAGAAGATAGACTTCATATTTCAAGAAGATGACGCTACCTGCCATACTGGCAAACGGAGCAAGTGGTACAAGCAGAGACATCAAATCAAGGCTTTGATAATTGGCCAAGTCAAAGTCATGATTTGAACCCAATCGAGCATTTGTGGTGAGCCCTCAAGCATCATGTTCGTCAGAAAAGACATCAAATACACAATGTAGAGCAGCTCAAGGGTGTCTTTCATGATGAGTGGAAGATGTTGCCACTTGAACTGGTGGAGGAGCTTGTTGCAAGTATGCCCTCTAGATGTCAAGCTAAAGGAAAGTCATATATCTCTGTTATATAAACTTCAAATATTCATCAGTTTATACTGAAGTATGCAAGATTGAGATTTGGATATTGGTATTTATTCGTAGGGAATGTATTTATACGCAAGATAAATTTATAGAACAGGACAGTCATTTTGATCTGCTTTATCAGCTTTCAATCGATTCAAATCTCCTTTTAGCCAAAAGCAAGGTAGATTACCAATTGCAACAGCTATGACCACAAATATCATTGAGGCATTCATATTATAAGGCGGCACACTGTCTGGACCTGCTCGTAAAGCATCTATAGCAATAGAAAATATAAGTAAAGCTATAGTCATAGCTGCCCACATAATACATGAGCTGATTGATTCTGAGACAGGGTATGTTACTATTGGTAAATGTTATATTAAACTGAAAAGAAGAAAAAGCTGCATATGTTATTATATATCTTACTTTCAGCGGCTAATTCAAAATAAATAGGAAATAGTGCATAACAAAAGAAACCGTTTATGATGCATGTCAAAAGAACAATTGGAAAGGCGTTGGGTATAACTAATAACTATAAGTATACTTTTCTTAAATACTATCTTATACTTACAATTGAAAATAAATAAGAAATAACTGAATACAGACATTGGAGTAAATAGCTTGAGAAGCATAAGATGCTGAGCCGTCTTACCGATCCAGTAACCGGTAGTGACTATAAAAGAAATGTGTTAACGCTGATTACATTAAAACTAGATGTAACACTTTACGTCCACCTATACATCCTGCTAACACTACTGAGGCCGCGCATAAGCCAGAGCTTTGTTCACTGTATCCAAAAGGCGTGAGGGCTTCTATGATCAGTAGGGAAACTGAGAAAGTCATGCCTGCAGTTACTGACGCTAGTAAAGTCAGCCACCAGAATCTTATATTTTTGGAAAGGTGTCTTAATCCAACCAAAAATGGCTCCCTTTCTACAGTTGCTGATAGGCAGGGAGGCACAGATGGCTTCTTTGGTATAAAAAAAGTTGGTATTGCTACTACAGTTGCAAACGCTGAAACACACAGCAGCTAAAACTACTTGGTCAATAACCATAATAACAAAAATAATAGGGCTATTGCTTATTCTACCATTATTGGTATTTCTTGTAGAGTTGGTGTTACCAGAGGCAAAATTAATGGACCAAGGGCCATGCCAATTTGAACAGCTGGATAGAGAGCAACGGTGAGGTCATGAAGAAATAAGAGTGAGTTTTTGCTCTTACATAAACAGGTGTTTGCAATTCCTCTGTGCTTTGGTGCAAACCAGACCGAGACAAACTAGATCATAGTTAAATTCAGTTGCGGTGAGCTTTTTGTGTTATATTACCTTTGCACCAATGCTATTGATATGTTGAATAATGTAGTAATATGATTAAAAAAAACTTACTTATAAGCTAATGGTCCACCCAAGCTTGCAATAGCTTGTCCAGTCATAAATATAGCGTATCTTTTTTCAGGAAGCACCATGATTGATATCGTCCGAACCCAGCATCCTACTGCATTCAGTATTCCGCATAATATAAGCTAAATAAAACAAAGACGTTAGAAAACATATAGTATTCTTCATACGGTGATCATCATTTTACTTACAGATAGCTTTATGCCCAAGACGTCATAAGCAAGAGGAGATAACAATGAGACAAGTGTAGTAAGTATGGCAGAAACATTTGATAGCCAATTTAACTGTGTTAAGGAAATGTTCATCCATTCAGATAACATACTTGGTACACTTGAAGCTGTCATCCACATCACTGCACAACTACAATTAAGTAGAAGGCATACAACTGTTACTATCCATGCGGCGAATGTTGTTTTCTCTTCCGGTATTAGCTTTATGTCGCTCTGTGGGTCATCTGATGATATAATGCTCTCACTTGAATCTATAAATATGTAAGTAATCTATATTGGACAATGTATTTATCTAGAACACCTTGTAACGTCTTTTTTTTGTGGCATAACATGCTAAAAGTGAAGAGAAACTGAAAGAAAAAGAGAAAAAACCGCGTAAGGGTTTATTATGCATAAGGAGAAGTTATGTTGACGCATAATAGTCCTATTTAATATGCTTTTATTTAGCAAAAACAGCTGTTATAAGGGGTATGCCAAAAGTAAACATTGTATTGTAGAGTATCATCAAGCATAAAGCACAATTCTTGTACTCAATTTCCCAAAAGTAATCTGGCAATTGAAAGGGAGAGTGAACAAAACACCGTCTATTCGTGACATAGATATTGTCAGTCCTGAAGGATTAAGTATCGATTTTCTTGCAATGGCGTTATCATTTGTGCGCAAACTTATCCGAACAACTCTTCATAATGATGCCAAAGCCGCATAATGCACAAATGCTCTTCCCTATAGCGGTTTACGACCAGGTTACAAAGCCCTTGCGTATGAATGGTACTAATTGTCATATTGCGCTTATATATAAGCAGTCATAGTTTTCTATAGGAACAAGTTGGAAACGGTTAGAGACGGCTCCATTTTCCGAGGATAACACGACGTTACCACTTATTTGGCAAACTAACATAATCAATATATGTGACTACCCTTATTTATTTTGTAAAGGGTACAGAGTGCATACATTAATACTTTCCAGGGCAACCATTATTTTCAAAGAGTACATTTTATACTATAATTTATGCATAGAAATAATAAGTAATGACGACGTTTATCCTTAAAAGCTGTGTATCAATCTCGACAGCATAGTCTGGAGTTCGATCCTGTTATGTCTATGGCAACTATACATTGGTCATTTACATAGAAAAGTTGAGTATTTGCTTTATAATGTCACATTTATGAAATGAAGAAAACATATATTGTGCATGCTTAAATGTTCTATGTGTCTTGAAAGGTCACCCAGCTTTGTGCCACCATTGGACAGTGGCATTTTATTTAACAAAAAATTGATTTTGAAAAGTCCAACACAAATTTAGTAAAGAAAGCTGTTTTTAACAGCAGCACTTTTGGTTTTGGCAATGCACTATTTTAAGAAAATGATAACTTACTTTTTATATTTTGACATGGCTTTTATATGTAAACAATTTGATGTGATAGCAGTGATAGGGAAAGCTGGTTTGACACTCCAATAAACCTAAAAGATACCTCTTCTATCGGCTGTACAAATAAGGAAATTTTTAAAAAATGACACAAATCGGAGAATTTGACAACGTGGCAACAGAAATATGCACTCTGCTATATATATGAATGGAGAATGTGTAACTTAACAACGTGGCATATTGTAGTAACCATGGTAAAATGAAAAGAAAAAAGAAGAAAAGGAAAAGGAAAGGAAAAAGTAAACGCTCTTGAAGTGATTGTACTTCTCTTTTTTTGATAGTTTTTATTTCAATCATTTTTCTCTTGTCTCTAAATTTGTAATAAAAAGATATTTTTTTTATATATATTTATTCTATTTTTATTATATGTAACAAATGACAAATAACCGAGAAGATAATTCAACCTCAACTTCTGAATCCACTATCCCATATTATGGAAGTAGAGTGCCCAGACAATCAGCCGGTGAAGTAGATAATATCATATTTAATATGATGGATGATATAAAGAACGCGGCGTTTGAAGAAAAAGGTGAAACCTCTTTGTATGTGTATGTGATGACCTGATTAACTCTTTAAGATATAAAGAAGAAACGAAAGAAGCAAAGAATGATAATAACGATGATAGGAAACTTAACCGTATCTATTGGAATATAAGAATATTACTAATATCTATTGTTATTCTATTGTTTGTCGTTGGTAAGTATTAAACGCATTTACAAACTAAGGCTAATGTGTAGAGTAGGAACAGTTCTATTAAGCGAATTAACCAAGAAAAAAGTCTAGATGGAATCAATTTTATTCTAAAAAAAGCTTGTGCTTACACATAAAGGAATTAAAAATTAAAAAAGTTAAACAATGTACAAATGAAGCTGTTATTTCTTTGATGAAGATGATAACAAAGACCTTTTTACGGTTGTCTCCGCAGCTCGGCTGGTCGAAGATAATTGATGAGATGAGGGTGTTACTGTTCTACGAATGGTATTTGCTGAGGGTGTCACTGGTCTGCTGATAGGTTTGGATGCAATTCTAGATGTAGGACGAGAAGATGGTACAGATGAACGAATAGAGGAAGTAACACTTGCAGATCGATTAGACGACACTGGAGTGCGTTTGGATGGAATGACACTTGGTGAGCGATTAGAAGGAACAATGCTTGGCCGAGAAAGAAGTTGTGAAGAGCTTTGAAGTTTCTTCAAGGATGAAATTTCATCCAATGCTTCATTTAACTTGTGTTGCATTATCTTCTTTTCTTCTGCTTCCTTTTTGAAATTAGATTTCAAATCATGTAGTTGATCCAGTACCCTTGACATCATGGATTCCATATCTGCTCTCGCCTTTGACTCATTGCGTAAACGAGTCTCTAATGGCTTGATCAAGCTGACAGTATCCTCCATCTTTTGTTCATATGTCTTTCTAAGGTTGACTTCATGCTCTAATCTTTCATGCAAAACCTTGTGTTGATGATCCATCAAGATTGTCATATCTTCCATTGCTTTTTCAAATGCAATACGCATAGCAGTTTCTTCATTTAAGCGATGTTCTAATTGATGAATACGGTCTAAGAGGTGGTTATAATTTTGCTTATGTATTGTATTATTTATAGTTGCTAGACCAGCCAGCACACGGTAATGTGGATTTAATCTTTGTTTGCGTCGATAATTGTAACCTCTCCATGCTGCTTGTATCTTTACTGCAGCTAATGTACGAATGGTATCTGAATCCAAAAAGTCATCGTCATCCAAAGGGATGAATTTCGAACTTGATTCAATAGGTAGTTCCTTTCTATAGTCATCCTCATTATCGTCGTAGCCCTCATCTGAGTAATCAGATTGGTGAATGATCATTGGTGGTTTAGTCTTGCTCAATTTGATCAAGACTACTTTGGATCCTATACTCTGGTTTTCATCATTATCGTCATCATCAAGTTGATAAGGGTGTACACTTGTATTTCGAACGACATGATGATCTTCAGTTGGGAATATGTAATCATGCTCATCCCAATTAATTCTTTCTTCTTCAGGCACCCTTTCAAGATAAAGTTGTCTATGTTGTGCAGATAAAAATGAAGATGGACCTAATGGGTTCTGTTTGATAGTTCCTGTCGAGTCGTATGATTCTTCTCTATCATGACGTCTATATTGAGAAGGTAATTGAAGAGGTGACAATTGATGATCTGAAATGAATTCGGTCTTGTTTGGAAATGATTCATTAATATAATATAATAAATCGTCAACCTCTTCTACTTCATCATCATCTTCGTCAAACTGATGTTGATCATTATCTAACTGTGGATCATAGCAGTCGTGGAAATCAGTAGAAATGGTTGTAAAGGATGATTCATCAAAGTATTCATCATCATTTTCAATGCTAGATTCGATAGCCATAATACGTGATCTTGGTGGGAATTCATATTCATATAATTCGGGTGCGAGCCTTTGAGTGACTTCAATTATAGGTGTCGCCTAATAGAAATAAATATTATATAAACACCAATTAGATTTTTGTACTACTTTTACCACGTTTTATTACTATTATTATTCTTTAGGCTTACCTGAATTTTATCTTGAAATGTAGACGTCGGGTGATGAAGCATAATTGGAGAAAAATTGGTTGCCATAGTGATATAAAAGTGAATGGAATGGGTTAAAGGATGTTATTATAAGATTATACTAAAAAGTAATAGTAATAGTAATAATAATATTATTATTAATAAAAAATAAAAAAGGAAAAAAAACTGTAAGCGCGGTAAAGAAAACGATTCTATTCGAAGTAAAGAAAGTAAGAAAAGTGTAATTCAACGAAAAAGAGAAAAAGAAGAAGAAAATAAAATAAAATGTATTTAAAATAAAAATAGGGAAAACGTGATTACATGGTTCCAAATAAAGCATCTTTCCTTCGAGAACATTTTCCGGGAGGGACAGGCAGGCAGAAAGACAGACAGACAAAGAGTGAGCTGGGGAAGGATCATCAGCTTTTTTGCGGTATTACAGATAATCGTCATTATTATTACATGTGAATAAGATACAAATGTGTAATCTCCGTTAGAACACATATGAAATGTAACCCAAAATATCCTTTCACATCAGCTCACGGGCCATATGAATTTCATGAATATTCAAGTTTACTCTGTCACTTGGTTACGGTTGCTATATTGCGTAGTTATTATTCAGTTTATAATTTTTTTTAAGATGCATGAACATCTAAAATATGCAAGTATATGCAAGTATATTCCTATATGCAAGGGTATGCAGCTTATTTTCTTTATTAATGCTAACGCTGACGAAAGGAGGACGAAAGACGTGGTACTAAATCTTCCAATCGCGCCTCTTAAGTCAAAACAATACATCACTCAGGATAACTTTCTTCTTTTCTTTTCCAAGAACATGAGAATATAAAAGGGAGGGGGCTTAAAATATTTTTGAACAAACATGGCTTGGGGCCGGGAGTGCCACACCTTTCGTCCTCCCTTTCGTCAACTTGGCATTGCCGATTGTTCCTATCTACTAAAAGAAATGACCAATTGATTACGATGTTATCAACTTTTTGATGATATTGTTTTAAACAAACCTGTAAGTACTGACTTTTACATGTCCAATACTTTGAATAACATTACTCAGTCAAATGCTTTTGTAACTGCTTGTGGAACGTAACAAGTGGGTCCATACACATCGGTATCAATGCCGATTGCTCTTGTATTATTCTTTACAATGCTGGGTACTGTCCTCAAATGAATAGACTTTAATTTTGTAGGTTGGTTAAAAGGAAGAAGAATGATCGGGATGAACTTTGCATAAAAATAAAGATCGTTCAAGTTCTGCTCTCTTTGATTGGCCCCCTTGGGATTTCCAGGATGACCTACCATTCTTGTAACCATTGTATTCTTGAGCTACCGTCATTTACAAAGTTTGAACGAGATTTTCACACAATAATAATGAAGAAAATAACATAATTTATTCTTGTTGCTTTAGCAAAGATAAATCAACATTGTTACTAAAGCTTTCAACAATGTATTGAAGGAGATATCAAGGTTTCTCGTCTTTAGTTGTTGTTTCTTGGATAGAATAGCTCTAGATAAAGTTCTTTGTAGCAAAGAAAGTTAATATCAATGGATGTTGTCCTAATTGATAAATAAACTTGAAAATAAATTCATGGTTGATTGGATTATATTCATATGTTGATATCATTTTATGAACAACTAACAGTAGTAGTAGCGGTGCAACACAATAATAAACAGGCAGGAACTATGCATGCACCAGGAAATATACAAGGAATAGGTTACAATGATTTTTCATTCAACTTGTTTAGACAATCTGATTGGATAAACCGCACATGAAAGATAAAATAGGAGCAATGTCAAGGTACATAAAATTTTGTCGACAAAGACAGGAATAAACGCATCATATTCGCACATAGCATATCTACATTCTAATCATCAACAATGGAATTTATTGACACACTTGGTAACATCATTTTGGTGCCAAAAAGAAAATATAAGGCTACATTAGCCAGGAGAAAGTTTAATAGCCCCATCTTGCTCTCCTCTTTGTTTATTGATTGATCGACTGACCCTTGGACTAACCGAACAAGAAGGATGACTTTACTTGAGTCTAACTTTTTCCAACTTTCTTTATTCCAATAATTAAAAACGTATTTTCCATGCAAATGTTGATATTGAAATCTGCACTGATTATCATTATTATTATTATTATATTGAAGATAGCTCGAAAGGAGGAAATGATAGTTTATCAAAGCAGTCATCACAACTTAGTATAAACAAGCCTTCCATCATAAATATTACAAAATAAAGTTTTGTTGATGTTACTTCTTCATAACGAAAAGTTCGGCCATTAGCTTATTATAGAAATTATCATCTTTATTTTAAGGGGTATAATGGTTAGTAAGCACCAAGGCTTCTTAGTAACCCTGCTGTAAGATATTGTTCTGCTGTCATTGGTTCGTACCATCGTCCTTCATAAATAAGCGATTTTGACTTCATCAAACAATCTACAGACGCTTTCTCTGCTTCGAATAGTTCCAAAGTAACACCTTCAAATTGATTATAGAACGTATTGAAATTCGTCACATACTCCAGTCTGACCAAATTTGGAAATAATCGTAGCAGATCATGAAAACCTGGTATGGATAAGGGTGTTGAATTATACTTTGTAACACGTAATTGACAAACTGAGCCACCTGGTCTCCGTTCAGCCTCTTTTTCTGGATAGGGTCGGAATCTCGTCTTGGATTTTGATTTCAGTCTTTCTATCTCTTTGTTATATAAAGCCAAATCCCTATTGGTGATACAAGCGAGATCATAAAGTTCTAGAGACTTGAGTTCTTTACACTGGCACAGTAGCTCTAAAAATGCTTGGTGTGATATATTAGCCAATGTATTTCTACTGTCCCCTTCAGAGCTGCCCTCTTTTCCCAAATTGTAAAGTGTGAGTGTTTCAAGCGACAACCACCGTCTGCTGATTGTTCCTAGTACTACATCATTCATTCCTGCATGACGGCCGCAAAAATGTCTCATGTTAGGAGTGGACATTACTAATGTTTGCAGTAGCTGAGGAGATTCAATCCCCTGATCGTCATTGTTTTCATAGTAAAGACTTGTTAATTTGTAACCAGCACAAATAATGATGCAAAATAGTTCAGTCAATTCAAAGTCTAGTCGACAGTTGATAATGCAAAGGGATGTTATTGTACTTCCTTTGAGAGCCATAAGCTGAGAAAAGTAATTTGAAAATGTTTGGTGTAAGTTATAATTATGCTTTTTATATTCTTGTCTTCTTCGATCCGCTTCAAGGTTTCGTATATGTGTATATAATGGGGGTGCATCGCAACTGGAGTTTGAAAAGGGAACTGAGACAATTGTTCTCCTTATAAAGTCAGAATAGCAACCATCCATTGTTATAGATTTTATAAAAGGTGAGATATGAATTAGCTTTTTCATAGACAGTAAAAGTTGTTTAAATTCGATATCTTTAAGAACAATGTGTTGATACAGGTATGGATCGTGTAAAACAGAGTACCATTGTCGACACACCCTGATTTTAATTGATAAGTCATTTAAATTTATATGTCGTGCTATATTGTACCTTGATATTTGCCATCTGTCTTGAATTGGTATATAAGAAAATATTATATAAAGGATAGGATCTGGCAGCATATGCATGCTTGTATATAGTCAAGAAGTAAAAGAATAAAAGAGAGAGAGAAAAGGGGAATCTATTTTCCTCTTTATTTCTCTCTCTTCTTCTTTTTCCCTGTCTTTTTGTTTCGCTCATCTGCCCTTGATTTTTCGGTCTTACTCTCTTATTCAACACCTTTTATAGTAAATCAATTGAGTGAATTTTTTTTTAAAGTCTTGTGTTGGTTACCAGTGCTTTGCACAATATGTTTCAGAAATCGCTGGGTTGCAAAATAATTTAGCTATTGTTGTTCTTTTATTACACTTTTCATTACAGAGAGGTCCCTGTCAACATCATTCAATATATATCCTAGCAACATATCCAATCAACTCTTTATTCATACAACTGGATTCCTTTCAAACATAAGCACGTAGTACATACAAATTATAGAGGTTGAATATTTATCCGTTAAATCATACTTGTACCTACTTTTTGAAACCAAAATATAATAATGCGCGGGGATAATGAAGAACTTGATGACATTATTATTATTCTCAAATACGTATACACTTGTTTAGCAAATGGTTTTAAACTAAAGCATAATTTCCTCCTCTATTATACAATCATTCCTTCCCTTTCTTAATTTCTGTCTCGTATCATCCTTGTTCATATTCTCAATCTTTTTTGATCAATTTGACACGAAGCGGCATATTCAATGGTGTAACTATGATATCCAAATAAAATAACGTCTGTTTTATTGTAAAAAGTCATTTAAGGACCTTGAGTAGGAGCAGGGTTCATTCTACGCTTGCCACCAATTTGGGTGGTAACATTGACGAAACGACGGCTATTATTATAACATGTTAGATTCATTGTTATTACATACATTTATCACATTTACTTGTAGATTTGTCTCTTCTTAGCACGGCCAGTCTTTGGCTTCTTCTTTTCTTGCTTAGCAACCTTGGGGGTTTGAGACTTTACTTTACCAGCACGAGCAAGGGAACCGTGAACTTTACCCTAATATACATTTAATATCCATTGTTGGATGGATGGATGCTTCATTCATCATTTACCATAGTGGATGTTTTGAATCTGCAAAGAGAAGGGACTTGTTGCCTTCGTCACTTGGCTGGCTATTAAAAATTTTGGAGCGTATATAGCTGAGTACTTTGCCTTTTTCTCGATTTTCCCGGCCCGAACACTTTATAAAGACTTTTCATTTGGTAAGCCATTTGCTGCTGTTATCAAATATTCAAGCTGCGACGCTCTTGGAAGCGAAATACCCAGATAGCCTGCAGAACTTGAGGAATCCCTCTTTTATATCGACATTATGGGTAATGCATATACCTACATCCATCCATCCATCATACGTCTAATATATCTCTTTGATGATTAGCTGTTGGCAAGAATAAGCGCCTTAGTAAAGGAAAGAAGGGTTTGAAGAAGAAGGTGTAAGTAGATTCAGCGATACAGCACATGTACAAAGGAAAGGGGGAAGCAATTGACACACCATGTTTGACTTGTGCAGATTCGTCATTTTTTTGTATAAATTCAACATCAAACTTTGTCAATTATAACACATGGCAGCTTCTTTCTCCTTCTTTTAACATGTGCATCTTGATCAACTGTCCATTAAACATTTTTTTCTCTTAATTAGTGTTGATCCCTTCACCCGTAAGGACTGGTACGACATCAAGGCTCCTTCCATGTTTGAAGTTCGTCAAGTTGGTAAGACCTTGGTCAACCGTACCCAAGGTCTCCGTAACGCCAACGACTCCCTTAATGGTCGTGTCGTCGAAGTCTCTCTCGGTGACTTGTCCAAGGATGAAGGTCGTGCCTTCCGCAAGATCAAGCTCAAGGTTGATGAAATTCAAGGCAAGAACTGTCTTACCAACTTCTATGGTATGGACATGACCACTGATAAGCTCAGATCCATGGTTAAGAAGTGGCAATCTCTTATCGAAGCCTTTGTTGACATCAAGACCACTGATGGCTACTTGGTCCGTCTCTTTGCCATTTCCTTCACTGCTCGTCGTCGTAACCAAATCAAGAAGACTACCTATGCTCAGTCATCTCAAATCCGTCAAATCCGTAAGAAGATGTTTGAAATCATGACCGAAGAAGCTTCTGCTTGCGATCTTAAGGAATTGGTTGCTAAGATCACCAGCTCTGCCTCTCATGCTTCTCAAGACGCTATTGCTGTCCGCATTGAAAAGGCATGCCAAGGTATCTACCCTCTTCAAAACACTTACATTCGTAAGGTCAAGATCCTTAAGGCTCCCAAGTTTGATGTTTCTGCTCTCTTGGCTCTTCACGGTGGTGCCGCCGCTGCTGCTGATGACACTGGCGCCAAGGCTGCTAAGGAATTTGTTGAACCCCCTATCTTAGCTTCTGTTTAAATTTAATAAAAGTATCAAAAAATAGGAAAAGGAGGGTTAAAAGTCTATGATATTTTAGACAAAAGTAATTAAGGATGAATTGACATTGATCTTGGACTCTGTATGTTTATTAAGTACAATGTTTGAACTTTCCGAATTTCTTTTTTAGGAAATCAAACATTGATGAAAGTTGTAAGGGCGGAAGTCACCTAAAGTGTAACAAACAAACCTTCTTTATGACGTCGATGAAGTGGTACATTCAAAGGACTAAGAGTTAAACAAATGTGATGTTTCTAGTGAATGATATTATCGTGTCATAAAATACTTTCAAAATCTTTTATTCAATAACTCTACTCGTGTTATGTAGTAACAACGTAGTCTCTTGCATAGTATTCAATATACATATAATTTATCATCATGGATCAGTAAATCAGCAACAGTAAGAACAACTCAACAAAAAGCTGATGAATGCGGAGCCTTAAACAGATATTCTTACTCTGTCCTTGATGGGAAGAAACGGGTTAAGAGTGACTAGAATATTCCCAGGATTACTAGCAACGATATCAGATGAAGAGGAGTCAGGAATGAGCATATGCACTGGATATCCCCTTATTTCCATAGGAACACATGAATCTAAACTATATCTGATCTTAAATTTGATAATTCCATACACTGAACAAAATTATACCGTGTGAAATTGATGTGTCACATGTAACCAATCAGAGTTTAGGGATTATCTGTATATTATAAACCTTTCAATTCGGTTAGCTTCTCTTCTTCTTTCTTTCAAATAAAACAAAACAAAAATGGTTCATCTCTCTAGCAAGCAAGTCGTTGAAAAGGAAGCTACTTTTGGTGCTCACAAGTAAGTATTATGACTTGGTGCTTATTGAATGCTTGCTAACATATAGTTTAGCTACCACCCTCTTCCTGTTGTATTCTCTGAAGCAAAGGGTATTTGGGTTACTGATCCCGAGGGAAAGAAGTATATGGACTTCTTGTCTGCTTATTCCGCTGTCAATCAAGGTCACTGTCATCCCAAGATCGTTAAGGCTTTGTGTGATCAAGCACAGAAATTGACCTTGTCCTCCAGAGCATTCTATAATGACATCTATAGTGCTTATGCCGAATATATTCATGATTACTTTGGATATGACATGGTTTTACCAATGAATACTGGCGCTGAAGCTGTTGAAACTGCTATCAAATTGGCTCGTAAGTGGGGTTATGAAAAGAAAGGCATCAAGGAAAATGAAGCTATTGTCTTGAGTTGTGAAAACAATTTCCATGGTCGTACGACTGGTGTCATCTCGATGTCTACCGATCCTGATTCTTATTCCGGATTTGGTCCTTACCTTCCTCTGGTTGGTCCTAATGTAACTGAGACTACTATCAGATACAACAACTTGGAAGACTTGGAAAAGGTACTTAATGCTGTTGGTAAGAATGTAGCTGCCTTTTTGGTTGAACCTATTCAAGGTGAAGCTGGTATCATGGTTCCTGATGATGGTTACTTGAAGAAGGCCTATGAACTCTGTAAGAAGCATAATGTGCTCTTTATTGCTGATGAAATTCAGACTGGTCTTGGCCGTACAGGAAAGATGCTTTGTGTTGACCATGACAACGTTCGCCCTGATATCGTCCTTCTCGGTAAAGCTCTCTCTGGTGGTGTTTACCCTGTTTCTGCAGTCTTGGCTGACCGTGACGTCATGTTATGCATTAAGCCAGGAGAACATGGTTCTACTTATGGTGGTAACCCTCTTGGTTGTGCTGCTGCTATTGCTGCACTTGAAGTCATCAAGGAAGAAAACTTGGTTGAAAACTCTGAAAAGTTGGGTCAAAAGTTCAGAGAAGCACTCAAGAATATCAACAGTCCTTTAATCAAGACTGGTAAATATTTACATAGTCTTATTTTTTACTCTTATTAACCATATCTACTCCAGTTCGTGGCCGTGGTCTCTTGAATGCAATTGTCATTGATGAATCAAAGTCCGAAAGAACAGCCTGGGAACTTTGCTTGTTACTCAAATCTAGAGGCTTGTTGGCTAAACCTACTCACGTGAACATTATCCGTTTAGCTCCTCCTCTTTGTATTACAGAGGAAGAGTTGATGAAGGGTGTTGACATCATTGCTGGTGCTTTGAAGGATATTGTTAATATGAAGAAGGAAGATGTTCCTAATGAACTTGAACACTAAATTTGCACATTTTATATACATTTATATATATTCACACACATTTACATATATATTCAGCTTTTTATAAATAGAATTAACATCTTTCAAATATTTTGTATAAATCTGTTAAATTTGCTAATGGATAAACATGGGATTGTAATATGTTTGTAGCTATAAAATGAGTCTTGAAGCAAGGAAATAGATAATGTTGAACTTGATATAAGAACCGTTCTTTTTCTTGATCATCCTTTAAAGGATCTGCACAATAAAATATTGCAAGTTCTCTTGAAAACGTTTCAAAACACTTCTTTTCTGATTCCCAGTCGACTTCAGTACCTAATCTTAATAAAAATAAAGGTAGTTTGTCCATACACGGTACATAATCTTTAATCAACATTGGAAGTCCAAGGAGGAACCCGTCAGGTGATATTGTCATTGAGAAATATTCTTTCAACATATCAGCTCTTGACACGAGTACCTCAGATATTGTCTGATTCATGATTAACAACTCATGTTTGTATAGCTATTAAACTTACTGCTGCGATCGTATTTGCATCTTGTAATTCATCTGGTAAATTCCCTTTTGCTGCTTCGTATTCTATAGCCATAAGAACACAGTCCTTTATTGACATAGGCTTCGATAATTTGAGTTCTCCCATATTACAAAATTCAGAAAGGGCAATTTGATAAAATAACTCTTCACTATACACACTTGAGTATACTCTCTCCCTCTTTCTTTTCTTTCTTTACCTTGCTATGTTATAGTTCACAAGGAATATATCCTGTTCATATTGTATTAAGGCTAATCTATCATCAACACAGCCAATGAATGTATGGTTTTGAAATACAGATGTCAACTCTGGTATTTCATCTTTTTTGACTTCTTTACGCAACTGTAATAGGCTGGTTAGTCGAACCTCTACCCTTGGTTTTTTAGTCACTTCAATCAAGGGCATTTCGTTTGCTTGATCCATGTCATTCTCTGTACGTGATCTTTTAGGTTGGATCGAATAGCCAAATGTTTCTAGTTGATTCATTTTACTGTCTGTTCGAACATATCTGTACTCAGCCACTGTATTTGATGATGATGATGATGGTCGCGATATAGGCTTTTCTGATCTTTTTTCTGCCATGAATTAATATGTGTGCCTTGTAAATCATCTTTACTATGGTTACCTTGCATATTTGGCTTGGATGCACCTGGAAGCAGTACTTGCGTATAAAATGTTCGAGAACTATTCGCATTCTCCAATACGCTTTGAAATGCGCTGATTATACCCTCCACAACTCTGTCTTCATATAAAAAATGAACTTCTTTCTTTGTTGGATGAACATTCACATCGACATTCCTTGGATTTATCTCTAAGCTAAGATAAACAAATGGATGTCCACCTTTAGGTAATAATGATGAATAAAGGTTTTCAATTGCTCTCTTAATATTTAAGCTGTCTACGGCTCGATCTATTTTATGATATGAGTCTCATACTGCTTAAACTTTTTTTCCACTTACGATTGATAAACAGCAAGAATGTCGTTCTTTTTGAGCTATAGTTTGCATTCGATATATACCCTTTTAACTTAAACTCTACTTCTTCAAAGCCTTTTTCTACAGGTAGTAATTCTGATGCCACCGATCCATACAGCAGCCGAATGTTATCCAGAGTACTAGCTCCTGTCGGTGTTTGTATATCGGATACATTTGTCCCTAACTTTAACAAAGACTAGCATGAATATACTGCATAAACATCATTTCTCAAAACAAACCTTTCTACAAGTAAAGCTAACACCTGAATTGTGAACAGCATAACGTGTTGTAATATCTAATATTCTGTTATATTCTTCGCTGGCTGACTTGAGTGCTTTTCGTCTGGTTGGGACATTATAAAATAAATCCTCTGCCTATCATCCAAATTATTAATATCTATTGTTACTATTCTCTCATTATGCTCTTACTGTTATTTGTGTTCCATTATTCCCTGCACACGGCTTTGGGTCTGCACTTTGCCCTGGACGAGCAGGTACGAGCTTTCCATCTGAATAGGATGCTCTATTTTAAATATAAGTCAATGTATGTATGTATGTGATCATCCGTAGTAGGTTTACCTATATGCACATGGTGAATCAGCGGTTTTGGTTGTTATGGTGACATGTGCTACATGTGAAATACTTGCCAAGGCCTCGCCACGAAAGCCGTAGGTTGCAATTTGTGATAGATCTTCAAATTTTGACAGCTTACTCGTCGTAAAGCGTTCACAGACAATGGCCATGTCCTCTTTCTGTCATTACTGTTAGATAAGCAAAGTTACTGTTCATTATGCTTACTCTTATTCCATGTCCATTGTCTTGAATCTGTAATAGCTTTAAACCACCATCCTTTATTGAAATTTGAATCTGGGTTGAGCCTGCATCCAACGAATTTTCAATTAATTCCTTCAGAGCATTAGCAGGACGTTGAATCACCTAATGAAGCACAGTTAAAGGTCGATTTATACTATGGGGTTGTTTCTAATTTACTTCTCCTGCAGCAATTCTATTAACAACTGCTTGATCTAATTTCTTGATGCTTGGAGTTGACATTACAAAATTAAGCAGAAGCTATTATTTTCTGACTTTGGTTCTAAATTGAACTCATAGTGACTTCAAAAGTCAGACTTTTCCGTTGAGCATAAAGGCTACTTTTACAATAAAGCAATGCCATTTAGTTAGGTTTATTTGAAAGATTTTATTGATATATGCGATGACTAGCTTCAGCTTCTTCTTGTTGTGCAATATCAATTTGTGGAGTATCCGAAATAGAGACATAACCACTCTGCTTTCTATTCCACTTCTTGCCAAGTCTGTAGCAGACTGCAAATAAAGAAATAATACAAGCAATCCAGAAAATGCTGGTGATTGTAATTGACCATGTCAAAGGTAACCCGAATATACCCCGTTCGACAGGAAAGAGAACTGAATCTATTTCTATGATACCACCCAACCGATTTCCAGTAGTTACATAGCCGATATCAAGCACATGAGCATGGGTACCCAAGGGTTGTCCACGAACCTTGATTATCTTATTACCTGAACCTGCATCTCTCAGGATGACTCTATCTTCAGATAATAATGTCTCATATTCTTGCTCGCCTAGTAAAGGCAACCTATGGTTTCGAGACAAGATATGAAGCTTAGCTATGCGTTCTAATTGAGTCGTATCATTCCACATGGATTCTAGATCAATCTGTTCAAAGGCTTTATCAGTAGGAACCAAAATTATCCAATCCGTCATGTCTATCTGATCGATCAAGCCTGTCTGTTTCAATATGCTTTCCATCAAGTTAGCATTGATTCCATTTAACAAATGGCGATGGGTAATATTAACTCTGTCAGGAATTAAAAGCTTGCTCACTTTATGAACTACACCATTAGAGACTAGAATATCAGTTGCTACTAGTTCACTCTGTTCTTCTGCTTCTAATGCATGCCTGTTCCTTCCTAACCAAATTTGATGATGGTTACTTCCATTGATGAACAGAGTATCATTGACCAGAGTTTTTGTTTGCTGAACAGTATTTAATATATTACTGTGGTATAGTGGAGTTAAGGCAACGTGATATTGAAGAATGGTTTGTAGATCAGAATGACCAGAGGGATGAAGTAAGTATCGGGAAAGAAGACCAAGGGATTTAAATGCATCATTTATAGGTGCAAATAGAGTGATCGCCTTGGCAGTCTTAATGTCATTTACGACGCCAGAGACATACAAAGCTGAGATAAAGCTTGATACATCCAAGTCAATGACAAGTGTGGTAAATATATCCGTGGGTAAACTTAGGGGATTAGATAGCTTGTAAATTTCATTTCCCTTGATAGATACTATTCACTCATTAGACGCTATGGTTGATGATTCTATAGTAGCATTACCTTCTTTCCCAACCACTCTTGAATGGCCACCACCAAACATGATGGTCTGGTCTATATTGACAACTAAACGTTGAGGCTGATCATTCAATTGAGGTGAATGATATTTGGTAGCTAATAGCATATTGTCATATAAATCTTTTGAACTCCAAGCACCATCAATGATATGATAACTTAGCCATTGTAATTTCTGATTGTTTGGTATATCATCTTCATCTATTACGTCATTCATAGGTGCTAATATTGTCTTGTTTGTAGTCTGATTGTTTAGATAGTTGCCTAATCCATAGTGATCCATTAATGAAATAAATTTGGTTGCGTTGAGTCCGATGAGATACTTTCGACTATCAAAATCGATTGAATTATACATCATATCTTCTAATACATGAATAACCCCTATTTTAAAGAATATATATAAGCTAAATGTGCCTATATATAAAGATAATGCTTACCATTAGCAGCAATTTTATCCTTTTCTAATACCCTCAACCCATTCACAGTGATTTCATCATCTTGTACATTGATGATTACTGTTTGACCAGACTCTGTTTGATCTATCGCATCACTTTAGCCTCCTCCTTTCTGTTCAATAGTTAATTGACTTACATCGTGTTTCACCCAATGAATGATTGTCTAAATAGATAGACTCAGAAATGATATTGTGTTTTAAAATACTCTTCAAGTCTTCAATTCCTGGTTTGGATAATAAATAATTTCTTTCAATTTGATTAAACTTGTCTAGTAAATATTTTGAAGAAATAAAAGTTGTAAATGGTTTATCTTTAACCCATAAAGGAATATCTGCTCTATCTATTAAATCATGTAGCTTTTTATCATAAAATTCAAGTAGCTTAGCTATAAAATGCTTAGAAAAGAATATGAGATAGCGCTTATCTATGTCTTACCTATTGGTTTAGGTGGTTCCAATACACTTCCGATAACATGAATTGTTGTATTTCTATTAACAAATACATCCTTCTTTATGATCCTAGCTTCATTTACATAATAAAATAAATTCAACTTTTTTATAATCTTTAATCTTTGTCCACTTTTGAGATATTCAGGTCGATAATACATTGATTCAATCACTTGACCATTTCTGAAGTCATGTGATTTAAATTCAATGGGTAATAGATGATATAGTAGTATATCTTTTGTCATCTGTCCGTTGTATTGCTCAAATGCATGATTATCTGGTGCAAAAAATGTGCCTCCTTCTAAGCTGTTGATGAAAGGTATAAGTCTTGTATGCTGTAAATGACTGATAAGAGTCGAAAATTGTTCATCTTCAGAGAGAACGTCTATAATTGTCTTATAGGCTGTAATCAATTTGATGAATAACAAAAATATAAACAATGTATTCATGGGCGCACGCACAAAAGAGAAAAGAAGGAGAAAAAAGAATCCAAAAAAAAAAGTTATGCAACTTTAAAATTCCAAGAGAAGCGGAGAAAAGGACTTGCATTTTATAAAAAAAATAAAAATAAAAAAAATAGTGTAATTTTAAAACGAGTATGCAATGTTGCCACAAAAGAGAGCTGCTTTATCCATCGAAGACAATGTTCAAACAGATTCAAATCAAGTAGAAAATGATAAAAATAAGAAAGCAAAGACAAAGCAATTACTACTTGCCTTAAATAAGATCTGGTTCAATGGATCAGAAGCTGGTTATAAACTTTTCGCTGAAGAATATAAATACTACACATCAAATTCTGTAATCAACAAAAATAAACGACAACCAAAAATGAAACATAAGAGGTTAAAGAAGAGTATTCAAATGTTGATTCCTATAGAAAATAATATCCCAATATCACCAGCACAGTCTCGTCTGACAATTGAACATAAACCAGCTCTTTACATTTTTAATCGCATCCTTTCTTCTCTTCAGCATCAATACTTACTTTCAGGACAAACTATTCATTCAACCAGATTACCTTTACATATTGAAACATATAACAGCTTTTTAAAAGAATGTCAAGAATCAGACGACGAAGAAGAAGAGGGGGAGGAGTTTGAGGGTGAAACGATAATAGGTTCATCCTGTTGGACACCTAACGAAAAAAAGAGATTTTTTATAGCGTTAGAAAGATGTAGTAAAGGAGATATAGCTGAAATTAGTCGACGCGTGGGACCAACGAAGACAGTAGTAGAAGTGGCTAACTATATAAAAGTACTAGAAGCAGCTTCACGCGTTATCAAAAAGGAACCCATGGATGATGCATATTCCGCGAGAGAGATGTCACCGTTATTTATAGTTCAAGAAAATAGATTTGCTGAATTATTACAATTTATGCTTGAAACTAAAGTGTATGCAAAACATCAAGAAGTACTCGATTCACAACCAGAGTGTTTACAAAAGGCGTTAGATTTATTTGATATATTCAACTTTTCATCAATGAGTTCAATGTAAAGTATAATAGCATATGTAAATAATAAAAGGCTGACTTTTCTATAGCTTCTCAAATACCAACGATATGACCATCTTGTCTAGTTCAATTGTACAATATTATCAACTTGTAAAGCATTTTGTTATAGACATCATTGCCTCCTTATATACCGAACTTATTCATGACTCAGATAAGGTGGTTACCAGAAGCTTGATGAATCATGTGATAGCAAAAAGAGAAAGACTATGGAAATCATTATTAACCCACTCAAGGGATTCAAGGCTAAAGAATTTAGACATCATGTCTATGCTCTATGGAGTACATCGATCTGTCTTTAGTAATAATAAATCCAGTAGCTTCCTTGCAAAGAGACGAAGACAGCTTTCTCCTAGCGAAGTGGACGAAGAAGAGGATGACGATGAAGAAAATAAAGAGAAGAGCGATGGTGAAGATAATGAAAGAGATGAAGGGGAGGGCGAAGAAGAGCATGAAGAAGAGGATGAAGAAGAATATGAAAAAGACACTAATGAAGCAAGCAATAGTACAAATGAGATGGTTAATGAACCAAAGGATGATAAGGCGATGGAAGCTGGTGTGCTAAAACAAAATAATGACACTGTATTGAATCCTGATACACAAGAGTATGACAACGATGAATCAGATTCTGTCGCTGAGGAAGAAAACTTGGAGGATGAAATGCTACAGCCAGTCGATGATCAAGATAAATTACAGCCATATTATGTTAGAGAAAATGATAGATATATAAGAATGCCTGCATTCAGTGACATAAAAGAAGAAGAAAGCAGCACATATTACGAAGATGACGACGATATGAATGAACAAGAAGATGAAGAGACAGAAGAGCGAATGAGACAACTAGACAAACAATACGAAGCGGATTTAATAAGGAGATTGTTATTCTTTAATGAAAATTCATTATTAAACATGAATCATAGATAAACCATCAATCTTGTCTTTTATACGTGTTGTATAACATTCTTAATGAGTAGTGAGTAGTGTACTTGTTCAGCATTTAAGATCCTCTTGCTTACATGAGCTCATACTATCAAGAACATAGACTGATAATAAACAGCAAAGACACATGCGAAATTGACAGTTTAAAGGTCTAACTTGAAGACTAATAAATAAAAAATAATGCATTGTTCATTTTATACTTACCGAGGCGTTAAGGAATGCACTGCCGTTATAGACACAAGATTCACACTTAAGGGCAGCATGTACTCTTCGCTTTAATCCAGTAATGGAGATATTATTTAATTGTTTGGATTTGCACTTGTTACAGATCTGACTCATCAACATAAGCAAATTGGGCCCCCATTAGACTGTCTTCATTTTCGTTTGATTTCTTCAGTAATACGTCTAATAGGTGCAGCCCGTTTTCCTTTCATACTTGAGCCAAAAGAGCCATTTTCAAACGCAATGATTCGCTTCCGTTGAGAGGAAGAAGGGAGGTCAGCAGGAGGTAGAGGTATGTGTTTGCTTTTGACTAGGATTTGGCTTTTAGCGCCAACGGTGCTTGATGTGCCATACTTCTTGCTGTTGTCAAAGAGTCTTTTAACAATTTCTTGAGTTCCTTTTTGCTTGTTGATATACGTTTTGAACTTTAGCTTTTGAGACCTATACCATACGCAATGTTATTAAAATGTATGTCATGTAAGAGAGCGACATAACATTTATCTTGACAGTAGTAGTTATGGATTCTTTGATAGCTCTGTAGACGTGGAGAGACAGCTAGTAAAAATGAGGCCAAGTTTCCAGTTTTTAAAGTAGGTATCCACTAATATACTTAAATTCGTCTAAATGACACTTTTGGTGTTCTTTTCGTCTTCTTATAGCAAGATTATAACCACACAAATGATAGTATTCTTCCAAACTTGTTGTTCGGATATGCTCATGTTCTGTAGAGTCAGCCGCAGTAAAGATAGTTAATATATCAGGATCAACATTCCAAATTCTGTATCGTCAACTATATCAGCAAAATCCTTGGGTGCCTTTGGTTCTCTTCTAGGCTCATCTTGGATAGCAACAGTTTTCTTAAAGTATATAGCATAACGATCAGTGATGATCACATTTCTACAATGATAACATTTGTTTAGACCAAAAAAAAAAAGACATATAAGCATACATACGCAGACTTCTTTGGACGTAAAGTCAAGCTTTCAAGTGTCTTGTAACTTATTTTTGAAAAATCAAAGACATTAAAATACCATAACTTTAAGTCATTATCATTCTTTTGGCCCGGTTTAATCTTATTGTCACGTTGTTTAGCAAGCTTCCAGAAAGATTGAGAATCAATCTTGTACAAAGGAAGTAAAGAAAAGTATCTTAATCCTCGAGGGTCAATGTACTTAAAAGGCATGAAGGTCTTGTCTTGAATTCTTGCTTGTACTGTTTTGATAAAGGCTTGAACAGCATCAATATCTTTTTTATCAATATTTCTAAGCTTGCTTGTTTTTTCCAAGGTCTTGTTAGAATTGTTAGCGGTCAATGTGCTTTCTCTTAATGATCTGTACTTGCTTGTATTCAACTTACAAAAGGAAGCTCTTGTAACTTTCTATGGACATAACTGCTTGATGCTTTGTCTTGAGGTTTCAGTTCTTGAATGAGCTTCTTTTGCTCCATTTACTTCTGTATAAAGTGTAACCATTTCATGTAGCATTGAGGTTTGGCATACAGATCAGCTTCACTTGAGACATCAGCATCATTGGAAGCATTGTACGTTGACCAGAAAGTAAGAAAGTTATTGACAATGGCTTCATGCCGTTCAACTCGGCTAACAATGGATGGCCAGGCAGACTTGAGATTTATCTTTTGTTGAAAAACACGTTTGGCTAAAGACTTGCGCTGTTTGACTGTTAAGCTATTGCCACAGAAGTAAGAAGCCTTTTCTGACAGGACATTAAGAATATGTCTGATAGCTCGATTTTCATAAGTAGAACATACGTAGTTGCGGACCAGTGTCTCATATTGCTTAGTCATAGAAGATATAATGATCACATATCTTTTATTTGCATACTTGTCCAACTCAGATGGCGTAAGAGAAGTAGATTCACAAAAAGCCTTGAAGCTCTTGATACTGTCAGAGGTATGCTTTCCTTGGCCAGCAAAGATGGAAAATATATTATAGAACAGATTTTGAGTGATCACAGGTAGCCCTTCACCATTTTTAAGAAGTTTCAAGAAATAGTGATTAGCAAAAATGGGTCCATCATATACAGGTTGAGTAATGTGATCAACTACTTCTTGGATCAATGTAACAAACTTGGGATATCTACAGTTATTAGCCAAAGATGTATTAATTACAAAAGTTTTCACGACGGTATTCTTGGGCTTTGAAAGCTTCGTTTTTGACTTATTCATAGGACGCAACTTGCTGGAGGAGCAAGAGTGATCGGTTCCACCACAAGAAGGACATTGTACTTGTTTTTGCTCATTATTTGACGCCTTATTCCTTCTTTCCTCTTTTTAAGTGCTTCAGTCTTATCAGCCTTGTCTTTATATTTCTTGGAGGTCTTGATGGGAGTAAAAGTGCAGCTAATGGAAGGAATAGGAGCAGGTAATACAGCTTCAGCGCTAGTATCTTTATTGACTGCAGTCATAGATATTTTTTCACTGGTAACAGCATTTGAAGAGCCAAGAGTAGATATGTCTTTTGTAGAAACTTTCGAAGTAGTACGGATGTTCTTGTCTATTGCGACATTCAGTTAAAAAAAGATGGAATTAATAGATGCTATCTTTACCTTTTCCAAGTAATGAAGTTTCTTGAAAGTCATCATCATTTGCTCCAAAAGCTGTATTTTTGAATAAATGTGTTTGCGTTTGTGCAAACAAAGAAGGAAACCCGCAATCGACGGCTAAATGAACCCTTAATCAATGCCATATCAACCTTATAGCTTACACACCTCTCCCTTTGTTGAGCTTTGCCTTTGGAGGCGGAGGATCATCACCTTTCTTTCGGTTCATGTTGGAGTAAAGAAAAAAGGAAAAAGGGAAAATAGCTACGGATAGCGTTGTAATATTAAATTAATGATTAGCTTTTTATTTAACCATGTTTTCCTTAATAATAAAATGCTGAAATGAAAAATACTCCACTTTTGATACACTGTGCATTTTACTGTGGCCTTCAAAGTAGTTATCTTTTTAAAAGTGATGGAATAAGGATACTAAAATGGCACACGATGATCATGGAACATCATCTAAACACCAGAAGCGGTGATCGAAGAAGCAACGGTAAAGAAGGAAGAGGAGAGGCATCAACTGTAATGCCAACCATATGTTCCATGAGGGAATAGCAGTACGTACTTCGTACACACCTATGCAGCATGTGTTTGGGCGATAAGTTGAAAGTCTTACTCAAAATCACGTCCTTGACGAAGTCTATCATTTTTATTGCTGCTTCTCAAGGTAAGAACAATATCACGGAAGCCTCTATCGCTATACTCGATTGGGATAATTAGAGTGATATATGTACAAAATTATGTCATGTTTCTTTATTAATAACAAGAATAGATGAAAATGAATAAGGAAGCATTTAAAGCTTATCGTAGTACTTGTCAAGACCAGGAATATCAGGGGTAAGACCCTTTCTGGTACGGACATCACGGACAATGTCGTAGACCTTGTTACCGGCTTCCAAGGGGTTACCGGACATGAGTTGCCAGTGATCAAAGACAGCTTGAGGGAAAGCTTGACCAGAGGTGGCGGAACGAAGATCAGCGTTGAAACCGAAAGATTCGTTAATGGGCAAGTAGGCCTTGACGTTGACAATAGGAGTACCAGGCTTTTGTTCTTCAGAGAAGACTTGACCACGACGCTTGTTGAGACAAGAGTAGATACCACCGATAGCAGAGTCAGGACATTGGATTTCAACAAGGTAGACGGGTTCTTGAATACCAGGAGAGGCGGTAAGAACGGAAGCATAGACTACACGACGACAAGTAGGAATGATTTGTCCACCACCACGGTGAATAGCATCAGCGTGAAGAGTGACATCCAAAATGTTGAAACGACAACCACGGAGGTTTTCTTCGGCAACAGGACCTTCCTTGGTGGCCCATTGGAAGGCAGCGACACAAGAATCCTTGATTTCACCGAGGTATTGGACTTGCTTGGTGATATCAACCAACAAGTTGGGGCCGGTGCCGTCAGGACCGAAACACCAGATCTTACGGGCTTCGGTAACATCCCATTCGTACTTGTCGGCAAGGACACGAGCACGAGACTTGAAATCATCCTTGGCAGAGATCTTACCAGCTTCAATTTCGTCAGAGAGTTCGTCGGCCAAAGGAAGAGCACGCATATAGATACGGTTATGCTTGTTAGGAGACTTGGAAAGACAGTCGATGCTGGATTCAGCAGTGACAGTTTCACGGTATTGGACAACGGGGTTACCAACCTTGAGGGGGACTTGAGCGTGGTCTTCTTCGAGATCTTTCAAACAGATTTCAAGATGGAGTTCACCAGCACCAGCAACGATGTGTTCACCAGAGTCGGAAGTGTAGGTCAAGACACAAGGGTCGGACTTGGCAAGACGCTTGAGACCTTCGACGAGCTTGGGAAGATCGTTGGCGTTCTTGACTTCGACAGCGACTTGGACGACAGGAGAGACAGAGAACTTCATGACCTTCATGTTGTGGGCAACTTCGGAGGTGGTGATGGTACCAGACTTGACCAAGAATTGATCGACACCAACGAGACCAATGATGTTACCGGCGGGACAGTCTTCAATAGCTTCAACGTTACGACCCATCATGAGAACGGTACGTTGAATAGACTTGACGGCAAGATCGTTCTTGCTACCGGGAACATAGTTGGGGCCTTGGATACGGACCTTCATACCAGCACGGACAGTACCAGAGAAGACACGACCGAAGGCATAGAAACGACCCTTATCAGAGGTAGGAACCATCTTGGAGACGTACAACATGAGAGGACCGTTGGGGTCACAGTTACGGATACCGATGGCACATTCGTCATCAGTGGGACCTTCGTACAAGAGGGCAGAACGGTAGGCTTGAGAGGTGATAGGAGAGGGCAAATGGATACAGATCATTTCCAAAAGAGCATCACCACAAGGCAAGAACTTACGCATGACTACCTTCAAGAGAGCCTTACCATCCAAATCCTTTTCGTCAGAGCTGAGGGTGATTTCCAACTTTTCCAAAAGAGTGGCAGTTTGTTCCTTCTTGAAGTTCATGATAGAATCAAAGATACGGTAGATGGGATCCAAAACGAACATGTTGAAGGCACGTTCAAGAGGCTTGCCATCAGCATCGGTGGCCTTGGTGGACCACTTCTTGGTCTTGGGGTTGAAGAAGTT